ATTGACTGTACATTACGGATGCGCGAATGACTATATGTGTATTGCATATCATACAAACAAATTGAGTATACAATTCTACTCTGCGCATACAATATTTTGTAGTCAAACTGTCAAAACTTTAACTTGTCCTTGTTTATATTCCATTCTATTGTATAAATTCGCTGGGTACAAATCCCGTACAATATTACAGAGAAACGGCGAAATGCTAAAAGCGTGGCGTGATCCTCAGGAGATGTTTTCGTAATTAATGCCCAATGAAACACAAGTATTACTCACAAATACAAACGTTATCCATAAATGCACATGGTCTCTGAGGGATATAGGAACTCAGGAGGTTTGGAACTGGTAATTGTGCGCGTGCGTACAAGTGTATGGGCTAATAACGAAAGATGTACCACAAGCATGGTATGAGCCGGCTACTACGTACATAAATACGGACGTTGTTACTATGAAAACTAAATCAAGCAGTCGAGGAATCGAATGGCATTTGAATCGATGGCATTTTGGATTAATCGTTGCACACTGAGCCTGCGATGCGCTAACGCAAGCTCCGTTTCTCGACGACGAAAACAGAAAACAGAAAACTAGGGATTTAAGACGCTTGACCTTTCAGGTCAGTGTAATAACTGAAATTTCTAGGCATAAATTATGAGAGGTCTTGATATATATGGGACGGGTGACAACTGTGGAAAGGAGTTGTAATTATTTTAAAGCATGTCGTTGCTGCCTAAGACCTATCTGGACGATACATATACGATTAGTCGTATACTGTACATATATTCTTATTCTGGAGTATATAATCGGACAAACACACGCTTACAGAAATTTCAACATAAACTACATTAAGAGGAATTGTGGTGTCAGCAGTAAATTCATGTATGCGAAAATGACAATTGTACGCGACTAATATTATCGTGTAGACAGTTAAGGAAATTATTTAATCTTCTTTTTCACATTCTATTTTCATTCAAATCTAGGAACAGCCGAAGACAATTGTTTTGGTCGTTTTTCCACATTGCATCAATACTAGCACGTCATATGGCGTGTGGGAATTTTTTAATATCGCGCGCTATGACGTGTATCGGTGCAACATGTTCTCATAGCTTCGTACTTGGCCAGCCATATGTATAGGTTATTTTGAGGCAACGAGGGGATATGTGATTTATTCACCGAGGCGCGCAGCGCAGCGCCGAGGTGAATAAATCACATATCCCCGAGGTGCCTCAAAATAACGTACTTATTTTTCACACTGCGGGGTCGCGTTAATGATTCAGAATAGAAATAATTCTTAATGCCATATTGCCTTCGTTATGTTGTTTTTTTCTCATTTTTTGTGCTGCAAAGACATTGCAGGTGAATATTAGAGGGGATTATTAATTGCAGGTGAATATTAGAGGGGATTATTAAACTGAAATTGATTAGAGGGGAATATTGAATATATTCCCCGAGAAGAACAAAGGAAACCGAGCAGGGTGAAAAATAAAATGGTTTAACCGTTGGCTGCAAGTCAAACAGAACTTGTAAATAAATTACAATGTCACTGTATATACATGTGGCAAATCTATTCTATACCTTTCATATGGGAAATGATGCATCTAATCACGCGTAGAACCTTATGGGAAAGAAGATATCTCTCCATGTTCAAAACTCCAAACTGACTAGCATCGAAATTTCCACGTTCGTTAACACGCGGGGTTAGAACATACAGTACTCTGTAACACTGGGGGGGGGGGGATGTGAAATCCATACTATGAAATTTGCAATTGCATCACTAAATCTATAATATGTATTCATACTATATTTCGATATCCATAGTATCGAAATATACAATTATTATGGATAATCAAAATCCATTCCATTTCCAAAGAAGGTCGACGTCCATACAATTTCCATTCTATGCATGGTCTTATATGGATTTTCATATTTTTTTTCAGTGTAAAAGAGTTTAAAAGTATGTAAATGTAGTTAAATGCGAGAAACATACAATTGAAGATTCGTAATGACTTGTTATGAAGTCATTGGTTCGAGATAAGTATTATAGCGCTATTAGAAATTACGTCTATTGTGGTTGGGGGTTAACATGATTTATATAACAACTACTCACCATAACAAATTATTGTTTCATTGAATAGATATAATTTCACATCCGGAACTATAGGTACCGATTTTCCTTTGTGCTTTCATTCGACCATAAAGATGAACATGATGGACAAGGACTGCTCAAATGATTATCACCACAGGGCATAATTTGGAAAATGCCATTTTCTTCAGTATGTAAATTGGACTTTAAATCCGGGTTATGGACTTCAGCTTTAAACTGAATTTTCTGCTTTGACAGGCATAAAAGGATAGAATTAAGGTAAAAAGGAAAGGATTTATCATCTTCATCAAGTTTTGTCTGTACAAATGGACACAATTGCGGGTGTTATACTTGTCACGTGAGGCATTTACGCCCATACTGGTCCGATCCAACAAACGAATATTCACCACGAACACAAGAACAGACAACATTGCTGCATGGCAATTCAAACGTGTATTCTGTGAAAAGGGGAATGTGATTTTACGTTACGTCATAACATTTACTTACACCAGGAAAACATTTACCAATAATAAAATTAAGATTAAATACAGAACCATTTTACACCTACGCTGTACTTTAAACAATTCACCAAGCTATATAAGATAAGGTTTTATATGTTGAGACACAATGCAAGCAGAGAAGTGTAAATTCAGAAAATGTCATACTTACAAAATATTCATGATCATTATAACAAGCTTGACAGTCTAAAAACACAATGCATAATAGGGTGATGATAAACTCGGTTTCCACAATGGACGTGTGAACAAAAGTAAAATTACAATATAAGTTAAAGGTATAGTAAGAAATATACATCCATATGTGAAAAAGAAAATATACTATAATATACGTTAATTTACCATCTACAACCGTGCTTTAATAGCGATGGGTAGCGATTTTCCTTTCGAAAATTGACAGTGTTTTGCTTTCTCTAATATTTTCTGGCAAAGAGTTCCATATAAAAGCCCCGTCATTATACATAAAACTATTTTTTAAACTGTACGAACGTGTCTTTGGCAACGGTAATGTTGTTGAGCTCTCACGAAGATCAGGATTTAATATTTCATTTTTGAAAATAAATTATATATTATACAGTATCTTTGAGGCAACCCCATATTATGAAGTATCTTAAACAACGTTTTCGCTTTAGGATCACAGTAAAGAAACTACACTGAGGTAAACGCCTATATGATTTTGGCGTAACCGTTGCACAATCCTGATGCCATGGGCTTAACCAGCGTGTGTTTGAGAGGCATCTCTCCCTGAGTATTCACCCTTTTGAAGATTTTCTGGGGCGAGAGAATGCTCTCAAACGTGCACAGACTGGCCCATGGCATCACTGATTAGCATTTTGATGATATTCATTGCGAATCATGGCGTGTACCGGCGGTGCTTTTTTGGCTGAGTTATACCACAGAATAAAGACACATGCAGAAAGTCGACAACAGTATATATAGTAGATTGTACAACGCGATGTTGTAAACGCAAAATAGGAGAATATGGTAGATCCTTTGCAATTTGCCGCAATCGCTGGATGCAAAACAAAGCCTGTCGAAGAATTTGGTGTAATATTAGCCTGATTTAAGTTAACACCATTCCTGCTTGTTCTATATTTGTACAGAAGTTAATTTTAACTACATTTGTCTATTTAACTCTATATAAAAATACCGCACTAGGAATAAACTAAAAAGCAGGAAAAACAGCAACTGAAACTGGGCCAAAATTACACTGATACATCGACAAACTTTGATTTAGCACCAGCGATTTCGGCAAATTGCAAACGATCTACCATATTCTTAGATTTTGCGATTTACCTCATCGCGTTGTACAATCTACTGTTTACAGTTGAAGCCATATTTCAAAGTGATAAGTAAGTTCTTAAGGAATTAGAATAAATTATTTCCGGGATTTCTGGCCATGCTCTATTCTGTGGTTACACAGTACATCTGTTTGGTCTGTTCTGTGGTAGAGTGGTTCTTATAAACCAAACTATAACCTCCGGAAAACCACCACAAGCGAATTGGTTCTGTGAAACATGTGCGTTGAAGCTACTCAAAACCAACTTTAACTGGTTTTAATCGGCTTAACACCTAGAACTCAAATGAAACCTACACTATTTCGAATTTAGAGCACTATTGGACTACTACTTAAATTTGTAAAAAATTGCAACACAAAGCTCACTCATGAACAAAAACAGATTTAGCAGTCTAGCTGGTTATATATAATTTAAATAGTAGAAACTACACAGATAAAAACTAGAGATCCATTAAACAAAAACTTTTATAACTTTATACTATAGGAACTCCCCCAGTAATCGTTACTTTAGAACACAAAATGAATGAAAACAGTTAAATAATTCTCTTCAGAGCAAAGATACGGCTATAACTCTGCTAAATATATTAATAATATTGACCTTAACAACGACGTTGACAACCCGGGATTAGCAACGCTAATTGCTCGCCTGTCACAGTTGGTCCAGGGTGATTGCTAGATATTACCGAAATCAGTAGAGTGTCTTTTCCGGAAGTTGAAAAGACAGTCGAAAGCCAGTAGAAACGTTCATGTTTTATGACGTCACGGTGAAGGAATGCAGCGTGGAACTTGTAAGTTATTTTACTTATTAGTAAACTTTATTTAGTTTGACAAATTGCCCAAGGCCTGCCGAACACATAACAAGCTTTTGAGCAAAGGGAGAAGTTCTAGGGTGAGGCGGTAAAACCGATGTTTTTTGAAAACCGAATTACTCGATGTTACTTTTGGAGAAAGACCGGAAAACCGAAAAAACCGGAGGAAAACCGAAATCGAACCATACTTATACGGGTCTGTTGCGAATGAATCAACTTTGGCATTTACACACGAAAACTAAAGAGATTTTGTTTAAAATTTGATAACATCTTCAAAATACCTTACGTTTAATATCATTCTACAATTTCGCGCGAGCTTGAGGTCTTGAACGGATAAGCGGATCAAACGATGGTGAATTTTGATTCGCTGGTAATAAAGGCGGACGTCTGCGAAGACAGGTTTAATAATAATAATAATAATAATAATAGTCTTTATTAAAATACTCAGATACATCCGTCTGAGTTTACAATCGAAAGGTAATTGATCTAGTTATATTTACAATTGTAAGTTAAGAAGCGTAAAAAGTTTTAAAAAGTTTTTAATAGATTAAAGTCTAAATAGATTAAAGTCTAAACAAAGTTATACAGACAACGATTTATGAACGACCTTTTGAATCTTTCTGTTCTCACTAGGGGGAGTTCATACTCATGCCCTCTAGGCCTAAGTAACCTACTTCTTTTTTCCGGCAGCAGTTCAAGCAGTGCATTGTTCTCAGTTGATGTTATTTTGTTCCACAGTTTCTTATCTCTCTTATCACGTATTTCTTTAATGTGTGTTCGTTTTGATATATAACCATTCTTATGTGCACGTTTAATGAATTTATCTATTTGGTTCAAATATTTACCGTCGTATGCACAACCCCACAGCTCAATAGCAAAAGTGAATATCGACATAATTAGGCTATCAAACAGCATATCTAATTGTTTAATTGATAGTCCATAGTATTTGCAAACTCTCATAATGTACATTCGTCCACTTGCTTTTTTGAGCATTTCTTCAAAGTGCAAATCCCAGTTGCACGGGTTATCTTGTAGAGTAACTCCTAAAAGCTTTAGCCATGTTTTTCGCTTAATTGAAGGGATAAGCTCGGGCAAAACTACAGAGGTGTGTCTGCGAACAACCATTTCGTACGTTTTTTCCAAGTTTAAGGGCATTCTATTCTCTTCCGCCCAATCCTGTAAACAGGCAGCTTCAGATCGAGATGTGTCACCACTTTCGTTGCCAGGCACTCCTAACGTCAAATCGTCAGCAAATTTGACTAACGCATTACTAGGATCAGCAGTTTTAATATCATCAACCATTATTGAGAAAAGAACTGGGCCTAAAACAGTACCTTGAGGGACACCACGATTAATATATAAATATTCTGTAACCATTCCATCAACCATTACTCTTTGTATTCTATTTTCTAGAAAGCTAATTAACCAGTTCACCACATACGGATTAATGGGTAGCTTTTTAACTTTTTCAAACAAAAGATCGTGGGGCACACTGTCAAATGCTTTGCTGAAATCGAACGACAGCACTCTAACATAATTAGCGTTTTTATCCAGCCACTCTAGCCATTGATGTTGGGATTTAATCAGGGCCATAGTCGAGTTGTGACCCTTTTTATAAGCAAATTGGTCAGGACCAATGTTATTTCTTGTGATAGGTGCGATTTCAGATTTATACACGCACTTCTCGAATAGTCTCATGATGATGTCCGTCAGAGAGATTGGTCTTAACTGGTTACACGAATTTAATGGTGATTCTTTAGGGAGTGGTAATAAATTAGCGGATTTCCATTTCTGAGGTACTTTGCTAGTTTTTAGTGACATGTTAAAAATTTCTGTGACAATAGGAGCTAATTCAATAGCAAACGATTTCCAAAACCAATATGGCAGATTGTCCGGACCCGATGAAGAGCGTTTTTGATTGCGTAAAAGATGTTGAACTTCATGAATTGACAACGAGGGAATTCTTGTTCCTTCGGAGATTTGAAGAGGCTCGGGAGTCGTATAATTTGGGTCTGTATTCACACTTTGAAAATATTTGTTAATTTCACTAGGGTTAAGAGAAGCACTTACTGATACATCATGTTTCTTTTTTCTCGATGTAATGCTATTTACGTTAGACCACCAACTTTTCGATCCAGTTTTCTGGTTGCCAAACTCCTGTTTGACTGCACTTAATTGATTTTCCCGAATTAACTTGTTGATTTTTTCTTGCAATCGTGTATTTGCTTCAGTATTTCCGTTTTGTATGGCTCTTTTCCTTTGATTCAGAAGGTGGTTCACAAGAGGAGACATGAACGGAGGGTCGCGTGATGACGTTCTGACCTTAATTAGTGGGAAGCTCTTATCGAATTTTGGCCATATTATTTCATAAAATTTTAGGGTTATCTCATCTAGGTTATGGCTATTCATAATTAAACCGTAGTTTCGATTTTCGAACATATTTTTTAAAAAAAAACCCGGTTCACTCGGTTTTTTCGGGGTTTTTTGGTCGGTTTTCGGTTTTTTGTAGAAACATAGTTAATAGAAATAATAAACATGGTTAGGAAGGCCGGCAAACTTCAAAGGCTTAGCGCTGCGATGTTGACGGGGTACTTCCGGTTGTAATCGGAGTGCACAGCTTGCAAAACAATGAGTGTCAGATGACATGTTGCCATTATGGGTTTTGGGTTACAGTATTCGACACTTAGTGAGGAAACATATAGTTTGAATTGGGCAAATCTTGAAAAAAATGGACTCCGGTAGCGAAGAAGAAAGTGTTTTAGACGTTGGGGAAGAACAGTTATTTGAAGAGGACTTAGAAGTTGACGAATTCGCAGAAACTTTGAAGCTAATCGAATCGAACGCCGAAGAAATTGACCAGCAATTGTTGGACGCGATCAGCGAGGTTGGTGGTAATATTGTTCAAATACTACTATATTCCATTTTGCCACATGGTTATATCATGGTTTGTTTCTTGTATAAATATAGGTAGAAGGAGCGAAGCACTTTCAATGTCCAGACTGCCCAAAAGTTTGCAAGTCAAAGGGTGGTTTAACCAGGCATCGTCGAAGCAAACATCCTGATAAAGAAGAGCTAACAGTGGCTACTATAAACATTCCACCTATAAACATGGAGATTATAGCAAAAATCATTGCTGAAACTGTCGAGAAACTGCGAGAAGAAAACATTTATCCAAAGGAAATTCTCGACATTATATCCAAATTGAAGCCCAGTGAATCTTTCTCAAGTTCATAACCAAGGTTTTTCGTTTGTTCTGCAGAAAGCTCAACCAGGATAGGATGCTGGCATTGTTTTATGGCGAAATAATCAAAGATTGGAGGGTGTACTTTCCGCCTTGTGACAATCAAAAGGCTATAAATATTTTGCTAATTCACCTCCCGCAAAAGTTGGTTGTCTATCACAAACAACTTGCAAGCAACAAGCAACGTGATGATCAGGTAAGGTGTACTGTCAATGTTATTTATTAATATATGATGTTTGTGCTACCGTGGTGCTACGTGGTGAATGTGTGGTAAATTTTGATTTGGGAGAATATATTAAAAACAGGAACTAAACTAGCAAAACCATGGCCATGCTAATTAAAAATACCACCTGAAATTACCAACACCAACCAAAAGTACAATAATGCTTCCTATTAACCGATTGAGTTGCATTGCACCCTACTTTATTATTTTACTCTGTCTAACACCAGATGATTTTACTTGTCAAGGGGAGAGCGCTGGTGCTTAATGGTTTAAATACATTAGGTCTGCTGGGCCTATGGCACCTCCTTTTGGGATGGGTAAATTTACACAATTACACTATAGGAATTTCTACAAATTCCCTTCAACAATCTGCCTTTAATAATTTTAGGGAGAAGATGAAATTGGTTTAAAACCAGAAGAAATTGGTCCTCTCTCCTATGTTACTGGGTATGTCCTGCAGTCCCTCTACAGGAAAAGTAAAAACTCAAAGCACTGGAACTCTCCTCGTAGTCAGGAACTGCAGTTTCTACTTCAGTCCCTAAAACTTGAGGAAACCAAAGAAGACCAATACATTCAGTCTTTATCAAGAGGCGGTCTTTGGACCCCAAATGAAACAATAAAAAACATTGCTAAAACAACAGACCTAATGTTTCGCCAGCACCTAAAATTGAACAAGAGTGCATCTGTTCCCACCGATAAAGTTGTAGACCAGGTTCTTGCAACACCTGCTGTGACAAGTTTATGGGAAAACATCATTACTGATTTGGATTCTCAAATTTCTTCTGAGTGCAACAAGCTTGCTCTGGAAAACTTTATTAAATTGTACGTTCAAGTCCGTAGCTTTTCCTATGCTAGAGACATAGTTAGTAAATACAAGCTGAAGGAGAAGGCATTGAGGAGCAAGGCTTTGAGAAAGGAACTGAAAAATGCAGATATTTTATAGATGTATAAAACTGTGGGCACTGAACTACAGAATAAAGACAAACAGAAGGTTGACTCAGCAAAAAAAGGCGTAACTGCTCCCACGCCATGATTCGTCATCAAAATGCTTACGCCATGGTCCTAACCAGTGTGCTTATGAGGTGCTCATTCTCCCTTCTGGATGTCCACCATTTTGAATATTATAAGCACACTGCCAGTGGTTAGGACCATGGCATCAGCATTTTGATGACAAATCATAAGTCGGGCTTCTGTATATATAGTCTCTATTATGTGACTGAGCGCTGCTTGTGGAGTATTTATTATAGGCATTAGTATAATTTCAGTATTGAAAAATGGCCTTTGAGCATTCTGATTGGCTCCATCAGCAATAGCTCTGAGGTAATAGTTACTACTCTGAGCAGTAACTGTTGCTTTTCTCAAAAAATGGCTGAAAATCAAACAGAAGTAAATTATTTATTTGGTTTGTTTCAGCTCAGTGAATATAGGCTTGTAGTTGCCTTCAGCGATTAATTGTTAATTAAGTAGGCCAGTGGCAAAGCCAGCCTGGGAATTTGCTCATGCAATGCAAATTTTAAATCATTCATTTCTTTAGAAATTGAAAACATTTGCATAGCATGACTAAATTGTCACGCTAGCTTTGCCACTACAATAGGCAGAGATTTTTTGTTAATAGAAGGCTCAATAGTTTGTGAAATCTGAAACACTTACTGTAAATATTGTGTATAGTAAACAAATTATTTTAATAATATTGATATTATTAGTGCATTTAACAATGGGCCACAGAATAAATATTTACACATAAAGGCAACTAAAGTCATGTTGAAATCCTTGAAGTTTCTGACCTCATGCACAGGACCGTAACTTGGCCTCATGCACAGGACTATAACCTGGGTATTATTACAGCTGGGGGGTGTGAGCTTATTTTGCCCGACAAAAAGGCATGGTGGAATTCATGCCTGATGGACATTTCAGGTGCCCAAAATTGTTATTTTTCAAAAAATTATGTAAAATATTTTGCTGAATTACATTTTTTGTGCCTGATAAGTATGTCATTAAAATTGACAGACAAAACTGTAATGGGTGGGGGTGTCACCCCCCCCCCCCAATAGTTACGGCCCTGCTCATACATGTCGCCTCTGAATAGTTTCGGTCATAGTATTATTTATAATAGATGTTTACATGAGACCGGGATGAAAAAACTCAGACTGGTCTGAAGTCATTCCGCCTGCTGGACCAAGCCGACTGACTTCAGACAGGCATGAATTCAGACCGGGATGAATGTAAACACAAATACATTTCAGACCGGTCTCGGCTGTAACCTTGACATTGGAACAACATGTACCAGCTAACAAAAGCCATCTAGAAAAGAAAATTGCCTGGCAAGAGAAATAAATTGAAAATTTTGTGATTTTTGTACCGGTCTCATGTAAACATGTTGACTTTCAATTTTCATTCTGGTTTGACTTGGTCCCGGTCTCATGTAAACAGGGCCTTAGAATAGTATAGTGCGTATTACATACCCAATGATAAAAGATTACTTTTTACAACTTGCAACCCATTGAAGTGAACACTTTGTCAGACAGTTCAAAGACTTTGCTGTTTCAATATTCTTACTGCCCAGTGTTTTTGAGTTTAAATACCAAATTATGAATAAATATTAAATTAAAAGAAGAGTTTTGTGGTATATACATATAGTATGCACACAGGTAATATTGTTTCATAATACATACATTCTTCCACACACAAGCTATTTGTTCTTTTGTGAAGACTTACGCTTTCTTTTCGGAAGAGGTTCTTCCGAGACTACTACCCATTTAGAGGATTCTCCTTTGTGCCGGCCCATTACATTCCCTCTTACAACAGGAGCAATACTACGCTGAGCAGCAATGGTGAGGTTGTTGTAGCCAAAACTTTGAACAGTTGGATTGTCACTATATCCTCCTCGGCTAGACCGCTGATGACCAAAGTATTCTCCGAGAAGATCTTGGCAAAATTTCTCAGAGAGCACATATTCCAGTCCTTCTGAAAGCAGGAATTTTGTCACCTCAACTAGGGAATGGACTGTCATTCTCAAGCCATGGTAGGTCTGATGAGAGATGAACATTTTTGCTCGATCGTCATTTGAAAAATTCCCCGTCCTTTGGTGAATTGCAGTCAGCCACTCTTGCAGATACACCAGAAATGTATTCTGTAGCCAGTCAAAACGCTCATCATCGGCACTGGAATATGGAGCTAGGAAATCATTTCTTTTTCTTGTGTGCTCGAAGGTTGACCGAACATTGAGGCAGTCGAAGAATCTGTTTATCATTTCACAGAAACTTGCAGTTTCTTCTGCTGAGCCATCAGTGTAGAAACGTCGCAGCGCAAGAGCCATAGTACTACTTAACACCTGAGCAGCCAGATTGACCTTCATCTTCGAAAATGATGTCAAGTTGATGTGGTCTGGTGTGATCTTTGGAAGCTGGTGTAAACCTTGGTCTAAATCTGCATAATACAGAGCAGAAACATGCCTCCAAATCATATCACAACCATTCCACATCAACCTGGAATGTTTCCCCGTCCCAGAGTTGAACAAACAATTTCGGGAGGTCTTGATGAGATGTGGGGCATCAGAGAAGAAGTAAATGTATCTTGATGGTGCAAACAGGTTGATGGTTCGATGAACAACATCGACAGAGTAGTTTTCCTCAACAAGAGATGCATGCAGTTCATAGAACTTTCGGTTAGATGAGGCACCATCGCTTACAGCTGCACACACCCACAGGTTACAAGTTACCTCCAGGATGGAAACAGCTTTCCAGAAAAGTGGCATTATCTGGAAAGAGGTGAGGCTTTGTGTACTAAAATATCCAAGGATATACTTCAGATCACTAGCAACACCTCTTACCATAAATGCTAGAACATGGCTTGCCAATGTGGTGGGGGTATCAAACACAGCAGTATTGACATCTTCATCACCCAGATCTACAAAGCCGATTAGCTCATTCGTGTGCTTGTCAAACACCAAGTTTGACTGTATTTTCATCTCGTCAAAGGATAAAACCACATAGCGTTGACAATCAAAGAGCTGTTTGGTAGCATCACATAATTTCTCTATATTTTCCTTACAAAATCCAGGCTTGGGCTTGAAAAAGTTCCTGTAATCACGAAGGACTCGTTCACTTGGTAAAACCAAGACACCGGATGATGACAGTTCTCTGTACACAGATGGAGATTTCGCATGAATAGAGAGACAAAAGCGAATCAGGTGGGGATGATATCTTCTGCCAAACTTTGGGGAGGAAAGTAATTTCTTTTGCTGCTGCCAGAAAAAGTCCATGTGTGGTGTTTTCTTCAAGTCAGCATTGCCCAAAATATTAAGGATGTCACCCTCAAGAGATTCATTGACAGTGATGCTATTCGAGTTTATCTCCTTTTCCAAACCTGAAAGTCTATCTTTCAGACCCTTTGCCTCGATACGCTGTTGCTGTATGGTAGCAATTAATCGTTCTTTGCTAGAACCAGATAAAGGAGCTTTCTCTTTCAATGATGTTGCTTTTTTGATAACAGACTGCTTTTGTCTTTTAACTTCTGACGCGAGGACCTTGGAACAGCTATCACAAGCATCCTCGCCAGACGTTTGCAGCATAAGACAATCAGCTGATCGCAGGTAAAGTGACACCTGGTATGGTGTATCTTTGTCACAGTATACTTCCGGACAAAGCGGAACAGTGTGCCTTGTCACTTCAGATACACCATCAACAGGGTCGGTTACATGTAGTAGAGTGGTGGTAGAGTCGGTTAGTGGCAGGCCAGGGCAAACATAAAGATTCCTTATCTCAGTTATCAGTGATGCAACTGATACATAAGTCACTGAGTGTTTATGTTCCAGGTAAATGTGGTGATTTTCTGGCAAAAACCAACCAAAAGCTGCAACAGTAAAGCCAAGACCAGAATCTACCTTCAGAGTGTAGTGTGGTAGTGCATGCTTGCCATCAAAATAATCTAAGCTGAATGTATTTTCATCAAACTTTCGAGACCAACCCGTCAATCCAAGCTTGGAAACCTTCGATTTCAAATCGTTTATGTCCTTATAAACTTTAGAAGGCACCAACTCTTTCTTTTCTATAATCCGCCTTGATGTCGAAGGCTTCGATTCTTCGTGCGATTTCTTGGGTAGATTTATGGTTGAAATAGATCCCCGTTTCAATGTCTTGCTTTTTTCATCTAAACAACAATATTTTATTAATATACAATGTTTCATTGTTCACATATTTGTTCAAAAACAGCGAAGGTCAGGAAGCATTGAAGCTCGCAACATATTGTAATAAGGCTTGAATATTCATGACTTAGATAAACACAAAGAAGTTAGGATACTTACGTTTATTTAAACAATTCTCCTCAAAGTGTTTTTCGCAGATATGTAGATTCCCAGCGCTTATTTGACGCCGCAAATCTTTATCGATCTCTCGATTTCGGGTTATAATTCGCACCCACTCTTCGCGTGTTTTAGTCGATAAATCGTCTTTGCCTTTCGGAATAGAAAATATACTTATACCAGAATGTCTTCTGTTCGAACCACAGCCGAATATACTACAATTTGCTCCTACCATCGCATATAGCGCCGGAAAATGCGAAAAAACCAAGGTGGTCCTTAATAAACTCTATTAATGAATGCGCCATTGTGCACTCGGATTTCAATTACGACGAGACAATAACATATGTCATCACGTGACCCGGCCTTCCTAACCATGTTTATTATTTCTATTAACTATGGTAGAAACCGTCTCACACTAGGGAGAATCTTTATTCGTGGGAAGGCACTTAAGTAAAGTTTACTAATAAGTAAAATAACTTACAAGTTCCTATACAATAACTTACAAGTTCCACGCTGCATTCCTTCACCGTGACGTCATAAAACATGAACGTTTCTACTGGCTTTCGACTGTCTTTTCAACTTCCGGAAAAGACACTCTACTGATTTCGGTAATAGTATACTTCAAAATAAGGTTTCCGTTTTTATAACGTAGAAAAAACCATCCTAACGCAAAACTAAACCAGAACCCTAATACTAAACTTAACCCTAACCCCAACCATAACCTAACCCTAACCTAATCTAACCCTAACTTATTTAAAAAATTGATATAAAAACGGAAACCTTATTTTGAAGTATACTATCTAGCAATTTCCGTTGGTCCAGGCTTGCCCGCGTTAATTGGTCGCGCTATTGGCGTTATAGATTTTGCAACCTCATTATAAATTCCGCCAGAGTGTTAGCTGAGCAAAGTGACATCATAGATTTTGAATACTAATTAATTTCGACACCTAAGTTTGCATACTAATTACTTCCGCCGCCAGAGGGGGGCTTTACTACTCATATGTAAATTTTTATGGAATTAGAATAAATTATTTCCGGGATTTCTGGCCATGCTCTATTCTGTGGTTATACAGTACATCTGTTTGGTCTGTTCTGTGGTAGAGTGGTTCTTATAAACCGAACTATAACCTCCGGAAAACCACCACGAGCGAATTGGTTCTGTGAAACATGTGCGTTGAAGCTACTCAAAACCAACTTTAACTGGTTTTAATCGCCTTAACACCTAGAACTCAAATGAAACCTACACTATTTCGAATTTAGAGCACTATTGGACTACTACTTAAATTTGTAAAAAATTGCAACACGAAGCTCGCTCATGAACAAAAACAGATTTAGCAGTCTAGCTGGTTATATATAATTTAAATAGTAGAAACTACACAGATAAAAACTAGAGATCCATTAAACAAAAACTTTTATAACTTTATAGTATAAGCACTCCCCCAGTAATCGTTACTTTAGAACACAAAATGAATGAAAACAGTTAAATAATGTAGAAAATAATGTACCGGAAACATTTAAATCTCTTTTTAATGATGACTTTTAATTCCATCGTGAGGCAATTTTACTTCTCCAGGCGAGCTGTCTGCTTCACAGCGGGGGTTATTGGCACAAAAAATTGAAAATGTCAAATGCACCTTGGTTTGCCAGCCCCCCTAGTGTCGAGCATGCCATTGATTGGTGCATTACAGAAGGATTTGTGTCTAGGGATTTGTGGAATTTAGAGTTTTTCAAAATTATTTTTGAATATTTTTAATTCAATGTTTTCAAGCGTATATTTTAGGGAAAAGACATCGTGGCTACAAACTCCCTCCTCCCATGCAGACATATTGACGTCTTTTTAGCAAAAACATACAGTATATTTAATTTACAGTATATTTAATTTATAGGGGTAAGCGTGACGAAGTGGTTAAGGACCGTTCATTATTTATACCCTAGGGTGGGGTGGGAGATTCTTATGTCATATGCAAAAACATTGTAGCCTTCCCCCCTTTGATGATCTCAATGTTGAAGACCCCCCTATAAAATACTGGAAAGTTTATAACTCCCCTCCCCCCCTCCAATTTGTATGAATATTGTTTAATATTGTAAAGAATACAGTATAATTTATGAGCAAGAACTATTGTTTTCCTTGCACATTTTTGCTTTAAAATTGTATTACCTTTATTACAACAATAACTTCCTATACGTTTTCGCAAATTTTTATATATAGTGTTTTTAATAATTCCTTTGAGAATCTTGCCATATTGGACATTGTAGTTTACATTGGGATATTTGTCAGGGTGTGCATGTCAAAGAACTATATAATGTATAACAAAGTATTAATGCACATGTTGCACAATGTGTAACACACAACTTAAACTGGCATTTATAAGTTTATTTAAATGTCATTTGCACACACTTTTTTAGTTAATAGTTAGTTTTAAGCCGGTTTAACACTTTACGAGGGCGTCTCTGTAAGAGCGGACCACTCGATCTGGGCTTCAAAAATAGATTTCTCTTATATTTCTACCGTCGATACTCTCATCTATCCTAACTACGAAACTGGAGTTAAGATCGTTCAAACGTGGTTTTTACAACCGCTTTTCGAGTTTTTGTCCCAGGACCCAAGTTAATTAAAATATGCCGGTTTCTGAAATCGCCAAAGCCTACAATCACAGTCAGCTTTTTTCTATTTTCTCTGCTAATCAGAGCTTCGTTTTCGGGTCTGAACTGCACTAGAGTGCTCTTTCTACTAAGAAACAGTAATATATAGCTGTTTAGTTGCACCTGGCAAATAAAAAAATTTTAGTGATCGAGACACTTCAACGCATGTGATATCAAATCCGAGAATTATAGGTCCTAAGCATTGCAGAATTCTCATTTGTGGCACCTGCCCAGGTTCTAAATCGCTATTAAACTTTGAAATAGGATGCTATTCCACACATTCACACAATAAAATTTGCGGCACATGGTATTTCTAAGAAATCAGGAAGTTGACAATTTTTGCATTTTTTAGCTATTTCTTCGGCGTGACACAAGAACCTGAATACGTCCCTGTGCTGTTATTAGCCGCACTGTTACTGTCCAAAAATCAAGAATACATTAAAACCTTGTTCCTAAATGTCCTTTCCCTGATTCTTAAAGGTTTATTTAAGTAATTATAACCCTCTTTTAAGCGATTTTGGAATTTGCTAACACAACATGGACATAACATTTAATATAGCTCGCTTAATTAATAATATCCATATTCAGGAAGATCCCTGAAGACGAGAAAGTCTGAACACGTCAGGAATGTAAAACACAGCAAGAAGGGATCGAATGTTGCAAAACACGCATGGACTCAAGACCATATAATTGACTTTGCCAATGCTAAAGTGATAGACAAGGGAAATCATAGAAACCTTAAAACCTTAGAGTCCTGGCACACTGCACTAACAGACGAAGCTGATAATAACTCTAATACGCTTCCAGCACAGTACACAATACTTTTAAGAAAGGAACTCAAGAAACATTAATTAGTTAAATATTCATATTACCCATTTGTAACATAGCATAGATAGTCTCAGATTTCATACCACCTACTTAATTTTAGCGTCCTTTATAGAATCATTTGTATACATCCGTCGAAGGCTATAGACTGATAGCCGAAAGCTCGTAGAAATAAATATTAAGTCAGAGAACGCTCAATAAATAATATGCATTCGTCCCAAATTTTGTATGAAATTATATTCAAAAATCATTTTATAATATAATAGCTATTGCAATGAATCAGAATAGGCACAAATACCAGCTTAGAATATCAGAAATAAAATGATTCTTATGGTTTTAGAAATTAATTAATAACAATGCGCTCGAAAGAGCGTTAACTCGCAGGGGCTAGGGTGTATAAAAAAACTGAGCAGATTTGAAATTGCTCGCAATTTCGAAAAACAGCTATTATAGTATACAGTTTTTGATGTATATAGCTTCCTTGGGTACTTATAGTGTAGAAAAATGAAAAAAAATTATCGAACTCCAATTTTGTGAAATTTAAAATCTTTAATCATATTTTGAGTTGATAGATGGAAAATGAGTAGTATAGGGAATGAGGGTTCTAGACCACTTTTTCGGCCCGCGATCTCACCCAACTTCCGGTCAGCGGTTTCCATATTTTTCCCTCAAAAACGCGGGCTCATATTTTTCTAGACAATTTTTCTATTATTTTTGGTATTATTTTTTCTATTATTTTTGGCATTATTTTTTCTATTATTTTTGGCGTTATTTTTTCTATTATTTTTCTATTATTTTTCAGCATTATTATTTACAAGAATTATTATCATATGCTAGGGCTCATATTTTTCTAGACCATTTTTCATCTATTATTTTTCAGAATTATTTTAATCTTTATTATCATATTTAATTATACTCAAGGGGCCTAGGCTCTTAGGGTCAAACACATTACTTGAATCATCTTTTTTATCTTGTGTGCTCACTCCAATGTTAATATTATTTGATACAGAGAAATTTATATCACCAGCCTTCCCAGTTCTACTAGAACTCTTACGACAACCACAAATCTTACCTAAGCAGGAGAAGCATGACCTCCACCTTGACATCTTATCTTATGATAGACCACATGTTAACTACCTGACCCCGAATATCGGAGTGACCAACAAAAAGACATATCCATACTAGTCCCTGTTGGCATTGAGTGTTCAGGTTTGACTATAATACACCAGGCTACCGTGTTATCTACCAAGTCCGGCTGGCCTCCTAAATAGAACAAACTATTACCCTTGAAAACATAGCAAGCTGTACTTCCACCGTTATTCGTAAAAGTTCCATTAAACCAAGTGTAAGTCAGTTTTGTTAAGTCCACCGTTCTTAGAGCGATTTCCTTCCTTACCTGTGTAAATTTTCCATTAGATTGTTTTTCCCATACGGTAGCCCACAGGATTAGGGATAAGGGTATGTTTAACCAGGTTTTAAAAAGTAGGAAATCTGATTTAATAGTAATTGACTCAAGATTGAGGTCAGCCATATTATTAATGGGATCAGTCCTCCATGAAGGGGGAATCTGATTGTGGCAGTAGGCGTAGTACCTTGCCGCAGCAACTGCTACACCACGGTAACCCCAAATCCATTCTGCATGTATATGTCGCCGTATTCTTACATATCTTAAGTCAGCCGTTGCTTGAGTAAGACCAGTTGAAGGTTTTAGGAAATTCTTTTCTACCCACTGTTTGTTAACAGCGTCCTTATCATTTACAGGGTCCTTTAGATCAAGAATACCACTTGAATCTCCCATGTCCAGATCACCCTTTACCAGTCCACCTCTACTACTCATGAACTCATCTATTGCCCACCTTTTATTGACAGCTGAACCGTCAGTTGTAGGATTTCCAACTCTAATTAACTCATAATCGTTAACATCAAGATTACCTGACAAAACACCACCACCACGCTTCAGGAACTGTTTACACCATAAGCTCATAGAACTGTAGGAAACTGCAGCAGAGTCCCCAGCTGAGCCACTACTGAGACCTGTAATACTATAACCACCCATGTCAATATTACCGCTCATACTAAAGCCACTACTACTTACAGAACTCCCACTAACATGATCCGTGACCCATTTCTTAGACACAGCAGAATTATCAGTTGTGGGAGCACCTAACTTTATAATTTCATTGTTTCCCATATCAAGGTCAGCAGATAGTGTAAGTCCACTGTAAGTCTCACGCCTCCTTCTACCACCGCTAATCTTATCTTCCACCCACTTTTTGTTAACTGCAGATCCATCATCACTAGGAGCACCAACATTTTCTATTTCATTTCCACCCATCTTAAGTTTACCAGTCATTACACTTGTACCGCTAAGCTCCAGGTAGGGTAGAAGACTTGACCTTAGGTACCCACGATTTACAAGGGAACTGTCACTAACTGGATTGCTATTACATGTAGGTGTATTTGTGAAATTAACAATACCAGCAACATTTAGTGATCCCGTTCCGTCTAACCGTAAGAAAGTCCCTTCATTTAGATTAAACCAGCTTTTTGTTACAACAGACTGGGGAGTAGTTGGATCAGCAACATTCTCAATTTTACCTCCACCCATATCAATGTCCCCTACCATTGTAAAACCTGCACCTGAGTATACTCCACCTCTTGAAATCCTATCAACCACCCACTTCTTATTTACAAGGGAGGAGTCCCTATCGGGGACAGCGTTGGAATAAATTTGGAAAGTATTTGTATTCATATTTCCAGTCATAGAGCCACCGGTTCTTTTAAGATAATTTGTGTCACTTAATATTCTAAAAGAATTTAAGGCCGACGTCAGAGTATTATTATTAACAGCGTCACCTCCACTTTTCGGAATCGCAACATTTTTAATACGATTTGCACCCATGTCAAGTTCTCCTGTCATTCTAAAACCAGTGGTAGTAGCAAATATTGACAGCTTACTCTCAACCCAACCCTTAGATACAGCTTCACTATTAAGTTTAGGTCCAATAAGATCAAATAACCTCCAGCCTCCCATGGAAACATCTGCTTGCATAATTCCACCTTTCAATCTAAAGTTATTATCAACCGCCCACTTTTTACTGACAGCAGACTGATCCTCAGAGGGATCCTTAAGATTCTTAATCTCATGGTTTTTCATATCGATATCCCCAGCAATATCAAGTCCAGTTACAGGCCTATTTAACATTCCAACTACCCAGTCCTTACTAACAGCAGACTTTCCAGTTGTAGGATCACCTAAAGCCTTTATCTCATTTGTTGACATATTGAGGTCATTTGTAAGGATAAGTCCAGGTAGACTTGCGTGTACATGTCTACGGCTACCCTCAACCCAGCTCTTACTAGCAGCATCACCTGGGTTAGTAGGATTATCAAGATTAGTTATTTTATTACCTCCCATGTCAATATCCCCAGTCATTGTAAACCCTGCAGGTTGAATTGTAAGGGCAGCCTGTTTGACTATCTCATCATCCACCCACTTTTTTGTGACCGCAGACGTATCATCTGTTGGTGCACCCAGACCTTTCACCTCATTACCATCCATCTCAATGTCACCCTTCATGGTAAATCCATCCTTATCAAACACACTACCACTTGATGGGTCAACTTTATTTACTCCTTTGTTGTATCCTCTATAGAGAGCCATTTTATAGAATACATAATGTTTACAGGATAACTTTCATTAGAATGAATACAACTATAGCACCGATTCCAGCTCCAGTGATAGCGCTAACTCCTGAAGACTCATGGGTACTAACCACATCATGTTTCATGATAGGAACAACTTGAGTCTCGGCACTTGTAGAACCTTCCTGAGGCTTAACTCTTGTAGGACCTCCCGGAACCTTTTTATTTCCATCAATAGTATCAAGGTGGTGAACTGGTGTATTGTCTTGATGCTGTTTCTTTGGGGGATTAGCCTTCTTAACCCCAACATAATTAAGTTCGGTATTAACTCCTCTTTTCATATCCTTTGTTGCGTTTTTTAGAATATTGTTATACCCAGGTATAGGCTTACTTAGAATTATGAGACTTGACGGAATCAGAACAGTTCCAGGGGTGACGGCTGTGTTAAGTACAACATTTGTGTCTCTAATAGCAATTCTCATATTACCTAGAGTTACAACAGGATCAGCTTGAATAACGCAATCATTTACCAGTGCGCTGAACTTAACCTGGGTAGCAGATGACTTTCCATAGCTTCCAGTGATAGGTGATCTGGTAGCTGCCTGTGCACCTAACACAGAGTAAACGTAAGCTTCAATTGATTCCCCTAATAGAAGTAAGCCAGTTTTTGTAAGTCCAAAATACGGATCAGTCTGAGTACTAACAAACCTTAAATAATCAGACTTACTAACAAGTGCAACAGATACTCTTTCCTCATAGTGTACACGAATTCCTTTTAGAAACCCATTAACAGTCATAACTGAAGAATTGGTTACATTTCTTACAGGATTGCTACCGTCACCCCTACCCTTTATCCAGTTACTTTTTTCCCAGTCGAGTCCATAATCGTATACAACATCATAATAATCACTTTTCTTTACCCACTTACCCTTAACAGGTATATGCTTTTTAATAGAATCCAGCATATCCATATAGGGAACTAATCTTTCAGGTTTGTACACATACTTCCTAATACAGTAGTAAAGGTGAAAGTTCATTATACTTGTTATCACAGGGTAAGTATCATTACTAGGAGTAAGATGACCACTTGTGATTCCACATAGATATGTTGCGATATATGCGCCGCAAAGAGCTGCAAAGTAGGGTTTCTTATAGTCGAACACTGTACTTACACCATCAATCTTAATACTGTCTTCAATTTTAGGAAGCATATTTCCGCCGGCCTCCCCGGAAGTTACAAAGAAGCTTTTACCGTCCACATAAACCTTGAATGAATGTGCAGGAGTGTTCCACCCAATTTTTGGAAACCAACTAAACCTATCAAATGTATCGTTGTTGTTTAACTTAGCTTTTACATTAGAACCCAACCTCCACTTTAGAGGCCAACCGTCAACTAAACCTAGAATCTCACTTTTTGTAACCTTTGTATCAGTCATAGGTATAAACTGTGCGGGGGTAATAATTTTCTTAGTACCTGTGAGATAATATGTAAACTCCTTATCCTTCTTAAAACCGTCATATCTAATGTCATATGAACTTATACCATCTAAATCCACAAACCATGTAACAACTCCAATATCACCACTACTGGTAGTCATGGCTTCAAACCTAAACCTGTTCATATCAGCCTTAGGATACTTTCTAACAAATCTAGCCCTTTCGGCATTCTCAGCTTTTTTACCAGCAACTGGATCAACATAACCTTCACCATCTTCCTTTCCATACTTTTTTTCATAATCTTGGTAAGACCTATACGGTGACTTCCCAACGTCTCCTCCACCTAGTCTCATTCTTAATAACCTAACGTATGTTATTAAGATGAAGTTCACAATTTTACTCCAGAGCTCGCACACTATTATATCACTACAGAATTCAGTTTTAACAAGTAATTATAATTCCGTCTTTATGAAGAGAGTATCAGTATTCTGGGAGTATTTCAATATAAGAGAACCAACAACTATTCTCAAGGTTAAAACAGCTGGTGGTGAAACTGACGCGATTATCAGCAAGGGCTACTATACATTTGACAGTATGAGAAAATTACTTGAGAGACACGGTGTTAAACTAACATATTTTCCAGAAACAGCAGGATGTCAAATAGAAGCTGTAAAGCAGGACATTACAATAGAAACCAGGTTTTTAACAATGCTTGGCTTTAATAGATTTAATAATCCTATGATCCTACTAAAAGGGAGGAGTTTGACAAGTGACAGCAAAGTTGACTTTAATAATGGTCTACGATACGTAAATATACACTGCAACCTAGTTAGTAACAGTTACAACGTTAACCCTTGGGGAAGACCCAGCGATGTAATAACAAGTGTTACAGTTCCAACTGATAGACCATTATTAGGCTCAGTTGTTAGTTACATTGATGTTGAAAGCAGGATTTCAGTTATTAAGGGTTCTTTCTCAGAACTTGTATTCTACACGACTGATCAAGACGGGAAACCTATTGATATAGGTGAAGTGCTACTTGAGATGTACCTTGAGCAATAACTACTTGTGTAGTTATTGGCGTCTACTAACGTAGTCGGTAGATGGCTTACATTAGTTAATATAAGATGGACGATGATATTATGAAAGAACAAGGACTACGAGATATTTACTACAATCCTAAGACTGGATTCCAGACACCAGAGAAACTATATCTTAGAGCAATATCAGACGGACTTAAAGTAACCAGAAACCAGGTTAAGAAATGGATAAACGAGCAAGACACATACACTAGGTACAGACAAGTGTTTAAGAAACATAAGTTCAGGCAGACGTACGTCCAAACTCTAGGTGAGCAGTTACAAATGGATTTAGTTGACATGACAAAATATGACGACAAGAACAAGGGATACCGATGGATTCTCACATCAATCGAAATACTGAGTAGGTACGCATTCACAGTACCAGTGTATAGGAAAAACGCGACATCAATGAAGGACGCAGTCAGTAACATTTTAGAGCAATTTAATAACCATTTTGGTAAATACCCAAAGTTCGCCCAGTTTGATCAAGGCACAGAGTTCTACAACAAAGAAGTAAAGTCATTGCTCAATAAACATAACATTGAGTTTTTCTCTACTTACTCAGACAAAAAGGCTGCAGTTGTGGAAAGATTTAACAGAACACTGAAAGCTCTAATGTGGAAGTACTTTTACAGTGCCAGTACATATAAATGGTTAGACGTCCTTCAAGACTTAACTGATAATTACAACAGTTCAGTGAACAGATCAATTAAAACAACACCGGACAGTGTAAATGATTCCAACTGGACTGAAGTATGGAAGACACTTTTTAGTCACAATTTAGGCAAGCCGTCAGAACCAAAGTTGGCTGTCGGAGAAAGTGTTAGGATTTCAAAGTACAAATCAGTGTTCACAAAAGGGTACGAAGCAAACTTCACAGAGGAGTTATTCACTGTGACGGAAGTGTATCACGGTCATCCAAACACGTACACAATAGAAGATAGTGCTGGTGAAGCAATAATTGGTAGATTCTATGAACAAGAACTGTATAGCGCTGAAGGAAGGGAACCTGATTTTAAGATAGAGAAAGTACTAAGAAGAAAAACGGTGAAGGGTAAAAAGATGGCCCTAGTTAAGTGGTTAGGTTATGATGACAAATTTAACAGTTGGATCCCAGCTGGAGACATTAAGTCCCTAACATAAGTTAAAGTATTATGGAGGGCGCAGAGGACTATGATGAATATGAAATGGAGGAGGCAGAAAAGACGTATCCTCAATATGACGACCTAAATTATGATGACCTAACGACTGCTTTTAGTAGGTTAGATATAAGGGTGAAGGGAGAGGCTATGTATGGTGATGACCCTATAGTAATAACTAATCTTAAAAGTGAACTGGACTATGTAAAGAATCTCATGGAGAGACGTATAATAGAAGAAACAACTTTCACTGAAGGAAATGATGGTACAGTGAACATTTCAGGTCCATCTGGAAGTACAACTGTCCCAGAAGTTAACTTCGTGGAAGACCCAAACAATGTACTTCCTGATGTGCTAGATGCATTCAATGAATCATTTGACGCTGACTGGGATGAAATAGAAGCCCGCCTAGAGAAACTGAAAAAGTTCTCAGAAGACCGACTTACAGCAAATAAAAAGAGAGACTTCGAAAACCAAGTGGAGCGTGTTCAAGCTGTCGCAAGAGTTATCAAGGGTAAGGAAGGACTAGTACTAGACCCAAAGAATAAATATGTCAGGGAACTCATAAAACGATCATCTGTAAGAACACTCAACGATGGCACAGAGGTGTTGGTATTTAGAAGTGAACAAGGTATTGATAAAAGTGGGACACAAATAATGAAACGTGGTAAGACCAGTAAACCTGTGTACTCCAAGAACTCTATTGCATTAAGAGAATATAAGGAACTTATAAAGAAAATAAAAGAGGTACCTACGGAATGATGAATCAATTTATGAGGATACTAAAGAAGAGCCGCAATTTAATACCAGTGATGAGGAATACGCTGACCGTGAGAACATTGAGTTAATAGATATAAGTGCAAAACTAGGAGACCTTCCAGGGCTAACAATGCAAGAAAACAATGAACTGAGAGGAGTACTTAACCCACCTGATGGATCAAGCATAGAAGGCAGAACAGGTCCCAATGGAGCATTGCAAATACAAGCTGACTACTTTAATGAAGCTATTGGTGAAACCGTGGAACGAGCCACCGAAGCTGAGGGTACAACTGAGTATAATTCCCTCCTAGAAAGAATTGACAGTTTGAAGGAAGCTAGGGATAGGACACTAGAACAGAGAACTGTAGAGGAAGCAAGAGAGGCACAGTTGGAAGATATTTCTAGATTACGTAAATTTATAGACTGGGTAGGAAAGGAAAAAGTGGGACTTGTAGGGATAGCAGTGTCAACAGCTAGTTTAATTACAACCTTATTAATCCATGCTAGGGGAGCCATTGTGAAGACAGCAAAAGCCACCGGTAAAGTAGCAAAAGTATTAGCGAATTTAGCAAAGAAAGCAGGACCAATTCTAGTTCCAATCCTGAACGCAGTTGCAACAGCGCTATCATGGGGAGCCAAAGGAATTGCCTGGTTAGCGTCACACTTATGGGTACTAGCTATAGCTGCAGCCTTAATGGTATACAACTATTACACAAAGTAAATTAGCTATGGAGGAACACCAAGAGGAATATGATGACCAGAAAATGGAGGAGTTGAAGGAAAAGTATCCGAACTATGAAGAAATGGATATAGAAACTTTAGATAGTGAATTACCAATCCTTGGCAAGGATCTTTTGGAAAGTGAAACTACTGAGGAGACCCAGGATATTAACGAGGAAATTGATTACGTACAGGAACTGAGGAGGAGAAAAACATTAAGTGAAGACCTTACGAGAGAGCAATTAGCTGAGAAATTCCCTGGCCTATCTAATCTACCATATGATGATTTAATGGATAGGGGAGACAGACTGTTAAATGAACTAATACTATCCGATTTGGACGAAGACAGTTTCAAAGAGAAGTCGGAAGAACTGAGGTACGTCAGAATGCTATCAAATGATTACCAAAGAGAGTCAAACTTAAATAAACTTCTCAACTTAAGAGATAAGGTGAAAAAGAGGGATCTCATTAAACGGGATGATCGTAGGAGACTGCAGAGGCTCAGGTTATGGGCAAGAGAGAATGCAGGCATCTTATCAGCTGTTATAATTTCATCATCAGCTGTAATCATAGGACTGGTTGCATCAACTAGAAACATATTGTGGAAAGTAGGTGACACAACAGGAAAACTCGATAAGCGAATCAGTGAGTTGGTAAACAATCAAATAGAACTACCACCTGTATTTCAGAAGATAGCCGATGGAGTAGAGTTAGCAGCGGATAATATATGGATAATCATTGTTTGTGCAGCAGTAGTTTTACTGTACATATACAACTAAACATTACATATTGTATAAAGTATGAATACCACAGAAAGAGAACTCCAGCCTGGCTTCAGGAGGAGCCGCATGACATCTGTAAAAGGACCAAGAACTAGAAGTGTCGTAACATTTAATCCAACAACTATCAGCCCGGGTGAAGAGCTGTACATTAACATCCCTAAGCTAAAACCCGACTCTTGTTTAGTTCCAGGATCACTGGCACTATTATTTGACTTCAAGAATTCCAATACAAAAAGCCACTTTAATAATAACCTGTCTAAGTTGATAGCTAAACGTCTTCAGATTAAAGTAGCCGGTGAAACAGCTTATGACTGTTCAGGAGAGAGTTTGTACGAAGTATACAAAGATCTATGGCTAACGCTAGGTGATAGGAAAAAGATGACGGAACAGGGTCTTGCAAGTGAAAATCTCAGGAAGTTAATATCAGGTGATGACTCAGGAGCAAAGGTAGGTGATGCCAATAAAGTAGCAGATGCACTTCTCCACAGTGTGTATGGATCTAAGCTGAGAAAACCAATTGATAAAATAATTGCAGATCATGGACTCTACACACCGTTCTCCATGAATAACAATCCTATGTACATCCTCACACTCCCGCAATCAGATGAAATTATGACTGCCCAAGGAGGTGAAGCTAAGGGTAATTATAAACTGGACAATCTTGAGTTAGAATATGAGACCATTGAAAATGACGCCCTTGCAGGTGAAGTATCAAGGATGTATTCAACAGGCCGCTCACTGTCTTACAAACATGTCACACTTATGCGCACAAGTAATTGGGGCAAAGATCTTACCATTATCAATGAAAACATAAATATCCCCAGAAAGAGCATGTCAGCAATTGTCCTTCTATTTACCAGTAGAGTGAGAACTGATTCTGAAGAGTATATTTACCCAAACATTGATAAAGTGAACCTTACCATTGAGGGGGTGCCTAATGCAGTTTTCTCCCAAGGACTTCATAAAAATAGGTTCTTCGAAGAGGCAAAACGATTTTTCTGCCCTATGTGTGAGAAATCTATGGCAGATGAATTTATGTCTATCAGCAGGTTCTTCAGTAGTGGTTTTGCTCTAGTAATTGATCTTAGAACGACTCAGGATGATACCACCGGAGGAGGAAGGAAGATTGTCAACACGCAGTCTGGAGTACTTATGGAAATCAAGAAGCAAGCCACAACAGCTGACGTTCAGTGCAACATTTTTGTTGTATCAGATGCCCTCCTTAACTTTGCCAATAGAGATCTATCTAGTATTCAATACTAGCTTGCACCAACGGTAAAGCATAGAGATGCAACTTGAACCACCATTCAACATGCTCATAGTAGGAATGACAGGAAGTGGTAAAACTCAGTTCTTACTTAACATGCTAGAAATAGAATACAATAAAGTTTTCGATTATATTGTGATTATATGTCCAACAATAGAATGGAATATGACTTACATTAATTGGGCTCATATTAGTGATCATGGAGTCATACAAATTCCATGTTCACAAGAAATGATCAATCTAGTTCTGAAGGCAGTGTCCACCATATTTCGTGGAACTCAAACGCTAATCCTCATTGATGATTGTGCTGCAGGTCAGGATGTAAAGAAAAGAGTCTCAGAACTGGTGCGCCTAGCATTCTCCGCAAGACATTACAACCTATCTGTCATTGTACTTACCCAACAATTATCATCAATTGCAAAACCATTCAGGGAGAACATTTCCAGGCTAGTTACATTCTACAACCCTAGTCGTAGGGATATGAAGGTGATAACAGATGATTACCTAAGTGGTGTTCCTCAGGAGACAATTACAGAGATTACGAAAATATTAAAAGATAAGAAGTTCACCGCACTAGATATACTACTTATTCACTTTTACACATACACTATCAAACAAAACATCACGTAGGATATAAAAGATGGGATCTGAATCTGATGAAGAAATATCTGCAGCTGTGAGGGAAGTAGAAGAGGCCGCAAAGACACCGCAAAAGAAAGCTAAGTCTACCGCAAGAAAAACTAAGTCAGCCGCAGATAAGTCGCAAACTGAAAGCAAAAGAGACAAGCTTATAGAGCTATCTAGGGATGGTGTAATAGAGAAGTCCGCAAGTTTTATAAGAAAGTCCAACAAGGATGTTGTGGATAGACTATACCATGCGTATGAAAGTCAGAGGATGTCATGCGCAAGTGACTTCCTATCAACACTTATAATTTCAAAGTTTGCTTCTATACTGGGGAGTTTCGGTGCAGTAGCATCTTCAGAGAAACTGTCAGAGGAACTACTTAGCGATAAACTTCTAAAGGATGACGTATGTTATTTAACAAGAATGATATCCCCAAACATTCCATTCATAGGTTTAATATCAGGTGGTTGTACAACAGCCAAGCATGTTGTTGCGCATAAGTGGAACAAGAAGGAGGAACCTGAGGAAATATCTGAGGAAGCCAAACATATCTTATTAAATACAGAAGAATGTCAGGATACGAATGGGATAACGCTTGGGAAGGAACTGAATTTGAAGACATAATTAATGGACTGATTGAGAGAGCTGAGGCTAGCGAAAAGGGACTTAAGAAGATACAGGATACCCTTAATGCATTGGAGAAGGACATACACGCGTTCAAGGAAAAGGTTGTTGGGCCACTCCAGTATGACTTCTATACCTTCAAAGATGACACTATCAAAACAGTTGTAAAGATATACAAGGAACTCCATGAGTCGTAGTATTTTATTTGATGTAGGAAGTACATAGTAAGCAGCTGGGTGGGTAGAGGGAATGCTGATACTAGGAAAGCAGTTCAGAGAGCGAGATGGGGGTAAGCGTATACAGAATACGTAAGGGTGTCCTCGAGGACACCCTTCATAAATCGAAATTAAATACTTAATAAAATAGGTCCAAAAATTTTTACATATATAATATAGAGAAAGATGGAAAAACTCTTCAGAAACCGAGATCTTAACGTTAGTGTGAGAACTATTGAAAGAGATGGGGAGGTATTATTCTACGCAAAGGATGTGGCGGAATCCCTAGGGTACTTAAACCCACAGAAGGCCGTCAGGGATCATGTATGGGGATTAAATAAAGTATTACTGGGAAAAGCCAAAGGGGTGAACGAAACGTTCACCCGGAAAACTAGGGGTGAACGTTTCGTTCACCCGGAAAACCGTCAACAACATACGGTTCTTTTATATGAATCAGGAGTGTACCAGCTTACTTTCAAATCCAAACTTCCAATAGCTGAGGACTTCCAGGACTGGGTATTCAGGGAAGTCCTCCCATCTATACGAAAAACTGGCACATACAGTTTACCAGATAGAAGGTCACTTAGATACAACCAAATGATCCTATTAAACGAAACAGACCTCCACCACACAGTCGTGAGTTACATCAGGGACAACTACCCAGAGGCTGTGGTAATACCCGGTCTAGGTGAGTATCAGGACACATCATTTAAGAGATGTGATGCCTGGAAGAAGGGATACAAAGGTGGTCAGCCAGATATTATTATAGAGAATCCTATGGGGAAGTATAAAGGATTTGCAATTGAATTCAAGTCTCCCAAAGGCACCGGAGTCGCAAGTGAAAAGCAAGTGTTATGGTTCCACAAGCTTATGAAGATAGGTTACATGGTGATGGTGTCAGATGACCTTGTAAAAACTTGCATTAGAATCAACGAATACTTTTCACTTAAGAAGGTCGCAAAGAAGGTCACAGTGAACAACACACAGTGCGCTGTAAGGTTGTACAGACCTAGGTTCAGTTCAGGTAAGTACTAGTCAGGTCATCTCACCAGTAGATTTGAGATACCCCACCAGTTATCTCACAAGTAGATTTAAGTTACCTCACCAGCAGATTTAAGTTATCTCACCAGTTATCTCACCAGTAGATTTAAGTTATCTCACCAGTAGATTTGAGACATCTTACAAGTAAATTTGAGTTATCTCACAAGTAGACTCTAGATGTCTCACAAGATAAAACCCAGTTAAACCTAAGGTATCTTACAAGTAGAATGGAAGATAAACCTGAGCAAATCCAAGCACAAGTAACAAGTGAAAAGAAGAAAGACCCAAAAAGAGTAGCTGCAGGAAAACGGTTAGCTGCAATCAGCAGAATAGCAAAGGAGAGGAAAAAGAAACTTGCAGAACCTGAGGAGTCATCCAGCAATAACATGATCGCATATGTAGGAGTGGTCATCGCATTGGTATCCCTTGCTCTAGCATTTAATCAGCATCAGAGGGAAACAAAGAAACCAGAACCTAAGTACATCCCTGAAACTGTAGAAGTAACCAGGAAAGCTGATGCGTCTAAGTTAGATTCACTTGAATGATACGTTAAACATAATATATATTATAGCAAGATGAGTAAAGAATCAAAGATGACCGCGGAAGTGTACAACGCAGTGTTACTTACAGCAGGAGCAGTTGGTATATCAATGGCATAAAAAAAACTATTGAAAGAACCGTTAGGAACCCCAGAGAATGTAAAAGGAATGGTAAAGCTAGCTGTCTCAGTTAGCCTCTCATCTCTACTAGTCTCTTACCTGAAAGAAAAGAAGTATATACCAGATGATCCATTCAAACCTAAGTAAGACTATACAATGGCGGGAGCAGTAGCAGGAGGACTCTTTAACGCATTTGCATTTGCTGGAGCGGGATTCTTATTCAAAATGTTTGACAAGAATGGATACGCTGAGGAGGCCCACAGACATAACGTTGCAATGGAGAACTTAACAGCCGAAAGAGAGAAGTACCTTGAAGAGGTCACTAATAGAAGAAATAGGATTGCTGAACTAAAGTCGGAACTAGCCGAGGCAAATAAGGATATTAATTCAACGAATAAGTCACTGGAACTCGTTAGAAGAATCAATGAGTTAACACGCACAGCTATGCCGAGAAGACCGCAATTAAGCAATCACTACAAACCTAGCTCAGAGATGGCAGAATACATGGCAATATTCGGTTTAATTACAGGTGGGGTGGTTGGAGGGGCGGCTTATTTATTGCTAATACCACAATAAATTTTTACATATATATTATAGAGAAATGGATTGGCTTGCAATGGTAGACGTTGACGAAGTGGTAGCCCTGGGAAAAAGGGTGGACACCATAGAAGAACTGGAGGCTGCAGTAAAAAAATATGTGGAATGGAGAATAATAAGGAGGCGTAAAAATAAACCACAAAAACAAGCAGAAAATTTTAACACATATAGTATAGGGAATGGACTGGCTGACACTGGTAACACCTGACGAAATGGAACGAGTCGGTAAGAACGCAAAAACTATTGAGGAGCTAGAGGCTGTAGTAATGAAATACGTGAGAAATAAAATGAGGGTCAAACACACATACGAACCAGTATGTAGTGAATGTGGTAGTAAGTCCACTGTGGTGATAGATGGAGCAGATGTATGCACACAATGTGGCACAAGTGATATGAATGGCTTCACATACTATGTTAGTTACAACCACAACAAGGACAACTATCTGAAAAAGAAGTCTTGTCATAATAGAGTCCGTTGGTTCGAGAGACACTTATTAGAACATGTTGCTTCAGGGGATAGGGATACCATACGGGAGCAGTTTAGAAGCATCGTAAGATGTATACAAAGACTTAGACTGCAACGGGGGCGCAACATAGTTAGATATAAGTTTTACCTATTAAGGATAGCCAGCATGAACAGCATCATATTGAGAAACCCACCTGAGGATATCAAGACTCAAAGAATTGTGAACATCCTTGAGGACAGACTATATGGAAAGGTTTTCCCCGAGTTGGGATGGAAACCTTTGAAGTGTAAATATTATGACGGCTGGAAATTTAGACATAAATAAAATATTAATTATTGGATTAAATAAAATATTAATTATTAAATAAAAATTATAAAATAAATAAAAATTAAATTATTAAATAAAAATTATTAATTAAATAAAAATTAAATTATTAAATTAAATAAAAATTAAATAGACCTTTTAATAGGTCTATTTTTTTTTACCTATAGTATATAGAGAAAGAGTGAAAAAATGGCGACAAACTTTGACATGAACGATATGACCGTTGAACAACTTATGGCGCTTGGTGAAATAATTGATGATAGCGATTATGAGGAAAATCTTGAGGATGAAGTGGAGAAACTCTATGGGGACAAGTCCTACCGTGTTGCACCTAAGGACAAGGGAGAAAACCCCCTCATGAAAGAAAAACTGTTCATTGATGAAGGTGATCGCACTACGGATCCTAAGAGGCCAAGGAGGCTCCCACTAAACTATAAGGGCAAGAGAGGAATAATGCCGACATGGAAATATTCCGAGAGACAGAAGGCAAAGGCCCTACTAGTTGAGGAGGCGTACCAGAGCCTACTAAGTAAAGGAGTTGAAGGCCTGCCACCAACAATGGGAGGTAGATGGAGAACGGATGATCCCCAGGTGAACGCGGAGATGAAGAGGCTCGAAAACCTTAGGAACCCCAAGCGTCCTAGAGGTAGACCACCAAAGGTTAAGGCTGACAGTGAAGCCAAGGCCCCCAAAAGGAGAGGTAGACCACCAAAGGCTAAGGTAGCTGAAACACTAAAGGTTAAGGTCCCCAAACCACCAAAGGCTAAGGTAAGTAAAACACCAGAAGCTAAGGTCCCCAAGAGGAGAGGTAGACCACCAAAGGCTAAGGTAGCTGAAACACTGAAACCTAAGACTAGAAAACAAACAGTCGCGGAGAGGTTCATAAGTCAGAACCGAATAAAACTCTCAGTTCCCGCGGATAGCGTTATAACTCAGGTGGGACCAAATAAGTTCACGGTGACTGTGGACCTCAGCAGAAAACCAACAAGGAAAGCTCCTGAGGTACCAAAGGGTGTGGCTCCGTGGAAACCTAGGGAAAGACCAGTTCCCAAACCAAGAACTGTAATTCCTAGGGAAAGACCAGTTCCCAAGCCTAGGACTGTAATTCCTAGGGAAAGACCAGTTCCCAAGCCTAGGACTAAAAAGCCAGTGCCTCCTCCAAAGTTAAGGAAGCCTGTGAAGGTAACCAAGGAAGTTGGGGAACAGCCGGTAGTGGTCGCACCAGAGGAACATGAAATCGATCCTTTTGGAACATACCTTGAGAAGCCATCCTATAGGAAAATAGAAACTGCCGCAAATGGTGCCGCTGTGACTTATTCCATAACTCCAAATTATATGGATCCCCTAGACCAGATGACCGCGAGTAGGCAGGTGGTGAGGGGAATATTAGTAAATGAGCTGAAGAGAATGGGAGGTCTGAAATATACGGAAACCATCAAGGTAAGAATGTCGAAGGAAATCGGAAATGATAAAACAAAGAAGGATTCAATATACTTCAAGTCAAAAACAGGAACCGCAACCAACTTCGAGGACATTGAAAGCACTGCCGCCCAGAACCAGCTGAGAATCTTATCTAGAATTGAAACCTTCCAGAACTTAGGTTCAAACTGGATCATACTAAATATTGAGAGCCATTACGTTAATATTGCGATGTATAAACCTCTAAAGGGTAGTTCATATATGAAGTTACCCGCAGACATCAGCAATCCAAAATGCGGCCTCATAAATATGCAAAACAATGACAATAAATGTTTTATGTGGAGTCATTTGAGACATGTGAGACCAAGGGCTAGAAGAGCAACCACCATAACACGGCAGGACAGAGAGTTCGCGAAAAACCTAAACTATGAGGGAATAGACTTCCCCGTGAAAATAAGCGACATTGATAAAATTGAGAGGAAGAACTCCATAAGCATATCAGTGTTTGGTTATAAGGGTAAGAAGCAGTTCTATCCAATTAGAAACTCCAAAACAAAATATGACGAGCATATGGAGCTGCTGCTGTTGGGTGACAACGACGGTGGTAACCACTACGTTCTAATAAAGGATGTAAACAGAATGCTCTTCAGTGTTAGCGGAAACTCGAACAACAAACACTTCTGCCTACACTGCCTGCATAGTTGCGTTAGTGAGGAGTCACTGGAAAAACATCGTGAAACATGTATTGAGGTAAATGGAACTCAAGCCACAAAGCTTCCGAGTGAGGGTACAAAAATAAAGTTCAAAAACCATAGGAACTCAATGCCCGCACCATTTGTAATATACGCCGATTTTGAGTCCATACTAGTTCCAGAAGAGAGAAAACTTGAATCTGAAGACCCTGAGGACAAGAGTACTACAGAACTATACCAGACCCACAAGGCCTGTAGTTTTGGGCTTAAAACAGTGTGCCACTACGATGACCAGTACTCCGGTGAATATATAAGCTACGTTGGTAAAGACGCCACAGTGGTCTTTTTGAAGACCGTACTGAAGGAGTCCATTAAGTGCCGAGAGATGGTAAACAAAATATTCAAGAAAAAGATGGAAATCACACCAGAGCAAGAAGCTGAGTTCTGGATGACAAGGAACTGCTCCATATGTGGCAACGACTTAGGTGATGACAGAGTGAGAGACCACGACCACGTAACTGGACTGTACCGTGGAGCTGCCCATAATATGTGCAACCTAAAATATAGAATCACATGGAAAGTTCCAGTGGTCTTCCACAACCTAAGAGGTTATGATAGCCATCTAATAATGCAGGAAATCGGTAAGTTTAAGATGAACATCAACGTGGTCCCAAATAACATGGAAAAATACATTTCCTTCTCACTAGGTAAAAGTCTTGTGTTCATTGACTCAATACAATTCATGGCTTCTTCCCTGGAGGCACTTGTGAGTAACCTTTCACCTGAAGACTTCAAGATAGTCGGTCAGCGGTGGCAAGGTGAGGACTTAGATCTTGTGAGACAAAAAGGTATATTCCCTTATGAATACCTGGATGACATAAGTAAACTTGATACTGAGGGACTTCCAAGTAAAGACAAATTCTACTCATCACTATATGAGTCTGAAGTGAAAGAAGAAGATTACCAGAGAGCTCTAAAAGTCTGGGATCACTTTAAGATGAAAACAATGAGAGACTACCACGATCTCTACCTGGAGACTGACGTTCTTCTTCTAGCAGATGTTTTTGAGAATTTCAGGAGGACTTGTCTGGAAAACTATAAGCTTGACCCTGCTTGGTGCTACATATCAGCACCAAGTCTAAGTTGGGACGCATTCCTAAAACAGTCAGGAGAGGAAATAGAATTGGTAAGCGATATGGACATGTTCCAGTTCTTTGAGAAGGGAATGAGAGGTGGGATAAGTCATATTGCCCACAGACACTCTACAGCAAACAATAAGTACATGGAAACGTATGACGAAGAGGCTGAAAACAAGTTCCTTATGTACCTCGATGCCAACAATTTATATGGCTGGGCAATGTCTCAACCTCTACCAAACGGAGAGTTCGAGTGGGTCGAGGAAGTTGATAAAATAAACCTAGATGACTACCTTGGAGACAGCGGAAGGAGTATGGTCCTTGAGGTTGACATGGAATATCCAGAAGAACTTCACGACCTACACAACGGTTATCCTCTAGCCCCGGAGAGCAAGGAAATAGATGCCTCAATGTTGTCGAACTACGCAAAGAGTATTGCTGAGAAATTCCAGCTTACGATTGTAGGAGTAAGAAAACTGGTGAACTCGCTAGGTCCCAGGAAGAACTACGTCCTACATGCCCGCAATCTGAAACTTTACATGGAGCTTGGAATGAAACTTACGAAGATCCATAGAGCAGTCTCCTTCAAGCAGTCAACTTGGCTGAAAAACTATATTGACTTCAATACTCAAAAACGGTCAGTAGCTAAAAATGCGTTTGAGAAAAACTTCTTCAAACTTATGAACAACTCCATCTACGGAAAGACTATGGAAAATTTGAGGAAGAGAGTTGACGTAAAATTGGTGTCATCGGAAAATGACCTCCTAAAACTTACAGCATCACCGTGCTTCCAATCACATAGGATTATGAATGAGAACTTAATTGTGGTAAAGAGAATGAAGGAAGTGTTAACTCTGAATAAACCGTGCTACGTGGGAATGAGCATACTAGACTTATCTAAGACCCTGATGTACGACTTCCACTACAACACAATCAAAAAGGAGTACGGTGACAAGTCGAAGCTCCTATTCACAGACACTGATAGTCTAATGTACGAGATCAAGACTGATGACGTGTACAAGGACTTCAGGAGGATAGGTAAGAAGCAGGACTGTTGGGACAACTCAGATTATCCGAAAGATTCTCCATATTACTCAGCTCACAATAAGAAGGTAATTGGAAAGTTTAAGGATGAAGCTGAAGGAGTACCAGTGATTGAATTCGTAGGGTTAAGGTCAAAGATGTACTCCTACGTGAAGGAAAGTGGTGGAGGTGGAATGACAGCGAAAGGTGTGAAAAAGTACGTGATTAGAAACAAACTCACTCACGAAAACTTTAAGAACGTAATCAAGACCAAGGGTAGGATGAGACATAAGATGAACACGATTAGAAGCATCAAACATAAAATCGGAACTTACGAACTGAAGAAAATTACACTCAGCTGTTTCGATGACAAAAGATACCTACTTGAAGATGGTGTTACAAGTTACGCGTACGGACACCACTCAATAGGAGAAGTGAAGGCCGAGGTGGTGATTGAAGAAAAAGTGGAACCAAGATGTGTACTAGAAAGGGTTGAAACTCAGAGTGAATACTGTAGACTCGAGGAAGCAGTAGAACTCTACGAAGGCTCTCCTTGGGAAAATCTAGAACTAAAAGAAGAGAAACATATTCCCAGACCAGAATACAAAGTAGTGATTCCCCTAAAGAGGTTTAAGTTCAAGAAACCAACACCATTGAGGGTAGTCATAACTGATGAGAATCATCTAAGGAAAAACTACGACATATTACCAAAAGATGAAAAGAAATATTTAAGAATGGTGTTGGGAGAGAAAGCGGAGTCGTTGGGCGTTCAGGTAATCAGAACGCCTGGAAGTAATAAGTTGACTGCAATTGGATTTTGAGTAAATTGTTAAATAGAGAATTTAGAGATTGGATGAAAGTCGACTGGAAATAATAGAAAAAAATAAGGTAAAAAAGACCAGAAAAAATGGTCTAGAAAAATATGAGCCCGCGTTTTTCGGGGAAAATATGGAAACCGCTGACCGGAAGTTGGGTGAGATCGCGGGCCGAAAAAGTGGTCTAGAACCCTCAGTTCCTATACTACTAGTTTCGACATAGTTAATAAATATGTATGAAATAGTTAAAACATAGTGACAATATAGGTATAAAGATGTAATAAATAGTTGAAATGAGTTTCAACTAAGTTTAAAATAGTCAATAAATAGTCGAAAAATAGTGATATTATAGTTTAAAAATAGATAATAAATAGTTCAAAAATAGTGATAATATAGTTTAAAAATAGATAATAAATAGTTCAAAAATAGTGATATTATAGTTTAAAAATAGATAATAAATAGTTCATAAATAGTGATGATATAGTTTAAAAATAGATAATAAATAGTTCAAAAATAGTGATATTATAGTTTAAAAATAGATAATACATAGTTCAAAAATAGTGATAATATAGTTTAAAAATAGATAATAAATAGTTAAAATACATCCCAGCTTGTTAAAAAATAGATAATAAATAGTGGATATAATATTGCCCAAATAGATTAAAAATAGTTAAAAAATAGTAATAACATATTAAATAAATATTTAAAATATGTCCTGTTAATACAGTTAAAATAGTTATTAAATATAGTGTATACAATTACATATAGCCTATAAATATTTTTAAAATATATTATAAATACCAGTAGTTAAAACATAGATAATAAAAAGTTAAAACATATAATGTAAATAGTCTTTAAATAAAATATAATTAGTAAAAAAAATTGAGAACAAGTGTAGAAGTGCTGAAACATCAGAGGCTATTACAGACCTTACTTTAGTATTTACCGTCTGTAAATTCCAGACAATTTTACTTATCAGTAGGTAGAGGTCTGTCAATAAATGAGTTAAAAATCTGTAGTTAGCAGTCTCTTTGGTAGCCAAATAGTTAAGTATATACATACGGTAACTTGGCTGGAGACAGGGCAGAAAAAAAGCAAGAACATCATGTAACATCAAGAATAGGGCGAAGCTCAGCTGCAGCTAGTTCAGGCCTTCTTTACAGGTTAGAAAAAACATTTATATATTTGAATAATACCCTGAATCTAGCTGGATATTTTTCAACTATCCAACATATACCCTGTATGGAGCTGCATAGCAAAAACATTCTATCCTGCACACCCTACAAAGAACTTCATTCTTCAAGTAAGGTAAGAGCAAATTGCTCCTTTATAGGTGTTAATATTTAGGTGAGATATGGGCGAACATGCCACAGTCGGTAAGTAAAATTGTCTAGCATGAAATGTCAGAGTTAAATAATAATATCAAAGTACTTAAGTAGGAAGTGTTTGATGTCAACATGAAACATGGGGAGAGTCTAGTACGCTAGCTAGACACTTCCCTTGATGAATAAAATTGTCCGGCATTAGGCAAGATAACATTTATAACAAAGTGCTGAATATTGGGCTCATTGGAGTGAAATGGGTAATTCCAAAAACAATCAAACCCTTGCCGGGGTGTCTCTAAAATATATAAAATGTAGCCCAAAGGTTGTTACATATATTATTAAGCAGAACAGGTGGTGTATTAACTAAATGTATTCATAAGTTTGAACAAGCAAACTAAGGACTTTAACTGTTTTCAGTTAGGGACACATCTATAATCAAGTTGCCACATATGACAACAACACATCAAATTGATATTTTTATCTATCCTAAACTCATCCACCTATATATGAATAAATATTGGAAACTTATGAAAGTACCAGTTAATTTGAAACCAGTCGATAAATTTTCTCAAACCATGTTTAGCTGGGACATGTCTGGGTAGGCATATGAGAATTGAGTAGATGCCATCATGTCAAGCTATATTATTTTATACAACACTGGAATCTGGCAATCTGTCATATACACTATAGTATACACAAAGATCAAAGTATACTATTTGGCATTACAATAAACATCATTTATAAATATAAAGGCTGAGTCCAATGTAAGCCATTCTATAAAACTAATGTTGTTTTAATTCAAATATTGTCGCAGCAAATTGAAATTTTAAGCCGGAACATGTGCTCAAAATTCACGAATGAAGATAGTAAATATTTCCATTTAAAATTGCTCTATTTATATATAAAACATAACAAAATTCTTACCTGGATGTTTCCCAGTCATCCCTGATCTTTTATCTTTACAATAAATAACAGTTTCGCTCAATAAAAGCTCTGTATTTGAGCCATTTCGAGCGGAAAGTTTAAAACAAAAAAATTTTAAAATATGGTGTTGTGAATTGTGATGCTATCCCAGAAAGCTTTGCGCGCGTTGTAAGAAAATTAGGCACCAGTCTGTCAAACTGCGCTCATCGTAAGAATTTTTGGTGGTATTCATGGTATGGTGTTTTGTCAAAAATGCTGTTTTGTCAAGAGACAAAATACCTACCTCCACAAAGTCCACAAAGACTATAAATATTTTTGTGAATATAATTTCAATGAACTGATGAAAAATTTAAAATTAACTAACTCAAACTGGGAAATTTTGACCAGTTAAATAAATACATTTACCCTTTCTAAATTCTCACAACTTTCTATTTGAATACGAAATAAATAGCTTTTAAGATCTAATTATTTTGCTATTTCAGTGCCTTTTTTAACTATATATCTGGGGGGAAAGAATCCCTCCCCAGTAAAGCCATTTCTGCCCCCAAAGTGCGAAGCAGAATTGCTCATGATTGCTGTCAGAATTGCAGTTGATTTACTTGATAATGAGATTATGCCCTTCCATAGCCTCCTCCACAGCCATCTTGTGTGTAATTCATATTGTTCTTCACCGAGTATTTCATAATAGCGATAGATTTCATGCAAACAATCCGATAAAGTGCTAGCCTTTCCAAGCCTTGCGACTATTTCCTAGCACTCTCCTCTGCGGAGGCGTTGTGTTTTGTTTTGGGAGGTTTTATTGCAAAATTTTTTTTCTTAAAAATATCAAGTTATATTAAGAGCCCCCCCCCCCCCAATCGCCACAAAAACCATTCTCTCAGAAAGGCTAAATCCGTAGAGAATTTTTTTTTTTTTTTGGGGGGGGGGTACACGTTACATGCTCGAAGCTGAAACTGATTAAGTACGTCTCGACTGAGGAAAAAGACGGTATACTGGAGGAACTTAATTTGTGAAATCTCGTTAAAGCAGTTGTAGATATGGTTCCAAGAAGAATAGATTTAGTTTAGATTTTTAACTGTTAAATACATGTATGCATCATGCATCATAGCATGAATATTTCTTCTCAGACTTATTCTGTATCGTACGAAAAAGCAACACAATTTTTAGAATGCGGAAATGGTGTCTCATAGAACCTAAAATGATTTAAATGCAACATTTCTGATCAAAATCACATTGGGATCCCCCCCGGCATCACAGAGAGGAAATAAGGTGACACTGACCCCCTACTCCTATTTTTCAGGGTGACTTTTCCAATTTATTTAATTCCGAGTAGAAATGTCTGGAAAAATTCATGTCTTCGATGTACTTTATAATTTTCGGAATTCTGCTAGATTTCACCCCTAAAATGAATGAAATCGCGATTCAGGGCCCCTAGATTTCATAATTTTCGGGAACCCGGACCCTCCTAGACGGTCTCACGCCTTCGGTTCGCCCCCGCAAAATTAAGGTTTGGCTACGCCACTGGTTATAGCTGTAGATTATAGCTACAAAGAGTTGAAGTAAAATATAGCTGACGTTAATAAATTAAAGTTTTACAAAATCTCTCTTCAGCCTCGCGCGTCAGCGCCAAACCTCGACGGCTCATATTTTTCGTTCTGCCTTTTTTTCTGTTTTGCCCCCCCCCCCCAGTGAAAATTCCTTAAAAAAGGCACTGGCTTGAAAATTATACCTGGCCACGGCACGGTGGGAAACGAACCTACGACCTTTGGAATACTAGTCCAATCGGCTCTGCCAAGGCCTGCCAACTGCATGAGCTACGCGGTCAGGTCGGTTCGAGTACGTGATATTTCGGAACAGAATCTAGTTCCTTCGATATCAATGTCATCTAGTAATCATGATTTTTTTCTGTGTTGGTGTGATGTTGCTTGCCCGGTGTGGATATACACTCAGAGTAACATCACAAGCATCATATTCACCTGAGTACATTACACCACTACCAACACAGAAAAAAAAATTGATTGTGTTGATACATGGCAATATTTGCATATATAGCGGGACTAAATCGTTGGGCTGACTACGCAACTGGGAAGAGTTATCATTTTGTAACAAGTCTGTTATCATCCTGTAACAAGTCTATTATCATCTTATAACAGGGTTAACTTAATGATATAGATGAAAATATTTCTCAATTCTGATTGGCTAAGAGCAGTGCAAGTTTTTCGAAATATAGTGCAAAAAAATTAAATACGATGCAAAAAAAGAAATACAGTGCAAACTTCATTGACTATTTAGGCTTTCTGATTGGCTTAAAATACGAAACAATAGCAACGATAGCTAATAAGATACAGCAAGTTCTAGCAGAAATAATAAAAAAAAACAATTTAGGAGTGACTGTATAGTTTTTTCATGTACACTACTAAATAAGTAATAGTATGCATGTTTCTCGTTGAAATTTGAAAAAAAAATACATTCGTGAGTTTTTAAAGACTTCAAATTGCACTCGTCCTTCGGCTCGTGCAATTTTGATAGTCTTTGAAAAACTCATGCACTCGTGCATGCATGCTTTTTCCAAATTGCACTCGAAACCATACTATTACCAACTATTAATTACCTACACTAATATCATACATAAAAGTATTACTCGTCTGTGATTGGTTGATTTCAGTGCAGTTAATCCCAAACAGCAGTGCAAACTCGCTCTGCAATCACAGTGCAATTTTCTGTAATCATGCACTATGAACCAATCAAAATTGAGCTACGTTTTGGCGGGAAGAATTAAAAATATTCTTTTCTCAAAACATACTCCAACATGGCCGTATTTAGCGGTGCGGAAAGATTCCCACACTTGATCAAGTTCAAATTTGATTGTCTCGAATACTTTTATGTAAATTATTAATAAGTAATAGCATAGTTTCTCGTGAAAGTTGGATGAACATATGCATGCACTCGTGAGTTTTTCAAAGACTTTAAATAGCCTCGTCCTTCGGACTCGTGCTATTTTGAGGTCTTTGAAAAACTCACTCGTGCATGTCATGTCCAAATTGCACTCGAAACCATGCTATTACCTATACTGATCATGAGGCCAAGACAGTTCGCAACAATTAGTTATCCCGACAAGTCTGACATCGTCTGCACATGCATAACAAGTTGTTATAACAAATTGATGACAAGCTCGTAGACAAACAGCTTGCATTTATAGTCTTGTGGGAACATAGTCACTCTAGGGGACAACTTGTAGCACGTCAGTTGACCGTCATCAACTTTGCAACAAGATGATAAATTATCAATCAACTTGTTCTGAGACTTGTAAAAACGGCTGGGAACAAGCTGAAGCAGTACGACTTGTTACAACCATAGATATGTTATATACACTAGACAGTGCATCTAATTATTCTGCAATTAAAAAAAAAATTGAAGCCGTGATTGCAGACTCAGGATATTCCCATGAAATGAGAAGACTCGTGTGTTTTCTATTTCTTAAACAGGGAACTTAAACATTAAGTTAAACCTATTCCAAATACATTTTCAACTTATTCAAATGATGAAAGTTATTGTTTTTTAAGCGTTTATTAGCGAGTGGGAAACTTCAACATGGCCGCCATCTATTCAAATGGGGGTAACCACTGGAATATTCTTGGCTTCAATAATAGATAGCTTAAGATCTACGATGTCGACTTCAGCTAGGACGTCGACGTCGTAGATCTTAAGCTATCTATTACTAAAAGAGATGCGCTATCTAGTGTATATAAGATGTCTATGGTTACAACCTGTTAGCTAGCCTGCGTGGCAGGCGGTTTTTACGGGCAATTTTCTAACAAAATCAAAACATTATTTTAGACAGTCTTTCTTGTGGTTTACTCAAATATTGAGTTTTTAATTCAAGATCACATTGCCATTCAGATTTTTTGCATATAATTTCTAAAACACCGTGCTTTTAGTCTCTTCATTAATTAATGGCAAAATCGCGCGGTTTTTCGGCATCGCGACCGGTTGCTGGTTAGGGACCTTTAAGCCCATTTTCCACTAGGCGAATTTGTTTGCGGCTTCGCGCAAGGAATTGATCGCGAGGAATAGGCAATTCCAGCTTTTAGTTTATGCCTGCAGGGGATGATGGGAAATAAGGTATCATATTGCCGATTATGCTGAAAAATTGCAATAAAAACTACCGAAATATTTCAATATTTACAAGCATAAGCTACACTCCGTGTTTACACGGCCACCATTTTTATTTTTTCAGCATAATCAGCAATGTGATACCTTACTTCCCATTGTCCCCTGCACGCATAAAATAAAAGCTGGAATTGCCAACTGATCCAACTTTTTCGCGGCGAATTTTTTCGCTGATCAATCACATCTCCTAGTGTTTAAATGGGCTTTACGCCTGTTGGGACGGCAACGTGAAGACGTATATGACAGTAAATAATACAATGGAATTCATAGTTTAGAAATATATGAATAATTCAAATGCCCCCATCTTTACTTTAACAACCCATTTTACAAATACATAATATAGCGTGTTTTCTAATGCTATTTGAGAAAAGCATAACAAGATTGCAAACATGACTTTTAAAAGTTTCTCAAACTCGTACCAGGATTTTGGTTACAGTTTAGAATTGAACAGACAGATAAAACCCCAACACAACATACAGTGTGCATACAAGAGATATTGATTATAATACAGTATATCGTCTTCATTAGTTTTTCTTTCTTACACATAAGATTAGTATATAAAATAGTAAAAGTCACGTAAACGTAGGAATGTATTAGTAAAAAAAATACTAAATGTAATAGGATTCCATCAGCTAAAATAAGATTCTTTGAAGAGGCAATATTTTCGTTGCCCAATGTTGGTATATGACTGTAGATGTTACTATGTTTGAATTTCAAAATATACAGCTATTTCAATTAAGGTTGTCCACGAGCAAAGCGGAAAAGTCGAATGCGAGCGCGAAAGGCTGCTGGGAACCGCTTTGAAAATTAATTAATTTGTTAGCGGTTCCCAGCAGCCTTTCGCGCTCGGACAACCTTAATTGAAATAGCTGTATGCCCGCAAACATTTCTTCAAGAGACAGAGGATCAAATGAAGTAATCAACTCACTATCTCCTCAGCATTGCTTTTGGGTTACCAAAAAGAGCCTTATTTTCGTAATAATGCAAAACTTCGTTGTATCTAATCAGCCACAAGCAGTTTTTAAGCCATGATATCAATTATGAAGATGAGACTTAAGTCAAAATTCCGATGCTCATCAGAGCAATAATTAATAGATATTCCTAATTTCCTAATCCCTTAGGTATATTCACAAAAACAAACTGCTTTTCGGGAGGCTAGGGTAACTTCGCTGAATTGCCAATTTGTAAATTTTAAATATTCTGATCTATTATTGACCAAACAATCCACTTTTGCTGTCATTACCTGCCTCACGAGGTTCAAGTTAATGCAAACGCAGTGAATTTTTATGTATCTCAAAATTAGTAATTGTTTCAATTTACTTCTTATTTGGTTAATTACAAGTAATGTTTTGTGCTTTAATCACATTTTACGGTATTCGAATCCTCACGATAATTTTTATTAGTGCCGATACTCCGTAGGAAACGGGTTTTATTTTGTGCGTTATACGAATTCTGGTGCTTGACTTGAATCACGAGGAGTTAGACCACGGCCTTTCCATTTGGGTAGTAAAGCCGTTTCCATACCAACGTCAGTATTTTCACTATCATCATCCGAGGAGTCTGACGAGGGTGTGCGCGGGGTATCCAAACTAATGTCCATTTCTAAAGCACAAAATTTGTCATCTGTTCTATATTTTGGGACTGGACTTCTAGGAGGCTGAAAAATTCCAGCATTTTCACCCGCCATATATAGTCGAGTCAATGGTTCATGAGATTTGGCTTGAGATACTGGATTACACTCAGAATGTCCGTTTATGTTTTCCTTGCCATCAACGTTGTCAAATGTATTGGCGTTTTCATTTACCTGGGTATTACTATGTGTACCCTGCGTGTCACTCGTTTCTTTTGATGCAAACGTATCTCCTTGTGTGGTCACTGTAGCTGGGAGTTTATTATTTCGTACACCTAGTGGTCCAGCTTTAGAAGAATCATTCTGTTCTTTGTTCTCTAATTGTTTAACTTGGTCTTTTACTGAGACTCTAGTCCGTCTCGTGCGAACACCGTAAATCAAAAGTCGATCACTTGTCAGTTGTTTCTCAAGTCTTTCTTGTCTATTCTCAAACTTTTTCCGTCTATCGTTCTCATATGTTGCACTTCGTTTACGACGAGGAGTGTCTCTATACAAAGTACTAATACTGGATTCGTCTCCTGACCTCGAAGCAGCAGATGATGTAGTCTCTGATGTACCTGCTCTCTTACGGAAACCCTGATCCTCAGATTCCGTATTAACTGGAGTGACATCTGAGTCAGTAGTTTCACCTGCAGTTGTACTCGATACCGTAGACGTTACAAGGATTGTTTCATCGTTAGCTCCAACATCATTTTCGTGTTTTAAATCATTTCTGTTAACAGATGAGTTATCCACTTCCTTTCTAGGAGGTGATCCTCGAGGAGACCCAGAGTCTTCACCTTTGATGTTATTATCCCCCATATAAGCATTCATTAAAGCTGATCCACGCTTACCCAACATATCCGGATCACTATTTCGCTTCCCAACACTAAACGCTTTAGACCGACGTCGTGGGATGGTACCCTCGTCGGAATTAAACTCACCAGGTGAAGGAAAGTCTTCTTCTTTTGTCGTGTCCACTGGCACTTTAGATTGCAACATTTTATTAAACTCATCTTGAATTTCGTCAGTCAGTGAGCTGTCTTTAGGTAACTTCAATGAATCCTTATCGTTAGAATTGTGTATAATTTCGCGTCCTTCTGATTTAGAGTTGAACATTTTTTCAGTGTGTTGGTTGTGTTCGACATTGTGGCTTGGTCGATCTAAAGAGAAGAAATGAGAGTTTTACACCAAGTATACGAATACAAAAATGTCAAAGGGACAAATGACAGTGCGCATTCTAGAAAAGTCTAGCATTTGAAACAGTTCTTATACAGTATGATGTCTTAAATGATCTTCGGAAGAAGTGTCATTTAATAAACTGTACTGTAGATTTCTACATTTTCTGCAGTTGGGGTGCAGAGAGAGAAAGAGAGTATGGCGCCGGATCTCCCAAGACTTTTCCCACGCCTGTGACGGTCAAGCAAATAGTTTTTTCACTATCACCACTCTGCATGCTTAACCACATAATTGTGCAGCAGAGGTAAGTAGGACACTCCGTTGAGCGGCAAAAAGGGAACAATTTAAAAAATTATGTTGAACGGTTTCTCTTTCAAGTCCACATTGGTGAATCACAACAATTAATTCTATACAATTCTCAAATTCATTAATAATTCATGAGCAATTCAGCCAATGATAATCACCTATTTGATCACAAGATGCCACTTGGATAATCCGGTGAAACTTGATGAAAGTCACTAGTGTTTTCATCAAATATCTTAATTACGCATGCAAAATTACTTGAATAGAATTCCTAATTACGTTATGCTTGGTTAAGAATTCTATTCAAATCAGCAAACGAAAACATTCTGTTACGTCTCGATTCATTTGAGAAGCCATACATTGTTTTCTCGTGTTTGGATATCCCGGTGAAACACTCGCTCTCGTTGTTCATATATTGCATAATCTTTCAAAGCACAAAATCCTAATCTGAGCCTTGTATGTAACACAGAAGCCCTTCTTGTCAACGACAAGTCATATAACTTATTGTAACTTGAAATACAATAACTGTCAAGGTTGGAAAGCTTACCTTTATCTTGGTCAACCAACGGAAACTTTTCATCATCTTGAGGAGTTAACTCTAAGTATCTATTTCGATCTTCCAAACTGCCAGGAAGAGAAATCGAAGCTTCATCAAAAACACTTGTGGCTTCCCCCTATAGATAATATATAAACATGATTACCGAACGACGACAAGAGCTTGAATGATAGAAAATATAAAAAGTAGAGTGAAATATTACCTTTATATCAACACGCTCATTTATTTTCATTGTGTCGGAGTCCGACCTAAATAAATGAAAAATAAAAAAACTTAATCAAAACTCAACTACTCCCAATCAATGAAACGATGATTCCATAAGTGAACGATCACAAGAAAAACGACATTTACTTTTCTATCGCATAATCTAAGCGCCCATTTATGAAACGAAATTACGACTCGCGTCTCCAACCTATCTGGGAATCTAGTCTTTCATTTATATATTTGGACGTAGACATTTTTTCACTTGTTTCAATCAAGACATTCTAAATGCATTCATTGCAACATTCATTCACACACTTAACCTCACACATGCAATCTGACATCCGTGTTGACAAAAACGTCGCTTGCTTAAGCTATCATTCAAAGGCTTTTGCCCACTATCCCCCCCTCCCCCTCCCATATTGCCCGCCATTGATGTGCAGGTTCAGTGAGAATCACACTTCCTCTTGTAGTACGATATGCCTTTCTCACCAGTTTATTCATAACCATGCAGAGTACTAAAGTTAGGGTTTGGATTAACATTACTCTTCTTTCTGGATTATGATTACATTCTAACCGTGTGGTCTTCCTGCCATACTCGAAACACTGTATAACTGTAGTACCGTTAGAATGTAATCGCCGTTGAAGTTCTAAGAATGTGGAAAACATACCTGTTAATATCTTTCACATCAGACGATTGTGATGCGAGTTGATCCATGGGAGACAGACCTTCACCTGAAAGATTACATATATGAAAAATATGAAAAGTCAGAATATCACTGCATTGTCTAAGGTTAACAATAACATCTTCCCTAAGCTAAATTTTACATCATCTAAATATGTTTAATTAAATCATTTATCCTTTCTTACACACATTCACAAACCTGTTATATACAGTGTAGTTTAAAGTGAAGATAGACAACATTAGCTGACCTTTCTTATAAAAACTTACAACTTCGGATGACTCAGATGCCTATAGATACTATGGTTTCAGACGGGAAGTCGGCATCATTGAACTACCCACCTCTTACTCTGGTACTTCGTTCACCGTAAAGATCTGGCATGCCAATTTCCTCCTCTTCAGATTTTAGTGAAACAAATTTCTAAAGATTGAGAAAAAACTAACATAAAGCGACTCTCACAACACACAGTGACCAATAACAATGTAGAAGAATTTGTAAATGGAAATATCGAGTGTAAATTTCATACATTTATTTCGCCATAACCAAGAGCACCATAAATGAATAAAATTTACAATCCAAATTTCCATCTATAAAATTCTTCAAGATTAGTTCAATAGCAGGCCTTAAAATATATTTTACAAGGCCGTCTGACAAAATGTCCGATGACGTTGAGATTGGGTCGGACATATGTCCGATGACCTTCAGTTCACTTTTGACTCGGAAGGAAATAAGTCTGATTATTAATTCTGAACACTAAGTGTTATGAAGATATTAAATAATTTGTTTCTTTCACACTTATTTCCAAGCCAAAATTAACTTGCTTTCCAGAACAGCAGTATTAAAAAAGACTTTGACAAGACTGTTTTAGACTTCCTCGTCACATACATATTATAGGATCTACTAATAACCTCTCATATTCAAAATAGTTTGGAGAACCCTATATTATGATGTAAATATTTAATATTGTAAAAAATGTGTGACAAATTCAATTCAACTCAAGCCCGTTTTCCACTTCACCATTTCGTTCGCCGCCCCGCGCTTGACTACGTTAAAACAACATTTCCAGTTCACCTTTATATAATAGTACTCTGATTTTCCATTTAACATACAAGCCTCTAGTTCTGGACTGGGCACATTTTGATTTATGATGGACAAAGCTACAGTTCGGTCGGACACCAATACACTCGGGTCGGACAAACATTAAACCTCAGTTTTAATTAGGTCGGACAGAATGTCCGGTGGTTTCCTCTCAACGTCGGACAATTTCACGAATGGGTCGGATAATGTCCGTGACCGACCGATATTTTAAAGTCTGTTCAATCGAGTGAGATGGCCAAAATTCCTGATATTTACACAATCACAACTCTAGTTTGATCTTTATTTCTTTTGATCATGCGCTTCCATTTGATCATGACCCGTTCAAGAGGGGAAATAACGGGTAGGCGAATCATGTTAATTCTTTCCATTATAATTTATATGCCGCCATCATGTATAGTACGCACTTGGTGCATAATAAGTAAAATAGCAAGATGTTTAATTTCCCTGCTCCAAAAGTGTCAATATTCTAATGTTGACAACTTGACCACTCTATCCGCTGCCCTGCAACGCTTACTGCATACCCAACTATTGCCATCTATCTTGTTGGGTATATCCATACAATTTCGTCGGGTAAATTTTGAAAATATTTGAGTGTCTCGGATTGAAAAGTAATAGTTGTAGGAAAATGTTTTATAAATTTAATTAATTAAATTACGGTAAATTATTTCGAAAGTTAGTGAAAAATGCTGTTCGGAAATTTTTTTACCCCCCACCTCCCCCCCCCGCCAACAATTGTGGAAAAAGAAATATTAATTAGCGACTGACAGGTTTGTCCGTCGGGAACGACTTCGGCCGCGCCTTTTTGGTCGGGAAAAACAAAAACCCCCCTAGCAGTAATACCGAAGTTTCGTCCCTGATCTTAGTATAGTAAAACATTCGAAAGCTTCGGATTGATAGGATGTAACTACTTGAAAAATACAAGGAGAACTTGGACGTTTCGAGCGAAGGCCCTTTGTCGCTACTAACTTCCAGACGAGGGACCTTCGCTCGAAACGTCCAAGTTCTCCCTGTATTTTGGCATTTATTATCAGCACTACCTACTCTGGCACAGACAGTTCAAGATCAGTAAAACATTACCTCGACAGGGGTATTTGGTAACGAAGAGTCATTTTCCTCATTCGAACCATTTCCTTGTTGTGCTTCAGGTTCATCTGGAACGTCATCAAATACCTGAATGCAGCATGCAGTAAGTTAGATTACAAATTAAATTTCACTATTCCACTCACAGCATATGTTCAAACATTTAATATGTAATACGCAGAAAAACGTACCTGAGGGTTGACAATAAGTAATGCAACGATGCGAGTTTGATGAGACATATCGACTAAAGACGAGAGTGATGTATGTGAATTCTCGCTAAAACAGAACAGAAAAGTTATTTAGTGGCAAAAATCACATGTTACTCCAAATAGATTTAATCTTTTAATTAATTAAACTCAACAAATTTCATTTAAATGACATAATAAACAATAGCATTCTCCAACTAACCTCTCCAATCTCAAAATGGTAGGACCAAAAACAATTGCTAAATTTTGTGGATTCATTTGATTATATTCTTCATTAATGGAAACTCTGAAAAACAGGAGAAACTAGATGTTTTCACCATGGTCATAAAGTCGATTGTGCATGTTATCTCCCAGTTGATAGCATAATAGAGCTAATGGAGCGTTCTGGCCAGGGAGTCAGTGACCCTCAGCATCTGTACACAAACCAGAGAAAAGCACTACCTCCGTGAAAGATATAACTAAGACGATGGAACTTTAAAGACAGGTTGGTTCATTTCCAAAACATTAAAAAACTATTTATAGATGATCTAGAATATAACATTTCTACACCATGAAAACGACGTGGTTGTACCATGATAACTACATTGCTACATCCTTTTAAATTCGTTTGTCATCATTTGTGAGGTTACAAAGCTTCTATCAAATCGTAGGTTAATCAAACAAACAACACTAAAAATTACTTACTTGTGTAAATGCTTGATAAGTGTAGCTGTTGTGAGATAATTTGATCTAGGTAATTTCTTGATAGTTAATTGTAGTTGCTCTAAAAGTTTCTTAAATTCTTGTTTACCATCACCCTCGTATTCATCGACGCGCAGCCAATTTAGATGTGTACTCTCCTATAAAAGCCCCAACTTTTTATTTACCAAAATAAGTCTCTAACCTAACACATAATGAGGATAATGAGCATAAAGGCTGCAGTTGACGAATAGGACGGTATCTCCTGAAGATATAAAGAGTCCACCCAACCTACTTTCCATCCACAAACGGACAATCAACTAACTGACTCTTTGTTGGTTGACCGCTCTACAATGACCGCAATGACCTTATCTTTCTTTCCGTAGGTTTAGCTGTCTGTGATCACAGCACTGTAATGACTGTATGGTAAAGACTTAGGGTTCATTTGAAGTTTTGAACAAACGTAAAAGCGCATTTTACGCTCTGTGTAACCATCAACAACTGTTATGGCTTTCAAGAGGATTCACAACCTCGTGAAAATCGGGCGGGCAGGTCCTGGGTACGAGGTTGGAGGATTCAAAGACCTACAGGTTCCAATTGGTGGCCTTTTTGAAATCAACTTATAGCAGCCGGTCTATACAAAAGCAGTAAAACATTACTATGCCGTTGCTGCCTGAAAACGCTCTTCAAAAATTTGAAGTTAGCCCCATGTTTTCATTTCAGGTACAGTTTAATTTTCCGGTGGTATCCTTAATAAGATTTTTTCAGGCTTTTCGGCTATATTTAATTCACTCATACCAGAAAACATGTTGTTGGGTGTTTATTTGTTAGCATGAATATATAAGCAGATATTTCCGACATTTCAAACGAAGGCCCTTCGTCAGAGAGTTTACACGTGCATGCAGTCGCTGACAAAGGGTATTCTCTCAAACGTCGCAATCCCTGATAAATTATTCAGCCTGATTTAGCCTGAGTACATATCAGGCTCGATTTTCCCTTCCTTAAATTCAGGCTAAGCCTGACGAGAATAAACAGCTAGCGAATTTGTATTATTACACCCCCATTCAGGGACGACGCTGAACAGCTAAGTTTATTTGAATGTGCTTTATTATGATTTTTTAAGTATTTATTTATTTAGCGTTTTTACCTTGGCTAGTTGAATAAGATCAGAATAAAGTTTTGTTGTCATGAGTGGTTCAGGTAGCTAAGAAAATAAGAGAAAGTATTAGACAATGTTGAATAATTATATTGTGTCTCCAAAGACATCCCCTGTCATCAAAGCCGCTTTTCCATTCTTCGCAAGAGTCAACTTGCAAGCTCGCTGCGAGCGGTTTCATCCCGGCAATAGACCTTTTGCATAATGACGTCACAAGGCTTGATGCCCGCGAGTAATGCTGGTCTTAGTAGTCATCGCCCGGGAAAATTTCGATAGTGGCCATTTTGAATTGTTTAATTTCCCGGGCGATGACTATACTATTAAAGACCAGCATTCCTTGCGGGCATCAAGCCATGTGATGTCATTATGCATAAGGTCTATTACAATGCTCGACAGTTTATTTTAATTCCATGCAAACACGTAAGTGGTACGGAGTACCAAATGACGCGCATCCTATAAATGACGTATCTCCATTTAGTAAAACATACCTGTCTGATATAGAGCTTTAGTACCGAGGCTATAAGATGTGGAGGTTGTGTTGATAAATCCACTGATTCAGCATTCGTCTCAAATTCCTAGAAGTAAACGTTATTTGATATGGGCGTTAACATTCACTTTGATATAAAAACCGCACAGACGCAGCCTAATAAACAATACGGTTGGCGTCTTCTTTAGAGGGGGCTTCGGTGGCGCAGTCGTCAAAGCCAGCGGCTTTCACCTCTGAGTTCGTGGGTTCGATTCTCTCTACGGACTCACTTGAAAAGAATCAGTCAACGCTCTGCCGAAAGTCGTGGGTTTTCTCCGGGCGCTCCGGTTTCCTCCCACAGGGAAAGTTGACAGGGTGGGTTACGATAAATACAGTTAAGAAAGTAATCACAATTGTTGTAAAGACAAATAGTCCAGGCTAAGTAAGTAACATAAGTAAACATAATACATTATTAATACTTGATGTAATCGCTCACTGAAAAGCCCCAATGGGGAGTGAGCTGAATAATAACGTAACGTCATTATCGAACGTTGAGCTATGTAATGTAATGTTAGTTACGCCTTGACTCCAGTTGAGTGGTGATGCAGTTCGGGTACGGTTAGCCCGCGGTTCAGTTGCGCTTAAACTGCGGTTTAGTTGCGATGGTAAATTCTTGATTGATCCAAAGATCGATCTCTACCTTATATATTAAGCATTGTTATATACTGTTAGGTTATTTCTTAGCGCTCCTGCAGATATAGTGTTTACAAACCTGACATAAACTTTCCATCTTGGATTTCACACCAGAAACTCTGTAAATTCCCTTCGTAAGAAAAAGAATAAAACTTCAATATAAAATTAAACGCAGAAGTTAGATTTGATAGATAAATTCTTATCCCATTTATTCTTCTAATTATTCCATAGTGTAAAATATATTACCTTCACTCTGAGACCTGTAAAGAAAAAAGAAATATAATGGTTAAACTGTTGTACTTATTTGAAGAAATAATATCGGTTCCAAAGTGACTAATACATTGAATGCTGTATGAAGAAAACGCTTTTTTTTACACATAGTATAAGAATATAAGAAATCCTTCAAGTGATATGCACGTAAGATGTAGGAAAGTAAATAAAGCAGGCATGAAAATTATAAATCGTGTTTGGTGACAATGATCTCCTGTCAGATGTCTAACTCGGTGAAAAATTGGCCTGAAAATCCCCGAGTGTTTTGACTCAAAAACGTCTCAATTTTTTGAGTAAAGATTTACTTTACTCAAAAAATAGTAAATTTGCTTATAAACTTGAGTAATTTTATTTAATAATTTTATTCAATAATTTGGTTCATTATTGTACTCTTGAAAGTTTTTGCAGTGAATGAAGGACGTGCATAGGTGGCCCACTAACCTCTTCTGTTTATTTCTTTCACACATTTTGTCACTAACACAGGTACACCACCATCTTCTGAAAACCGCACTCCAAATGTTCTCATACGTTTCATGGGACTTGGAAGACGTCTCTAAATATAAAAGAAAACAAACGTTTTTGTTTAAAATGTAAATACTTAAAGTGGAAGTCAAGTCCGTTCTGCGCATCGGTTCTGCTCATAACAATGTGAGGACCTCTAATGTGAAGATTGCCCAAATTTCGAATGTTTCGAATTTTTCTGAACATAAACTCTATTTCATATTCATTTAGAAGCATAGCGAACCAAAATGGTGTTAGATATTCAGACAGTACATCATACTTTAATAAATACAGCATATTTTAATAAATACAGCAGTTCAAAATGTAAACAAACCGTTTCTTTACATTACGGACTTGACTTCCACTTTAAATACAATAAGAGAAATATATGGAAATTCTTAATTTTTGTTTAAAATGTAAATTTTGTTTAAAATGTGAATTAACAAATATGTTCCGCTACTCTGGTTTTCATCATAACGACTATTAGTGGTTATGTTCAAAGGCAATGTTTGAAACATAAATCATCATGTTTTGAATGAGGATGACGGTAGCGATCTACCACAATTGACCATTTGCGTAATAGACTAAATTTTGAACTAAACAAGTCTAGACAAAAATTTCATTACAGCTTGAAGGAGCATCGCAAAATTAGTAATATTCCAAAGTTTCGTTGCAAAATGTTGTAAAATGCGGAAAATATAGCCTTGCGAAATTTGCAATTTTCAGTCATTTTAGATTACAAACGGGAAATTGACAGCCCCAAACCCTTCGAGGCTGTCAATTTCCGGTTTGTAATCTAAAATGACTGAAAATTGCAAATTTCGTAAGGCTATATTTTCCGCATTTTACAACATTTTGCAACGAAACTTTGGAATATTACTAATTTTGTGATGCTCTTTCAAGCTGTAATGAAATTTTTGTTGAGATCAAAATTTAGTCTATTACGCAAATGGTCAATTGATCAGTCATCTCTCGAGTATACAGGGTGTCTCAAAAAAACCCAAAATCATTGAAATAACGTATTGTTCGAATTTCAATGCCGTAACACAAAGGATTTTGACATCTGTGATTAATTTGTTTTAAAAAATTAAAATATCTTTGTAAAGTGAACGTTTGTTTGCTCATGGGAATTTAAAAATGCTTCGTAAATTGTAATATGCGTAATATGCATTCGTGGGTTTAGTACTTTATGCCTGACATAACAAGTTTACGCTGAGTATTACCATTCATTATAGCAGTTATGTCAATCTTTTATGCACTCGTGGGATTAACTTAGTGCTAGGGCATTGAATATCGAACAATACGTCAATTTCAATGATTTTGGGTTTTTTTGAGACACCCTGTATATGTAGTTGACGACTTGAAATCACTGCTGATGAAGACACTAGACCGGAGTGTCGAGACGTTGTGCAATTTGTTTGAGGATTGTATTCATCGGGAAGATTGCTATGAAACTCATTAGAATAACAATATAACTCATTATCTATGTTAGTCACCGTTTATTCACATATCTGCATGGTCCTTCACCGTCACGTGCGTATTGTATTTTTACCCAACTAACAAACTAGCAATGTTTTAGGAAAGTCACCTATCCGTGACTCGAACAATAGAGAAATTGGAAATTGCTATTGGTGGATTTGGCTAAAATACAATACACACGTTACGGTGAAGGACCCGATTTATGAATAAACGTTGACTAACATAGATAATGAGTTATATTCTTATTCTAATGAGTTTCATAGCCATCTTCCCTTCGATAGGCTATGATCAGACATAGTTGAATTCAGTTATGTAAAAGCACTTACGCTGTGACTACAAGCTGTCACCAAATTTTCCAGACACTTTTTACTATGACAACTTAGACCACACTGAGAACATTCAACACCACTAAATACATAACTATCGCATTCGGAACATCGTGCTGGTGCTCGGATTTTATGAAACGTATGAGTTGATGCTTCCTTTGTCAATGGCCCCTTCGGAAACTTCTTTGGTCGCCTGCCTGTCTTGGCGGGCTTGTTCGATTCTACAAAACAAATAAAATTTTAAAAATTCCACAATGTTTGATCACTATGTTTGTAAGAAAAGATTGAGCCTACTTAGCAAGAACATAAGCATTTTTCAATTCGCCATTTTAAAAATTAGTATTAAAAACGGACTGCAGATCCTGATGCGTGGATCGCTGCATTGTCCTCTATACCAATCGCAAGATATATCACTTTCATCACTTTACATTCTTCTAGTCCTAAGTACGTAAAAATCAGACGCTTATTGACAGTTCTGATATAAAGCAATTTTCGATTACAGGGCAAACAGGTAAACTCGGTTTGAGATGAAAACGTGAGCCACATGTATCTTAAGCGAAATAACGAATGCATAGCAAGTTGGCGCAGCATGAGTACAAGTACATAAATCATAATTTGGAAGAAAGCATTGGAAGTTATGGAGAAGTATGTGCGGGTTTTCACCTACATCGTTTTCGATGAATTGGGAAAACGATTTGCCTGGTTTGATAATAAACATGGCGAAATCCAACATGGCGAAAATCACTCATCGCATATCATGTTTGTATTGCGGGATTCATGTCTTTTACACGAGACAATTGTGTGTAAGGATGATTGTCCGGAAATAAAGAAAATTGGGTAAAAATTTGAAATTTGTGCTATCTAAATGAGGTCGAGTCATTTGCTGAAAATTATTTTCCCGGGATATCTCAACTGGGAATCGAACTCAATGTCTCCGATTAAGAACACACCTGGTAGGTTGTACCGGAGACCTTAGATTCAATTCCCGGTTGGTACATTCGATATTTTAGCAACTCCATTTGGATACCACAAATTACTATTCCTACCAAACTGAAGACCACAAGCAGTACAAATAGACTTACTTGGTTTCTTTATTTCTCCTTCAGATTCATCATCTGTGGAAGGTGGAGGATGAGTTCGTCTTGGCTGTTTCTTACTAGTCTTAGGACTGGATGATGGCGAGACTGAAGGTGATACACCTCCTTCATAATCACTCATGTGACCCAACTTCATAGGAGATAATGAGCCTTTCATGGAACTCTCTAACTCACTGTTTGACCTTTTAAGAAATTAAAGAAAATAATCAAACTTTGTTTTCACGAAGCTGTCCAGCCGCAAACCTGGATCTTAATCAGTGCAAAAACGAATCACATAAACTTGGTACAAATAACTATTTATTATTTGCACTGAAGAAGATCCCGGCTACGTAAAACTCCGTAACTACGTAAAACTACAGTAAAACTCCGCATATAAGAACCTACAATTTAAGAACCTATTAGGCTAAAATATTTTATTTAGACCCCCTTTAAATAACCTGTTCAGGCTAGAATTTCGAAACAGATTCACTGTTTGAGCTTTTAAGAAATTAAAGAAAATAATCAAACTTTGTTTTCACGAAGCTTTCCAGCCGCAAACCTGGATCTTAATCAGTGCAAAAACGAATCACATTATCAAATAGAGTCAAAATTAAGTCATAAGTTACATAAGTTTTACTGTATTTAATTACAATATTATTACCAATACCTTCCACATTGTTGAAATTCGTAAAAGGGACGGACTGCACAGCGAGCAGTAGATTGTTGAAAACGAACAAAGTCTTCAAACTCCTTCCCAGGCTCATAACCCTGACAACTATCAGCCAAGGTTTTAAAATGTATTGGAGTCGGAACTGCTAGTTCGTGCATCATATCAAAATATTTGCGAGTTACCTGGTAGATTGGAACAAATGGAAAAGAAACTATAATATTAGAATATTGAATATAACTAAACAGCACTGGCATTTGCAGAATTACTGGATCGTACATGCATACGGCCTAGATCGAATTTATTTAAAGACAGCTAGGAATTGTAAACATCGACGATATATGATTGAATAAAATTCAAAAGAAATTGAAGAATGAAGTTGAGGCTATATATAATGCATCAATAATTCTGCAAATGTTCATTTACAAGATTTTAGTTTTCAGCTTTTGATATCAAGAATAGTTTTAATTGCAACGATGCAAACGCTATAATCAACTGAGCTACAGGGTTCAGGTGTCGAGCATTTAACACTTTTAAAGCAAGTTCACAGCCTCGTCCCCAGGTTCCAACTCAGATGCATGGGTTCGTGGCGCGACGCAAGGCAGTGGGCGCAAGTGGGCGCAGCAAATCAAAGCGCCTGGGGACGAGGCTGGCAAGTTCACGTATATACACTTGTAGTTCTTTCGAATGAGATGCCCACAATCCCGATAAATTGTTACGCTTTACAACATACTTTAGCAATTCACGAAGTTTACACTATAACCACCTCCTGAGTAAAGGCCCTACAATCTTGGACAAAACCCTTGAGACTATTCCAGCTAATATTACAAAGTTATTGAACAATGACAAAACAAACTTTGTCTCCCCCTCCCCCCCCCCCAGTTCAATGTTGTGAACAACGCCGAAACAACTTTTGGTAATATACCATGATACAAGCACAACATTGAGTTGGGGGAGCGGGGGTTTAAGAATGGCAACATGATTCAACGCGAATTTTCTATAGGGGGAAAATAATCTCAACCAGTTATGTCCAAGATTGTAGGTCAAAGCCGAGGACATAATTGATTTTAAAGTCTTTTTTTAAGCTTCGATGTTAATTTCAACCATTTCGAGCGAAGTGTCGTCGTGAAAAACTAATTGTGAGAACTTGTGCTCGAAATGTCCAAATATTTGAATGTTTTTTTCCCAGATTTCTTACCGATCTGAATGTTCGATCGCACTCGTTCACCAGTTGTTTAGTCTGGGCAACAATTCGAACTTTTGTCTTTTCAGCTTCAGTCTGCATCTCATTAGCAAACTTGATGGAATTTCTATACAACTGATCAGCTTCCTCCACTTTGCCCCGTAAGTCCTCCTCTTTCTTGCCTTTGTTAGAACTGAATACTGAAAAACTCTCCTCTTTATTTTCTTTTACATCGCTCTGCCTTGTATTGAGCTAAGATAGAAAATAATTCATGAATTTTAAAACTAATAAACTATATACACTGTAAATTTAGAGGAGTTGAATCAATTCCGAAAGTGTTATATTCTGTCACCAAAAATGCTGACATATGACACTTTTAGAGTTGATTCATGCCCTCGAAACTTACAGTGTAATCAATGGTATACACTTATGGTGATATTGGGGTATACAGTGTACACGAATCAAGCCAGAGTTAACCGCCAAGTTTTTCCAAGTTAGCCTAAACAGGTTCTTATGTGAATGGTGCTTAACAGGAAATTAGGCTATAAACAGGTTCTTAAAATAGGTTCTTATTTTCTTAAGAGAAAAGCGACTCATTTTAGGGAGGTATGGTATATGATTTATATAAATTATGCACAAATGATCTAAAAAATGACATTATATGCACAATACCAACCCTATATATGCATTTTTAAGCTACACTGATTGTAACTTATGACTTAATTTTGACTCTATTTGATAATATAAGAATCTGTTTTGAAATTTTAGCCCGGACAGGTTCTTATTTAAAGGGGGTCTAAATAAAATATTTTAGCCTAATAGGTTCTTAAATTCTAGGTTCTTATATGCGGGGTTTTACTGTATTGGTGAAGTGTCGACGAGGGTCCTTCAGTCGAAAAGTCGAAGTTCTACTTATATTTTTCAGGTACTTGTATCCCTCTCAATCCACAACTGTCTATGTTATCACTGCTATACAGAAGAGTTTGTGCCTTAAAAATTTAGCGGGAGATCTTCTATCTACATGCATGTAGTTCAATTAAATTAACACTCTTTTTCTACTAAAATTAAAATAGGAGCCCTATTAAAATAAGACCCTCGGGTCCTATGACTTTGTACCCAACGAGGACAAAAATACTAGCGTTCGATTCAGCGTACACAAATCTTTACATATCACCTGTAGTCCTGTACCTTCATTTATTTACAATACAGTTTATTTATACTCTGTAGCAAACGAAGCATACATCACAAAATTGAGATGGATATATATACTTAAAAAATTCATTAATAATTCACGAGGAAAATACAAAAGAAATGAATGTTTAATCAATGTTTGTAAATCGGATAAAGATTTGTCCTGATTTACATAAACTTCAGCTTTGATTTTCTCGGCTTAGACAATGTTTATTTTTAAAATTACTTCGCCAATGAACTCATAAGATGGGTCGTTTTTTAAGTACGATAATAACCTATACATGCATACATTCATACATTATTCAGCTCACTCTCCATCGGGACTTTTCAGTGACTCATCCGATCTTCATCTGATATACAAACTCTCGCCTTCGGCTCGAGTTTGTATATCAGATACAGATCGGCTGCTCATGTTTTATCTAGTACATATAGGGATTCAATTTCCTGAAAAGCGCTTCGTCGGGAAGTTAAGGCGGTTTTCCACTAGGCGAAATTTTTCGACCGAACCGAAATTTTCTTTTGTCTTACAAGCACTAAGATGGAACTAATCAGAAATCTTTTGAATTTGAACAATAGAAATTTCGGTTCGATCGAAAAATTTCGCCTAGTGGAAAACCGCCTTTAGTGTCTTCGCTCGAAACTTCGAAGTTCCACTTGTATTTTGGAAGTAGTTGAATCCCTATCCATCTCAATTTTCTGGTGTTTTTGTCAGTTCCTGGCACAGACCGTTTCAACTAACACGCATGTTTACAATCATGAACCGAGACAACGTAATAAAGGTCTCAAGGTCAACAATTCGCATACTTATACGTACGCCAATATTACGACCTGACACTTTTTTTCCAGCCAAGTACCAAGTAAGTACGTATATATACTTACATGACTCTCTGCGTACTTGCATTTGCTTAAGTTGATATATTATGTATAAATCTGACACCTTCGAGATCATGGGATGAGATGGTACTGAGGAATGTTGGAGTCAATTGTAAAGTTGATATGTGCAATTTGTATTCTTTCTGGAATATCTTTTAGAAAACTGTCCTTTATGTATTTTATCTTAAAAAATTCATTAATAATTCACGAGGAAAATACAAAAGAAATGAATGTTTAATCAATGTTTGTAAATCGGATAAAGATTTGTCCTGATTTACATAAACTTCAACTTTGATTTTCTCGGCTTAGACAATGTTTATTTTTAAAATTACTTCGCCAATGAACTCATAAGATGGGTTATTTTTTAAGTACGATAAAACATTCGCATCCGATCTGTATCTGATATACAAACTCTCGCCTTCGGCTCGAGTTTGTATATCAGATACAGATCGGCTGCTCATATATGTTTTATCTATTGTACTTAAAGACTATAAGTATACACTTTGAAATTACGGGAACCACTGAGTATTTTGATAAAATACAAAACAATAGATTCTCCGAAATTTGAAAAAAAATGCTTTCATAATGCTTTCAATTTTCGGAGTATCTATTGTTTTGTATTATACACTTTGAGTCTTAAAAGTGCGCAGCAGTGATTTTTGTACTGCCAGGTTCGGTTAGAAATCGTAAATTATCGCACCCTGTTGCAGATGTTTGACGGCTTGAAGAAATTGAGCTTTCCCTCTGTTATTATTACCTTTTCAAGGTCTTGCTTTCTTTTGTGGTAAGTGTTCTGCGAGGTTTTCACTGAACTTGCTGACTCATGCTATAAAGGTGTACGAAGCAAATTTTAGTAAATATTTTAATAATTTAATGGCGACCTTTGTTTGGTCAGAGCATGCAGCAAGGTGTGACAAGAAAGGCCCAGAATGCTTCCGAAAAGCTACAAATATTCTGGCTGGACTAACGTATATACTGTTTTTGTATTCAAAATTCTACTTTGTAAAACAATGTTCGCGGTCACTTATTCACAGAATGTTGGGGGAGCGAATTTAGGATCTCGGAACATTATCCTTAAGCACGAAACTACCATGCAGGCAACCTCGTACCCAGGCTCTCTTCTCTACGCTTCTCGCGGTTGCCATGCAGGTTCTCATATAGTTGAAACACGGTTAAAACATAGTTAATCGGTTAATTAACTATCGTTAAAAAGCTTTAAAAAATTGGGGAAGAACTGTCCTCCACTGTCCTCCATACTCCAAGAGATGACTGAGAGACTGAAAGATGGAATGTTCCATTCAACGAGGCGACAGCCGAGTTGAATGGAACATTCCATCTTTCACCGAATGAAAATATTCTTACCATTGCACGAAGAAACATTCATTATTTGTTTTATATAATACCAAAATAGACTAATAGATTCATATGAGAAGCATTTTGAGGGATGCGATTTATCGAAAACACAAAGAGTGCAATTGTACTATACGTTTTATTCCATTGCACTCGCGGAGAGTGCAATGGAACGTGTTCCATTGCACTCTTGGGAAATGGAATTTTCTATTCAATATCACGTGACCATAAACAGCCAATTAAACGATTAGAATTTAATAAGGTATTATATAAAAGTGCATATAGGTGATTAGGTGTACTTTGGTAAATACTTACTAATTGTCTACATGTTTTGGTCCAATCATCCTTCATGTCTTTACGAGCGCGGTCGTGAACTGAACGACGTTGCATCAAAGGCTACAGGAGTAAAATGCGATTAAATGAGAGAAAAACTAAATAAATAAGAATAACTAAACAAGATACTTGCGATAGATGACCCAGGCGGGAATCGTAATCTTAAGATAAATATTAATGCCCAGCAGAAAATACGTAAAAGAGCCATAACAAAAATATAGTTTAAAATATTTATTAGAAAGCTAACGTTTCGTCTTTAACTTAAGACATCTTCAGAGCAATGACATCGAGAAAGTCTTCTCATTAACAAACTCAAACCCTCTCTCAACTTACAAGGCAGTTCGGTCCCTCTACTTCTACTCTGATCCACTCCTCTTTCTACTTTTGTAATATAATATCTTGTAAATAGTTGTAATTTATTCATATTTCTGTGTTTTCCGCTTTGTATGTCATTGCTCTGAAGATGTCTTAAGTTAAAGACGAAACGTTAGCTTTCTAATAAATATTTTAAACTATATTTTTGTTATGGCTCTTTTACGTATTTTGTGCTGGGCATTAATATTTATCTTAAAACTAAACAAGAATAAATGAAATAATGAAAATGAAGGAAATAATACTGACCTCCATGAATCTCGGTCCAGAGATCGCAGCAAGAGTTTGCTGACATTTCTGAGAATATTCCATGTCCTAGACACAAAAATCAAAACAAGGTAATTGAGAATAGCTGAATTCATATTAGAAGACGGATTTCCGTCTGAGATGGGAAACTCGTCCAGATATAAATTCGGTTAATGACGGGTCTTCCGTCTAACTTTGACGGGAAAGTTAGACGAGTTTCTTGTCTTGGAAGAAAAACTCGTCTTAAATATATATCAGACAAATAAATCAAGATGGGTTTCAGCTATAGGTAACGTTGAAAAGAGACTAGGATGCAGGGTCTCCTATTTTTTCGTGTTTATCCGTCCGAATGTTTTCGTTTCATATTCCTACCAGACGGAAATCCGTCACACGAGTTTCCCGTCTTAGACGGAAATCCGTCTTCTAATATGAATTCAGCTATTCGATAGGTTCGCGATGATGGAATAGTTTTTAATGTCCTTGAGTTGAAATGAACAAAACAAGGTTTTGAAATACTTCATGTTCATTTCTTACCTGATCTAATGCAGTGATGAACGTTGACTGAAATGGAAGGTAATTCTAGACAAGAAACGAAAAGGAGCTATCATGAAAAGGAATTTACGCGTAATCTCTTCAAGTTGTATATTGGAACTTGACAAGCAATTTACGTTTGGAAGAATTTATAAATAAGCAGAACCAAGTTTACCTCTTCACTTATCGAAGCTCGAGTTGCCTGAGCTAACTTTGTGAGTTGTTTGGTGTATTCAGCCTCTACAAAATATGAAAATATCGCGCTGAATACAACAGAACGGTTCTTAATAATTTATGTTAAAATTGCATTGCTACAGGTTCAACAGTTCACTCACCGAGTTGTGCTCTCTTTTCGATATAGTTTGCAATGTCCTTCACATATTTTGACCAATATTTTGTCCACTAAAACAATTAAACATTTTCTGTGTTTTAAAAAATCCATTACGTACAGTACCATTGCATAAATCTGCACTACATATTGTACATATATATTTTACTCATATATGCATGCATATATATGGCATAAAAAAGTACACCACACGATTAAAGCATTACATATATAAAGCACGCACAACAACCTACAACAACTTAACACTATATGCTGCGCACAGGGTGTCTAAAAAAAACGCTATGGAAATTTAACAGGCTGTCGTGCATCATAAACTTGGCTAAACAATTGGATTTTTACATAGGACGAAAGAACAGTTATTTAGCTTTTCTATATGATACCTTTTTTAAATCGTAACGATGAGAAATGGCTCAAATAAAAATTGCTGGTCGAAATCACATTCTTCCACCGTTGGGCGTTGGGAATTGAAAATACATTAATTATGCAAAATTAATCAATCCAAAAGCAACGCGAGCCTGAGCACTGCAAGCTATTTGTTTCGTAAAACGTTTTGATTACGAATGTTCTCTGTTCAGTGGTTAATTGAACCATGTTTAATGGACCTTCTTATTGTCTCACTAAGACGAAGATTGACGAGTTGAGCTCATTTTAGATAATTTAACATTCAATTTTAATTCCCTCTTGGGAATTGTCTATGTTTCGTTTTCCATGCAATTCCCAACTGTGGAAGAGTGTGATTTCGACCGGCAACTTTTATTTGACGAGTATATGTGGCCATTTCTCATCGTTACGATTTCAAAAGAGTATCAATGAAAAGCTAAATAACTGTTCTTTCGTCCTATGTAAAAATTGAATTGTGTAGCCACGTTTATGAAGCACGACAGCCTGATGAATTCAAGGCCGGACTTTGAGGAGAGGTGTGGGGAGGTGTGCACCTCCCCTGAGATCGTTTTGCACCTCCCCTGAGAAATTTTGCACCTCCCCTGAAAAGTCATGCACCTCCCCTTGGGAAAGTTTCAATGATAGATCAAAGTGAAAATTTGACACTTTTTGGTTGCTTAGGACTTAGGGTCTACAAAGTTTTTCTGTAAAATTGAAACAGTGATAGCCATTCATCTCTGTGTCAAGTACCCTTTTAATGCAACGTTCTGAAAGAAACTTTGTCGTAATTGTAATGAAAGGCAAAATTGGATAAATTGTACAGTCATGATTCATTGATACACTGATACATATATGCACACTGCATGCATACGTCACGTCGTTGACATTGACCCGTTCTAAGCCCTAACTTTCCATGGGGGTCATGAGCTAGACTGCTGCACCTCCCCTAAATTTTTTCCCACCTCCCCCACTAGTTCCACCGAAATCCGGCCTTGGTTGAATTTCCATAGCGTTTTTTTGAGACACCCTGTATAACTAATTATACTAAACAATATACTCTATTCTACAGTGACATACCATAGGTTAATCTGCACTGCACAATACCATAACATATATATACCAATGCTGTATAAGATCTTGTGTACTATAATTAACCATTTTTAATCTTAGCTTCCTAGATGCTTCCTTTAATAAGTTATACAGCGTATGATACGAGCCGGCATCATATGCTGGGCTGTGATATGAAGATTACCTGCAAACAAAAGTCTACACCTGATTCCATCTTCAGCAACACACTGTCGAGATCAGCATCCTGGTCACGAAGGATGTCGTTACCTGTTTAATTAAGAAAATATGCTATTAATGAGTGGACTAATGATATTTATGAACAAAATAAGCAACATGCTCGTTCGAGGGTAAGTCATTGTGGTTGAAAATAGAGAAAATACAGGCTGTGTTATACGAAACATCCCATCTCGAAACGCAATTTCGGGCACAGAGCAAAAAAATTATACTTGGCATACTTCGGCGAGGCACAAAAGGGACTCGAAGAACCAGCACAAATTTCGTGAAAATCGATTGTAGTATTTCTTATATTAGTATGCCGCAAGTCGAGTATTCTTATATACTGATATGACGTCATGACTTGCACAAATACTAGAAAACTTATGCCTTGACGGCAACGCGACGACGATAGCTAAATTAAATAACTGAATCTATGGAGTAAACATGGAGTAAATTAAACCCAATCGTTCGAATTCCATAAAAGGTGGATAAAGGTAGGTTCATACTATAAATGTAACAATTTTCCGTAAAATAGTTTTGATATGCACGTTACTACATATTTATTCGAAAGTAAAACCAATTAAAAACCCTTCACCCACAGTTATGTCTTCAACTTTGTGTTTTTAGTACAATCAATCAATCAACCAGAGTTGAGTACGAAACGACCAGGCAGTTGAATGCGACATGACGGGAGTACGAAACGACCTGATGCCCTGCATGTCTAAAGTCGTATAGGTAAACACTACCTGTGTAGTACAGGGTAGTCAACCGGTAATTGCTTGAGTGAGAAATGACATGTCAAAATCATGTAAATACAGACATCTAATTTGCTCGCTCTTTAAACGCCGAAGCCTCTGAGGTTATAACCATCTGCTGCCTGTAATCTAGAAGGAATATGAGTAATAATTACGTCATGCAAACTTACATGCGCCGTCTTGTCTTAGTTGTCTTGATGGCATATTCATACTTTCAGACAACATATCTCCTTCACTTGCATAATCTTCTTCATCAGGAAAATCATCAACATCGTCACCATCGTCTCCAGCCTAAGTAAAGTAGGGGTGTCACTATAGGATAGCTACCAGAGAGGCAACGATAGCTGGCTACCTTATCTCTGTTTTTTGGACTTCTGAGTCCCCTCCCAATCTGATTAAGAGGCATGTTATATGTAAGGAGAAGGTCGAAGACGAAGGAATTGGCTTAGCCGATGCAGTGATAGTAATTTCGCGAGTAATATAATAGGGAACAACTGTCTGTGCCAGTTATCGCGCTAGAAGCTACAGAAAAATCACTTGACGAAACACAGCCCGAGCTGAAACTCCATGTAAACTTCTGGTCCCTCAAGAATTTCTTGTGGATTCGATCCGCAGTCCATTTGCGCCGCGATTGAGTAACTCAAGTAGTTTTTTTTTCTCGGGATAACGCTTTGTATATATCCAGTTTATTAAATAGTCTGAATTATAATAATGAAAGAACCAATATTTACAGGCACGAATAAATTTGGTGGTGCCATTTTTATTCGTGCCGTATAGCGTAAACCAAAGTAAATACAGTAGAACCCCGCTATCGTGAACACTGAACAGCCAAGGAAAACAAAAAGAAGTTCGAGATTCCGGGGATCGAGATAACCGAATCAGTGTCAAATTACAACACATAATTAATAATTATTAAATTAAATTAAATTAGCGTCCAATGATCCAATGATGCATTGATCCAATCATCCACTGATACAGCTTTTATATCTGAAATATATATACTAATCAATACAGTTTTTTATATGACATGTAGGTATCTTCAACCGAAAGAGCTAGATCTAGTAAAGTCCGTTTTATATACATGTTTACGCTGCAAAATCAAATACGTGCATGTATCCCCTTATAAAAATAAGAAAATGAGATTTTTGAAGTCATTATAATTTAAGATAACCAGGAGTCATTCTCATTAGGATTCAAGATAACTGGGAAAATTTCATCCAAGGGAAGCAAAAATAGTTCGAGAGAGAGAGGAGTATTAAACAAAGTTCGAGAGATAACCAAGTAAAACAGATTGAAATAGTATAAGGGGCAAATCCACGGGGACATGGGTTTCACTTCGACATAGCGGGGAGATCGAGATAAGCGAGTTCGACATATAGCGGGCTTCCGCATCATATATCAATATGTCCTGGGGTACTTCTTCACTCCTGGGTCCATGCGAACAAGGCTTAATGTAAAGGGAACGTGCCATGGTTTAAAATATTCTGAATGATGTTTATATACGGTATTATAATAGTGTAACAACTATATTAACAGCCGTCTTTTCTGTCGTGTCAAGTTAAGAGCTCTCGGACGTCATATTGGTGATGTTAACAAAATCATTCGTTATAATCTTATTAAACTTAACTTATAATAATATAAACCACAACACTTTGACGTGGTTAGTTCTAGACCTCCCCAATTCAACATTCCGTTACAATCCACAAAAACCTTGTTCCTACCGATGTGATATCGTAAATATATCTATAAGATTATACGTACTGAACTGTCTTGATCTGAAAAATCTTCCTCATCATGTGATACGCCAAATGCGGACAACAATTTCATCGATTGTATTGCCATCATTGCAACACCTTTACCTTTAGTGTTTACATGTAAGTACCCTCTCGGAGAAGAAGGTGGCTTTGTCATTTCTTTTCCCACATGCTTTATATCTCCGTCCATACTTGGTGTTTATGTCTGAACTAATCAAGTATAAAATTATTCCAAGCACTTCCCAATGTAAATACATCTGACGTTTGATATACGTGCAAGCTTAGACGTTCTAATATACTTCTGACTATATACATGCACTTATCATCATCACAGCTGCATGAAATGACGGACATGAACTAACATTTCCTGAGAACAGTTGCCTTTATTCGTGTAGCAACAAGATTTACCAACATTTTCAATACTATATACATGCGGCAGTTAAGTTTTACAAGCCATTACTAGGAAAGATCCCTTCCTCAATCCATCGGATTTTCAATTTAGTTTAATTTGAACTATATCTATAGAACATGGGTGATTTGTAATTGTGCTGTTCGAATTGTAATTAACTTTTTAAAAATTCGTTTAAAATTAATTAATCGCAATTTAATTAATCCTGTAGGACGACAATAACGGATTCAATAATAAACTATTCATCTATCTCCAAGCGCGAGGACTATATAATGGAAATTGCGATCTTTTATAAGGTGAAATATATTACATATATCGCCTCGTGAGATTAGCAGGTGGTGCATGAGTATTTATCATATTTACAAGTAATACAGCTACTAACCTATGCAAGTTCTTAGACTTAGATAGATTAATATTAAAATTAGGTATACCCATCTTGATGTTCATGCTTGGGATGTACAATTGACTATGACAACATTGACTGAAATATAGCTGTTACATCTTTCTAGCCTGATTCATCTGTCCCACATGGCGACTGTGAGTTTCATATAGAAATAACTGAGTCTATAGAGACCACTATAAAGTAGTATATATATGACATACATTTGCCAACTTACCATATTTTAACAAATTATCCTACTAATTCTATGTGTTTCCGTATATGAACCAAAACATATATATGAACCAAATCCTCAATCGCGCTTCGATTTTTAGTCATGCATATACAATAATTAACCAGAAGCTGGCGAATATAATATACGTATACACTATTAGAATTAAGTCACGCTGACCAAGATCGATGCGACTTGAAGGTTTATACAGCGAAATATTTTCATGCCACACGTTGTAAGCCAGTAAACGTCGCTCGCAAGTTATACTGAGCACACCTTATAGAGCAAGTTACATTATTACGCCTCCACACACTGTACTGCCCGACACGTATATATACGCCTCCGCAACTCCTCATACTTTCATTGACAGTATACATATTGTTCGCAGACCAATGAGGAATTGATAACAATAAAGGATAATAGCTAGGAGCACTATCTCGTCACGTACATGATAAAATTATCTCATAATTAATGTACTTGTCGTTCCCGAAAAGACAAGTGTGATGATTTGAAGGAGTAAAAAAGTAAAATCTTGTACGCTCTAACCCCGCGTTCCATTTAAGGAAGAGATTGGAGAAAAATTCTTGAAAGAGAGCTTGTCTATGCCAATTGACTACCGACTGAGTAGACAGTGTACTTATTGATGCAATTTTGATAAATTCTAGTCGTCCCCAGAACATTCTCAGTGAGGCTGCGTTCCATTTGTAGAACATTGACATTGTATAAAAATTAAAGACAGCCAAATTATAACGTCTTATAATATAATATTACTTTACATGACAGAGTAGTGTATATTTTCATCTTACTATTAGCATGCCCGTACACTGGTTGGATTAGCTTAATTAGCGCGTTGACCACCTTAAATAAAATTGTATTTTATTGTACTTCTCTGCGAAATGGAAAGATCACGTGGGCAGTCAAGATCATATATGTGGTTAATACAGGTGACGTGTATTTAACGTTTGGGCGTCACGGACAATTCTTCAGACGTTGCTTCAAATAAGCGCCGCGTTGTTGTGAATTTTGCTATCAAATGCGGAGCATAATCGGGTGCGGCGCTTAAACGAGTAAATACGACACTGCTGTTAAAATAGTTCGAACGTCTGAAGAACCCAGAAAGCTGTCACACACTGATACACCTTGGTCTCAAAGAAGATTTCGTAGGATCCAGATTTAGAACATTTATGGCTGGAAATCCAAGGACGGAACAAACATAGTCATCTATTATTGGGTACAATTTATAGATCTACTCGAATATTGGATACTCAGCAATGGCTAGAACAGATGGAGAACATGCTGTTGGAAATTACAACATCATGGCATGGCTTGCTGATCCTTACAGGCGACATTAACATTAACTTACTAAATTCTGACGCACCTTTGATGAAACAATATCTGGACTTACTATCAACGTTCGACCTAACACAGCATGTTAAGAAAGCTACGAGAATCACACAGACCAGTACAACTCTCATTGACCACATCATATCGAACAACTCCAAGCGTATTACACACACCGCACGGATGTACTACCGTGCTCAAGTGTCAGTGATCATGATGCACCTTACCCCTGCATAAACATTCGTATAGAACGTTTCCAACCGCGTTTTAAGTACATTCGAAGCGAACGTAATTTTAAGAAGAGTGAATACATTCAGGACTTTGAATCACTCCCATTTAACATCATCTATGCAATCGAAGATCCTGATGAAAAACTGGACATATTTAACAAACTCGTTGGCGACTGTATTGAGCGTCACGCTCCTCTGAAACGTACGAAGATCACCCACCCTCCTGCGCCATGGTTACATGAAGATAACATCCGAGATCTTCAAAAACAAAGAGATTCGTTGCGCCACGAAGCCCACACACTCAACACAACTGATGTCTGGCAAGCTTTCCGCGATGTACGCAACCGGTTGAAGACGAAAATCAAAGAAGCGAAGAAGTCGTTTGTCAACAAGGCTTTTTCAAGCTCCAAACCGAAAGAAATCTGGCGTGTTATACATCGCGTCCTAAATCCATCACCACAACCTCTGAGAGTTGACGTTGACGATTTAAACAAGTTCTTCGTAACTACAACCCAGCGCACGACGGGAAATACTGAAACCGACGTCAAAGACGACCTGCTCAGTTTTGTCGATACACTACAACCAAACGTTAGTGATGATGCAGCATTTCATTTACGACCAGTTACGTTCAACAAGGTTCTGCGTGAAACCAAAGGCATCAGATCCGATACATCTACAGGGCCAGACCAACTACCTGCAAAATATCTCAAGATTGTTGCGCAGCTCATTGCTGGTCCACTAACTCACATCATCAACTCCTTTGTAGCTGTATCGTCATTTCCTGATGCTTGGAAAGTCGCTAGGATCACTCCAATACCTAAGAGTAATAACTCTAATTCGAACAGTAATATGCGTCCCATATCAATACTGCCAGTTCTTTCGAAGGTATTTGAAAGGCTTACACACTATCAATTGGTTGAGCACATTGACTCCCAAAAGCTGTTGAAAGAGAACATACCCGGCTTTAGGAAAGGCCATTCAACTACCACAGTTCTGCTAGATATTAGAGACGACGTACTTCGTGCAATGAAGCGTGGGGAAGTTACACTCATGGTCCTAGCTGTCTTTTCGAAAGCCTTTGACACCATTAAATACAAAACTGTGTTAACGAAACTCAGTCAGTTAGGTTTCTCAAATGAATATCTTAAAGTCAACTTCGGCGTTCCTCAGGGGTCTATATTAGGGCCATTAATCTTTAATCCAGACCTTCAATCGTACATCAAAGACAAATGTCATCAATACGCCGACGACACAACCCTTTACACTCATTGCAAACCCGAGAGTCTCCAATATGCGGTAGCTGATATACAGTCAAGTGTTCGCAAGCTGGAAGAATGGTCGAGTGAAGCCAACCTGGTCATCAATTAGTGCTGTGCAAACTCCGGTTTTTCATCTCCGGCTCCGGCCGAATTACAGCTCTGAGCTCCGGCTCCGGCCACATCATAAAATATTAAATAAATGTTTTACGATCAGAGAACATTTATTAATATTATTATATGAATAACCCTTTTCGCGCTTCCTAATTATCAGATAGAAAATATCTATATGGAAACCAGCCTCGAAAAATCTTTGACACGAGGCATGACGCTAACACTCTCAGACTCCACAGCGCAATTGTTCGCACGCAAACAAAGTACTCTGTCATTTTCAAAAGGTTGATATTTATTTGTTTTGTACTTTTTCGTTATCTACAACTGGCATGAATATACAGATTAGAGTATGTAGCGCTAAGTCAGATGGCTTCATGAAAGCATGACGTTTGTAAGTTGCGATCGTATTACAGCTTTTCGACGCTGTTCCTGTGGGCTGTGGCAGTTTGAGTCTATGATGAATTCATTTACAGCAATTGGCAGTTTGCAGTAACTAACAATCGTTTGACATTTGTCTCATTTTATATTGTTTTCTTGTCATTTTGCCGGAGCTGGGAAAACGTAACTCCGGCTCCAGCATACAAAATTCTGCTCCGGCATCGGAAAAACCGCCGGAGCTCCAGCAGAACTCCGGCGCACAGCACTATCATCAATCCATCAAAGACCACAGTCATGATGCTGTCCACCGCACAACTGGCTTCCTCCCATTCTCTGAATGATGCCTCCATCAATACCGAAATCAATGGCACACACGTAGAGCGAGTTAAATCTACAAAGTTACTAGGGTCTTACATTCACGAACACCTTAAATGGGAAGAGAATGTTAAAAACATCGCCTCATCCTGTTACTCCACCCTTGCCACGCTCAGAAAACTAAAAACAGTTTACCATTCAAAATCCGTAAGAACTTAGTACAGGCTCTTGTCTTATCTAAACTATACTATAACGACGTAATTTACCATTCACTGCCAGAGTACTTACAGAAACGCCTACAAAGGGTACAGAAAGCAGCAGCTAGTTTCGTGCTAGGTAAATTCGCTAGATCAGCGGACGTATTATCGTTAAACTGGTTGCCTATCAAGGAACAACGTGAATGGAACGTTCTAAAATTAAGTTACAAAGCGCTTTACGATGAAAATTGGCCAAGTTACCAAAAACTACAATTGGTTCAACATTCTCGAGTTCTGAGATCAAGCAAAGGCTCTCAGCTTCAAGTCCCTTTAATTAAGAACACATTACAGGACCAATCAGCACATCTTTTTAACCAATTACCAGAAGAAATTAGGAACTGCAGAGACTACATGCAGAGTATTCTACAATGAGACCAAAAATTTCTTAGTCTTGAAAGCATGGTCAAGACTTGGATAATCTTAGAAAGAAATATTTAAATGTATATATAGTTTCGTACAGTTTTGTTCTAACTTAGTTAATTTCGTAATTTTGTAAGTAATATTTTGTCCTGTCGAACACGTTATATATTCAAAGTTATATTGCAGTAATGTTGGTAAAATAGTTTATAGACTTTATGAATACTTTATAATTTATATAATTTGGTAAGCGAAGAGCCACTCTGTGGATATATTACCAATAAATCATTATTATTATTATTATTGTTATTATTATTATTATTATTATTATTATTATTATTATTATTATTATTATTATTATTATTATTATTATTATTATTATGATCGTCTCAATGTAATTAGTTCTTCACTGTGACACTGTCATCATGTCATATCATACTGCAAAAATCACGACGCTTTTACTCTTTTAATTTCAAGATTATAGCATGGTGTGGGAGCGGAAAAGGTCTATGGTGATCCTGTGGTGATTAATGTCCGACTGAAAATAATGCTTGTAAACTAAACTGAACTGGCCAGGTTAATGTTTAACAATGAACTTCTACAATACATGGATGAGGACTCTACAAACATGGCGGATCGGGTGATGACGCAATCATCTCGTACCCAGTGCTTCTGCAAAATGGCGGTGATGACGTAAGATAAGAATCACCAATTAAAATGTAAATCACCTCTTCGTGTTAAGCCAGCTTTGTCAACATTCAGCCTTCTCAGGAACAAGTGGCTGCAAACTGCTCTCTTTACTGTTGACAGCTGCATGCTCTATTTTGGCTTTCCATGGAGAACGAAAAGGAGCGATAAAAGCAATTCTACCACTGTGTTTCAAATCATGTGGAAACACATGAAGCAGGACTCGCGCGACTTGCTGTATTGACATGATTCATTGATTCTATCTCCAAACAATCACACTATTCAACAGCCAAGTCATAGAAACTGCTAAATGTTGACATTATGTAAAAAATGTTGTAGATAAAAAGTTATTGCATTTCAAAACAAATCTGACTAAGAACTGTGGTCTAAGCCGTAACATAAATGTTTACATTTTGGACACCTCATTAATACGTACACGATTAGTTCTTGCACATCCCAAATTAGAATCAGTATAAAAGATAAACTTAACCCCGTTAATACCTGCCACCTTATATTTTATAATCCGTTGGTAAGTCGAAATAGGTACATTTTACAATATATACATTACGGATACACAATATAGAATTACAATACGATACACCATACATATATTACGTACTGTCATCTGTATAATATGTGTGGTACACTAAAGCTATAGCCATTAACAACCCAGTTCAATCACGCCTTAATTCAAATTTCACACTCATTATTACTGTAAAACAATTCATACAATATTAAAATACCAACCGGTAATCATAATAACCATTGCAATTTGGAAATGAACGAAGAACGAGTGCTACTGGCCGAGTACTAGTTCCTACTCAACCTTCTTTTATCAAAAGACGCACAAATTAACGAGCATAATTTCCACTAAACATATTCATCAAAATAATACAGCTCAAAGGCAACAGTAAAACATTAAAGATGCACAGCAATGCACAGCTGAATATCGTCTTTCGTCTAAGCAAGCCACTATCACGCGCCATGTAAACAATATCCACAGTCTTAAACAGAGTACAAAATGTACCATAACCTGAGGTTATCGCAGGAAAGCACACTCACATGTGACAATTAATGGCATTTCTTAAAAATCATTAAACCTGGCCTCATGATGAAAGGAGTCCTTTAAATTACCGCGCACTTATTACCCATATATTACTCAAAATATACTGTATTCTGTAACATATTATGTATATACGATAGTCGAATACAGTATACATAACTTGAACAAGTAAACGGCTACATACTATTCGCCGCCTGTAGAAATCAAGTAAGAACCTACGGGTACCTACCGAAATATTTGCAACCATAAAGAAACGAAACACTGAGATAGCACAGGATCCTGATGAAGTCATTAACATGCCACATACCACACACGATCAAGGACCATTAGCTTAGATCTGTTATATATAACCATGTGCGATGTGGTTTATAGAAACCATCAACCTTTATAAGTGTATGTATATTTGTGGCAAGGTTTATATGACAAGTTAACACACTGCAGAAAACACCTTCTGACCTTAATTTAGTATCTCAACAGGATCACAGGTCATTTGATGCGTCTGGAAGTTTTACATTCCATTCTCGATAGAAAATAGCCATGAAAGATCTCACCGTAAATAGTAAATAAATTCACACACTCGCTCACTCACTCATTACCAGCCAATTATTAAAACTGAAAACTGTATTAAATTACTACAGAAACTTTACTGAAGATTTCCACATAAACTTGAAACGCATACGACTGCCATTGTGTTATTTTTTCAGACACTTGAAACCTATACCCATATATTATTAAACATTCTGAATGTTGCATATTAATTACAGTACGTCATTTTTGGAAAACGATTCAAAACATTTTATGATATTTTCACCAGGAAAATAGAGGTATTAGAGAATTAAAAATAGCGTAAGTTGGCAAGATGAATATTTTCAAAGAATTTGGCATATATTCAATAATGAGGAATTATAATAATTTAAAGAATATTTAAATACAGGAAAAGAATGTATTATCTGGGTCTTATATTACATGCTCATCATGCTGTCAACACATCTTCTAGACAAGGGATAGTAATCAGCCATCTCTACCGCAAACATAAAATGAATTCCTCCGCTAAATATCACATTAAATATTTTAAAAATTTCCGAAAATTTGGAAAACGTCAAAACTTAAAACCTACGCTGTTTAGTAATGCTGATTGCCACCAATCGCACTTGACTCGGTACTATATCAGTAGCTATAGCACAATGTGTAAGGTAAACCGGAATGCCGGCAGTATACGAGTTTAAATCCGACTCGCATAAGACAATGGATTTTTTGTTCAATCATAAGCAAGAATCCATGAGTTAAAGTATTGTTAAAAGACCAACAACACCCCCAAAAAGGATTAAAATTAAATGCTATATTACAAAAATACGTCAAAACATTTAAATATCAAGATTTCTGGGCATCTCGTTCGATCTCGATAAAACTAGTAGTATAGTATAGACTATTTAGTATTAATATAAACCTACTAATAGGCTATCACATATCGTGCCTTCTGATTGGCTACGCTACTAGTAGGCTATTAGTGATAGCCTACTAATAGAAAATTCAAAATGGCGGAAAATTCGCGTTTTGCACTTTTGCCGAAGTGTCTGATGATTTTTTGGACGACTTGTTGAACAATTCTGTACTAAAACCCCCCGATAAAAGCAACAAAAATATGGAATGGCAATTTTTAAGGGTAAGAAAATAGACAAAATAACATACACTCAATGAAATTTTAAAATTAAAACTGAATTTTGTAAAACATTTTACGCGAACAAAAACTAAAATATTTGTTTACCTTTAATGGTTTTATAATGTTTTTTGTGTATTTTTGTATTGTGTTTGTAGCCTAGTTGTAAATTAATGTTAAAGTTTATACTAAAACAATTAGACAACTCGGCCTCGTTGTCTATGAGCAAATAGTCAACTCGGCTTCGCCTCGTTGACTATTCGCTCATAGACAACTCGGCCTCGTTGTCTAATTGTTAAGTATAGCGGTATAGACTATTTAACAATTATTCGCCGAAGGCACGATTATCGGGGAATATTCGCCAAGACGAAGTCGAGGTGAATATTCCCCGATAATCACCAAGCCTGAGGCGAATAATTGTTTTAGTATTTTTGCACGAGTCTTTTGTGTTTTTTTTTGGGACTGAATTTATCTTAATTTCGCTTATTTCTTTATCAGTAACTTCCACAAAACGGCTAGCCTCCATTTGAAAATTTCTGTTTTGTTATATTCACCTAAATCACCTGTAGGTGAATATAACAGCTTAATACGTCAAATTTGACCAATCAACTTGTAGGATTTGATATGTTCACTTGTGCAAAAATACTAAAGTGAATATAGTAGTAGATGGATTTTTGTAGATGGGATATTTGAACGCAAATCTATAAAAACTTTTGACCTAACCAGAAGCAGTTGGGAAAAATGAAACTATAAATCCCTGGCAAGAATCGAAACTCGGTCCTGCGATTCCCGTGCAGTGCTCTGACCAACTGAGCTATATACAGTCCAGTTGCTATAAGCGTCACACAAATTCATGTATAAAATTCATACTTAAAAATGTATATACTTGCGTTCGAATTTGTACTAAAACTATTGTTACCTTATTGGGACTGAGTTCCTGATCACCCATTAGCAAATCTGAAATACTAAAACAGAAAGTACATTTAATTACACACTATACATTATTATAAACATTACAATTTATATTGTGGAAATCTCAAGGGACTAAATTCATTCCGGCTATGGAAACAAGACTGCCGCATAAAAAGATTATTTTTCAAGGGGAAACGCAAAGTATCCTGCAAAAAAATACTGTTATCCAATAGCGACTGTTAAACTTAAAATAATTTCCCTAGACGCGGGATTTAAATATACTGTAAGTAACGGTAGTAACCCAGCTGAAATAGAAATTGGGACCTCTTATTGAATGCAAAAAAATATAGAGATCATGGGGGCGAGGGCACGAGTAAATAGTTAGTAGCATTAGTAGCTGTGGTAATCATCCTGTGCATGGTCTTATTTTTCTTGCCGCGCCCGTGCAAGCAAATAAACGCGTGTTACGCAGGCTAGTCGTATGATGGTTCAACAAGCTAGAACATAGTCCTCTGGAATACAAAACTTTCTGTCGCCTTCCTATTAAATTCAGATATCTTATTGCAAAAATATAAGACCTGACAAGAATGCCATGCATGCAGAAGTTCATTTGAAAGAAGGGCATAGGCGTACGAGGTACGTCGGGCTAAAGGGGGGGGGGATTATTTTGCCAAATAGGGCAAAGTCGGGCAATTTTTGGTTCACCGTCGGGAAAAAAAAAATTGGCGACGGGGAGGTCAGAAGACGTCGGACAAAAAGCGACCGCCCCCGTAAAATTTTGTCGCCCGTATACGCCTATGAAGAAGGGTAAAGACTAAAGAGTATAAATGTTGTGTTATAGGAAATAGAGATACACTTCTCTCTTCTTCTCCACAAGAAAATTATCCGAAACAGATTAGTTTGCAACGACCATGGTTTGTGACTTTTTTAGAAAGTGCGAGACTGCGAGATACTGTACTTGGCATAAAGATCTGTAAACTTTGGGTGCATGTTCTGTTGCAGTGGTGCAGTATAGATATAAGAAAACGTGGTGATTTTGCATCTAGAAAGCACTTAAATTAGAATTAAAAACACTTTTTCACACACATTTGCATGTTCATGCATGTTCATCTTTTGCTGTATTTGATGGAATTCTAAGCACTGAAAGCAAAGTAGTATTACGATACAGAGGTTGGACTCAGCCAAAAATCTGTAACGCCGCCACGCCTGCATGTATTCGCAATGATTCGTCATCGAAATGCACTCGCCCTGTTCGGGCTGTTCCTAGCTTACAAGCAAGGCATATTTTAACATATATATATACTGGGGGTGGGGGCAATTAGGCCCCCCTGTTGGCCCCCCACTCATGCAAAATCCCCCACTCCTTGGGCCCTTTTAACACATTTTTGTGTGAAATCATGAAATGTGAATGTATATAGTAAGTCTTGGTCTGTATATTTTTATCACAGTTAATGGGAGTATATGAAGAAATTCTTTAGGGATTCATCTGGATGTTTGTAAACTTTAACTTTTATACATTACAGTAGCTTTGAGTTAAAATATATGTTGAAAGACAAGCACATTGCGAGTAAAAGTGTCAAACATGAACTTTTTATTGTATTCAGAATTATTTAAAATGCCACCCAAAACGTACTAAATAGCAATTTTGGACCCCCATACAAAACTCGTGCCTTCGGCGCTCGCTTAATGGGCCATTTCCAAGATATAGCTCCCACTTGTAAATCTTTAAAATATGCCTTGCTTACAAGAGGCATTCACCTCTCTGAACGTCCACCATTGTGAATGTTTTCAGGGAATGCCTCTCGGAAGCTTACATTATGGATTATGGAATTTTCCTTCGGATGTGAACGTAGCATGTAATCGTTGATGCAAATTGCGACAGCGCATTTGCATGAGATTATAAATATGAGCAGTCTGCTCAGTAGGACATCACGTGAAGCACTACACTGGCAAAACACGTTGGTTTTCTCCTTGGCTGCTTTTGGAAAATGTCCGAAGAGAACTCTGTGCCAAACGATTCGCCTGTTTAAACGATACCTAGATCAAAAGGTCGAGCATTTGTTCTCTCGGTTAAGTGTTGCATCTCAGTGATCTCACTCACAACCTCTAAAGTTAGAACGACAGGCCGAAGGCATACGGAAGTCTCAACTTTCGCGGCAACCATGATCGATTTTTGTTCAACAACGAAGTTCAAGATTTCCTATCTAATACTGCTGCTGCGTTGAGGAAAGACGATACAGCAACAGAGTTAAAACCTATCGACGCCGGTACGCTTTTACGGCAGCGACAGAAGAAATTAAATTGGCAGACAAGAGCGAGGCGGGCTGGTTGGCTGTGAAAGAGTATGAAGCAGACGGCCTCGCCAGCGATTCTGATTACGAAAAAAGGAATCCGAAACGCACAAGAGTCAATGCCATCACGACAGATAAAGCGAGATGACCTTCGACGCCATATTTTAATGATGATAGTCATGGTTCTAACGACCAATTGTTTTTTCGAGATAATTTATTCCCCTTCTTTGTTTTATCAAGGGGCAGGCAAGTGCAGAAGTGCTTGCACGTCGCCTGCCATCAATGTTTGTGTATATGTGCTTAGTGGAAAGGAGAAGGAAAATGACTTTCCTTCGGATGAACGTAGTGAAGTAGAAGGAAACGGAATTTTCCTTCGGATGTGAACGTAGCATGTAATCGTTGATGCAAATCGCGACAGGCATTTGCATGAGACTATAAATATGAGCAGTCTGCTCAGTAGGACATCACGTGAAGCACTACACTGGCAAAACACGTTGGTTTTACATTTATAAATATATATTATCAAATCTATTATAAATTGCAGTTTTCGTTTCTTGTTTCGTTCCACTTTAAATTGTTTTTATTTAATAGGCCGTCGAATCCCTAGTCCAACCGACATGTGCTTTCGGACACTGGCAAAACGCGTTGGTTTTACATCTATCAATATATATTTTCAAGTCTATTATAAATTGTAGTTTTCGTTTCTTGTTTCGTGCCACTTTGTTTTTCTTTAATAGGCCGTCGAATCCCTAGTCTAACAGACATGTGCTTTCGGTGTGGTAGCCACTGGAGCTCAAGCTGCCCAAAATGTTGCCTCGACACGACCCAGTCAGTTTGAACCAGGATATTTTCCAAGATCCACAGCCCCGAGCAGCTCAGGGGAGAGAGTAAACGTTAGCCGATAATCCATTGCAAGATGTTTATGAAGACATAACTCAGGTACAACTTTCCTCTAATACCTGTGAATATAAGCAGCTATCTAGCAATACCCCGGTTTCGTTTCTAAAAGTAAAAGGGAGGCTTAGAGCTCATATTCAATTTTGGAAGTATATCGAAGCATCAGATTTCATCATTGACACTATCCAGGAAGGATACAAGATACCTTTCCGCGAACCTCCAAATCCAGCTATTTTTCAAATAACTCGTCTGCTTTTGATAATTGCCAGTTTGTGTTTGATTCTATCACTCAATTACTATAAATCACTGACAAAATTGTTCAGGTGGAAGAACATGACTAAATACCTTGTAGCCCACTTTCCGTAGCTACTCAGCCCGGTGGCAAACGGCGCTGATCTTCGATTTGACATTTTATGTATTTAATCAACAACAGCATACCAGTTTTTTATACATACATAAAAAATCTACCACTACATTACATACAAAAATATAACAAATTTACTAATAACCTAATTTAAACTTTCAAATCCTGCTAAAAACAGTATTTGGCAACTAAGTTCATAATTGTCTTGTCTTGCATATAGCCATAATATATCTAAAAATATCTTGTTGAGTGAACAAACAGAAAGAACGATTTATTTTACAGACATTATTTTAAAAATATTTTTAAGACAATAATATTTAATAAATAATAGATAATATCTCTATTTCTAAGATTTGAGATTTGAGCAATCATGTCTACAAGCAAACCAAAAAATTTGACGATTGGCGTGCAGCTTTGCAGTGTTTCGACAGTGGGTCGTTTTTCACAAAATTTGCCGGACTTGAAATCTGGGTATCATTACTTGGATATTTTCTGAACATCAGCCCTATTTGGGCTTTATTTGGAAGAGGAATGACGCGACGCCAAGTTATTTTATGTTCACTGTCCTGCCATTTTGGCTGACAACATGTACAGCTCCCTATATATTCACAAAACTGTTATGGCCTATAGTTAAACATTAGCGCTCTCAGGAGACTCGGGAGATAAATAATGGGATTTATTTAGACGATGGGTTTGACATCGACAGAGACATACAAACTTGTACAAGCAATTCAGGCTTAATACGCTCAGATCTATCTAGCGCTTGGTTGTTAGTTAATGTCGAGAAATGCGTATGGCAGCCCACACAATACCTTACTTGGTTCGGATTAAACTGGAATGGGCAAACCGGCACCATTAGTATTATTAGTGAACGCATTGTTAAATTTGACAAGGTTCTTCAGAGCTTGTTTACGTTGTTAGAGGCAAGGTTTGGCCCACCGTAGATTGTTTTGCTGACTGTTACAATTGCAGAGTGCAAAAATTCTATTCAAGATTTTGGAACCCAGGTTCTGCGGGGATAGATGCATTATTTCTCTCATGGGAGGGGGCAAATGCCCTTTTAGTACCCCCGGACCCTCGTGTTTATCGGGTGTTAGCGTTTATTTCACAGTTGTAAAGCCACTTTTGTCGTGCGTTAATGGCCTTCTGCCCTTTTCTTATTTCCCGTTTTTCTGTTTACATAAAGGTTACATTGTATTAGTTGATAACTAAGTTCTAATGCATGGCCATAATCATAAGTCCCTTCTTGGTTCCAGCTCGTGCATGGACAGGGTATCTCATAGATTTTCGTTTAATTTTCTCGTAGTCACTGTTCTTAAGTGTGTCGGTTATTTCAACTTATTTTTTATTTTGGCGCATGAATTCCTGTTAATGCATACTGTAGGAGTGTCTGTTGTTGTTAGTGTGTACTTAACTTAATGCATAAATATACTTGTGTCAAACTGTTTCAATTGGCGGTTGTGGCGTGAAGTCCTAGCCGGATGGCTTGGGAAAAGGAGAATTCCATGTTATATATTGAGAATAGGAGAACGCTCCTTAGGAAAAGGAGAATGCCTATTATATATAATCCTAGCTGGATGGCTTGGGAAAAGGAGAATTCCATGTTATATATTGAGAATAGGAGAACGCTCCTTAGGAAAAGGAGAATGCCTATTATATATAGTCCTAGCCGGATGGCTTGGGAAAAGGAGAATTCCATGTTATATATTGAGAATAGGAGAATGCTCCTTAGGAAAAGGAGAATGCCTATTATATATAGTCCTAGCTGGATGGCTTGGGAAAAGGAGAACGCCTTTTATATATAACTAATTACTCTCTGCCGGGTGGCTAAAGAATAGGCAGATGCCTGTTTCGTCGTGTAGTAGGGGACTGCACTTGCCGGGTGGCTGTAGAGCCCATCACGTTTTACAACATGTTTGGAGATTTTTATATAACTGTAGATTTGTGTTTTTCAGGATCTAGTTTGTGCTCCTTGTTGGGTAGTGGCCGTTATGGCTATAAGGCAACAAATATTTTGTCAAGTCCTGCATTCTCGAGCTGGTTCTACTGTTCAGAGTTATCTCACCCAATACTGAACATTTACCAACTTCATGATGGAATCCAAACTCCCTGGAAAATTTCCCTACACTACCCTGGTTATTGTGCAATATCTTTCCAACCTCATGGAAACACAAAAGTCGGATAGCGTTACACTATAATCCCAATGCGCCATATAGTGGGTTCATGATCTTGTTCCCCTAGCTTCAAACCCGACAGATACACTTTTAATCCGAAATATTATAGAGGCTGGTAAACGATCCCATCACACTACACCGTAAAAAATTAAGTAGCCAATTTTTATCGACACATTAGCTAAGATAGCGGCTAAGTACGCCAACGCCTGACTCGAGCTTAAATATCTGCGTACGGCATTTTTGAGCGTTCTGGGCTTTTCTGGGTTTTTTCGTGCCAGCGCGCTAACCAGCATCAAGGCGAAGGACATGACTGTCAATCCCGATAATCTCGTACTATTCGTTCCTACGAGTAAGATCGACCAGTATTGCAATGATAATCAGGTTTTCATCGCACGAACTAACGGACAAATGTGTCCACATGCTTTGCTTCTTCGTTATTTTCTTTAGCTAGCATTCACCCAAATTCAGACGAGTATATCTTCAGATACCTCCAAGCTTCCCGTCGTGGTTAAACAGCAGCTGCCCTTGCTTCTAAACGTATTAGTTACACAAGGTTACGTATTTATTTAGTTAGTTATGGCAGGTTAAGAGCCACCTTGTGGAAATATTGTCATTATAAATCATTATTATTTCCATATTCTATAATTACATAGAATGAAAAGACATAATGTTTTCTTCAAAGAATTACAAAGACAATTAACAATATTAAATTATCTTTACCCTTTCTCAGATACCGGTATTAAGAAACCATTTGGTCAGAAAGAACCCCCGCTAACTGATCATATTGTAAATATATTGGGTCGTTATCCTGATGGAGGGCAAATTTTGAAGGTGTAATATATTATTTTAAAAATGCTGTGCTGAGTGGTTATATTACTACCTTAAAAAATAAGCAGAAACTCGACGTTTCGAGAGAAGGCCCTTCGTCAAGAGTTAGTAGCGTTTATTATTTTACTCTATCTAATGCCAGATTAATTTATACTCATCAAGGGGTGAAATCATCAAGGAGACTATATCTAGTATTGGTCTTGATCCCAAGCAGTACAGTACGCATAGTTTACGATCTGGCGGAGCGTTATTCATGGCAACTTCTCAAGGGAACAATCCTAATTTGAATCGTTTGCTTAAACTTCAAGGCAGATGGAAATCTGATAACTCGAAGACGTGTATGTGCAAGACTCTTTGGAAAGTAGATTGACTTTAACAAAGATATTACCTAATATCGGAAATAAGTGAACACAGATAATATATGTCCATATCATAAACAAATCAAATCAATTGTACAAAATAAATAATAATTAATAAAAAGTTATTTTGCCAGGCAAGTGCTTGCACGTCGCCTGCCACCAATGTTTGTGTATATGTGCTTAGTGGAAAGGAGAAGGAAAATGATTTTCCTTCGGATGAACGTAGTGAAGTAGAAGGAAACAGATATTTCACAGCACACTCCCTATCGGAGCTTTTCAGTGACTGGTTACATTATGAATAGATAGAACCGGACTGACGTGAAGCAGACCAAGGTAGACTTTGAGCTTACAAATGGCGCTTGAGCAGCTGCCGCTATTAGTCCATACCTCATTAATGATCTGCCTCCAGACCTATGTGCCTAACCCACCCTGTCAACTTTCCCTGTGGGAGGAAACACGGAGTACCCGGAGAAAACCCACGACTTTCGGCAGAGCGTTGACTTTTTACTCTTTTCATGCACATGAGCACTGAGTTCGAGTCACATTGAGAAGTCCTCGCTGAGGCCATTCTCGTACCCAGAGCCCTTCTTACGCGCGGTGCGACGAGGGGCTCTGGCCAAATCCATAACCGGATACCACAAAAACATGGTAAGAAAACAATGTCCGGTGTTAGAACTAGCCAATCAGATGCCAGTTCGGAATATGGATTTGGCCAGAGCCCCTCGTCGCACCGCGCGTAAAAAGGGCTCTGGGTACGAGAATGCACTGAGGCTTGAACCAGCGGCTACCTTAGATGTGAAAGGCAAGTGCACTAACCACTTCGCCGCCGAAGCCCACTAAGCGCACTGGCTAGGAACATGGCGACAGCATTGCAACGCTTACGCCAAAATCATAGAAGCCAACAAGTGTATATTCTGTGATCTAGTGTTACTCAGCCAAAGTTCCGTATACAATGACAAAGACAAAGTGGAGATAGTCAAGTGGAGATTCTTTTGTCTCATAGACCAATCAGATTTACAACCGAAATACGGTTGTAAGGCATGGACTTTTGTTAAGGTTTGTATATCAGGCCTATTTATAGGCCTGATCGCAGGTTAGAAAGACTCTAGATATATTTAATTCACGCGCTCAAAACTAGCGAGTGTAATATACCACATGGTTATGACTATATGCATTCAGAATTTTTAATTCTTGATACGTTTCTCAATGCTTCATCTGTAATTATAAATTATACTAAAATGAACAGAATTTAGTCTATTTATTTCGATAGTATACAAAGAGAAAACATGCTTATATTGCGGTGATTATAGCGTCAATTTTGAAGCATAATTAAATTGTTTTTTAATTAACAATTTTCTACTACTTCTCAGGCTCAGCTGGACAATTGTATAAACTAACAAATATGGCTAAAACCATGTAATTTGACAGGTACGCCAAAAAAGGTTTAGCTTATGATAGCTTTTCATCGGCAAATACACGACACTCGATAGAGAGAAAAAATGCCTCTTAAAAACACTTGATATATTTTCCTGTTATGCAGAGTAGGGAGAGGTTTTCCGCTTTAAAAAACGTAAACAACAAAACTAAACGTTCTTAATGTTGTCATGTGGGAGGGTGCAAAAGTACGAGCGACGCTTGATAACGTGGAACGAAATGGAAGGTGGTGGGATTCCTGCAGGAATTCAAGAAATTACTGATTGTTTTGCGAAGAAAAACCTGCGGATAACGTGCGTGATAGTAAGAAATTTTGAGCTCGGCCTCGGGATTCTTGATTTAATCCCGCGCCAATCGAAACCGCCACCAAACCATAGAAATAATAGATACCTATTATTTCTATGCACCAAACCTACAACATTATAAATGTTAAATGATTTTATGCAATAAAAATAATTAACTTCGAGAACGAATATGTGCGTGTTGTTTATGTATATATTAATTGCTGCCGTAGGCAGCACACTATTCTTGACAACTGATTTTGACGTTATGACTCGTGCCAGTTTCCTTGACCGAGTTATAACGATGCAGCTTGATTCAAAATATAGAAGAAATTTGGATTTCTGTCAGTCGGTAATTGCTCGTAAGTCGCCGTAAAGCTCTCGTTCTGTACTTTCCGCCATGATGAAAAATATAAAAAACGATAATTTCTTCACAAATAAAAGACAATAATTTCGTTAGAAAATTATTTTTTGCACGTACGTTTTAGCCAATTATTAGTATAAGGTGTTGACAATGTTTACTTATGAGTAATAAGTTTATATTGAACGTTTAAATATGACAGAATCATGATGCAGGCATGTTCAATGTTGGCAAATGTTGTTATGATTTACGAAGACTTGGTATTAAGGCTCTGCTCACAGGCACAGGGTATATAACTATTAACTCAACCATGAAGGAAAACATCGAAATGACATATAGTGTTGTATAGTGTCGTATAATTAACATTGTATAGTATCGTATAGCCTTATATAGTGTCGTATAGTGTTGCATAACGTTGTGTAGTGTTGTATAGTCTGTCATGTACACTCTTGTATAGTGTCGTAATTTTGATAGTCTTGTATAACGTTGTATAGTATTGTATAGTTTTGTATGTTGTTGTATAGTGTCCTATAGTGTCGTATAGCCTTTATATGTTGTTATATAGTCTTGTATAACGTTATATAGTATTGTATAGTGTCGTATAGCCTTGTATATTACTGTGTAGTGTCGTAAGTGTTGTATACTCTTGTATAGTGTCATATAGTCTTGTTTAGTGCCGCATAGTCCTGTATAACGCTGTATAGTGTCGTATAGTGTCGTATAGCCTTATATAGTGTTGTATAGTCTTGTATAACATTGGATAGTGTTGTATAGCCTTGTATAGTGTCATAAGATCATTAATAAGTTCACCTGCTTACAAGATATGTAGCTTTTGACAGTTTTTTTGTAATAAATAAGACAGGATATATAATAGTGTTATGCACTCCATTATTAATAGTGTTATGGTATATACAGGGAGTCCCCCAAAAAAGAAAACTATGGAAATAAATGTATTGTTAGAATTTGAATGCCTCAGCACTCTGCTGAACCCACACGTGCATCAAAGCTTGACATAAGTAAATTTTATGCATAAAAAACCGTTTAAGAAGCTGTTTTAAATTCCCAAGAGCAGAAAATCGTGTGCTTTACAAAGATATTTTAATTTCTTAATAAGTCAATATTTAATATATGCACCCTTTTTAATACTTTAAGCATCTTTCGCACTTTGCATTCGGCTTAGTGCTAGGGCATTCAAATTTTAACAATACGTTATTTCAATGTTTTTTCGTTTTTTTTTGGGACACACTGTACAGGGTGTCTCAAAAAAACCCAAAATCATTGAAATTGACGTATTGTTCGATATTCAATGCCCTAGCACTAAGTTAATCCCACGAGTGCATAAAAGATTGACATAACTGCTATAATGAATGGTAATACTCAGCGTAAACTTGTTATGTCGGGCATAAAGTACTAAACCCACGAATGCATATTACGCATATTACAATTTACGAAGCATTTTTAAATTCCCATGAGCAAACAAACGTTCACTTTACAAAGATATTTTAATTTTTTAAAACAAATTAATCACCCTGTCAAAATCCTTTGTGTTACGGCATTGAAATTCGAACAATACGTTATTTCAATGATTTTGGGTTTTTTTGAGACACCCTGTATAATACTATTGTTATGGTATACATAATAATGTTTTATTTCCATTGTTAATAGTATTAACAGTCCTTGGCTCTTGTGCATTATATTTATCCATTATTAATAGTGTTATTAACTGTGAGTCATTCCAGGTTATTACTCTAGAAGTGACCACACTTGACTTTGTGTCTAAGAATATTAGTGACATTAACCTTAGTGAATAAATAGCTAAATGTGTGGAGGTAGCCCTGTGGGTCACATTATACATATATTGTTGGAGAAATAAGCCGTGGAATTATCCATAATTTCTTAATTTTTATTAGCTACTATTGTTTGGAGTGCTCAGAAAATGACCTGTTTCATTACAGAGAACTGTTTTCTTAATTTTAGATAATTAGAATATTGTTGTAACATATATGCACGCGATTCTTACAATAAAATACGATTTTCATTGTTTAAAAATTATGATAGTGTGATGTTTCCATTATAGTGTTATTTATTTTTGAATTATCCACGGATTATAAACAGATTTTGAACAACCTAACCCAAAGTTTTGGCCGCGAGGCAGCAATTTCCTTGCGTTAGTAACTTCTAGTTATATATTCATATTAGTTATTATGCAGGTTTACCGAGACTATTTAAGCCGTGGAGTTCACAGGTATAGCTCATTGCTTGCAGACCTTCAAGTTCACAACATCTTCTCTCCTTTACAATGGTCAATGCCGAGATTAACAAATAATAGCTTAGCTGGCTTTAGTCTAAGTTCAACAAATTCGTTGGATACTTCGTTGTTGACGGCTGTTTCGTTTCCGTCCACCGTTGGTCATTCTTCGGAGAGCAATGTCTTATGTCGACGTCTCCTTGGTTATTTTCCCCCAAGTTCCTCTACTGCTGTGATTTCAGTGGTCAAAGCTTCGTCGTGCTCGACAGTTTGTTTTCCCGCTCCCTTGGTCGTTCCTGCCTCGCAGTGTTCCCTCGCTGGCTGTTCGGTTCGTCGTCTACTCGTCTGCTGCGGTGCCTATAAGCAATAGCTTTTTGTCGCCGATTCCATCGTTCAATGCCACTGCTTTCCCACTTCCATACCTGCCTCATCCCCCCTGGCCGGTTTCCAGCTTACAGCATCGACCTCCAATGCTACAACAAGCGTCACAACCAATGTTTTCATACGTGTCTCCTTCGTCCTTGTTTTTTTCTGGTCCGCCATCTTGTCACCTTGGCCCAGTCCCTTTTAACACGGCTCAGTCATTACATCCCATCCACCAGCAGGCGCTGCTATTCCTGCTAACTTCCATCCACCAGCAGGCGCCGCTAAATTCCATCCTCCAGCAGGCGACGCTCAATCCCATCCCACAGCCGCCCTTGACTCCCTACCACTGAGCAGGGCCTAGTAAATCCCATCCTTCCGCAGGCGCTCCCGAATCCCGTTCAATAGCAGGCTTTAGGCCTTACGCAGAGCTCTGGCTTGCCATTAACAACACCAGCTGCCGCTAACAATCAGCTTATGGGGATGCAACGTGCAGGTTTGTGGGAGGCGTCAGGTATGTTGGGGCAGGTTCCTCTTTTGGTGTGTTACTATTACCGTCTATTATTTGCTATGTACTTCTTTATTGACATGGTACTAAGGTACTTGGCGTGCTACTTCGCGATAATGTTTGTATTTACGTTAACTTTGTTTGTATTATTATACCAGTGTTTTGCAGCTTATTGCCCGTTATTTCTTTAGCTCGTGTACCTGTAGGGGTTAATACCCCTGTGGCGGCCGTTACTCCACTCGTCCTCACCGAATTTCGGCGGGGGGCTAATCGGGTTTCCGACTAGGGCGGTTAGTCTGAGTTACGCTTGGGGGTTGGGAACGCCTTTGGAGGGGGTTCGTGCCTCGTATCCCTTCTCCAGCTGCGCTGGAGGATGGCGTTGGAGAGGTGAATTCTCGGCATCATTGGGATTTGCCAAGCCGGGATAGTCGTTGGTCGGTAGCTTGAGTACCTACTTGACAGCCAAATTGACTTCAGTTCGTGGTTACAGCAGCCTTGCTAAACGTAGCGTGCATCCTCTCCAACAGAGCTATACCCTCCAAAGAACTGTCGTGCTTACGTCGTGTGCTATTACTCTATATGCTCTTGCTATTCGTTCACTGAGTGATCGCATGTTACATATGATTCATTGACATTGTGATGCAACACGTTGAGTCCAAATGCTGTGATTCGTATTGATCAAATACTATTGAAAAATTACATATCGCGAAAAAATTGACTGAAAGTAAGTAGCAAACTCAGGGTTTTCAGTCAGTATAAAATTTAGGTGGTAAGGTTGTGTATCTAGGGAGATAGGCATTTCAAGCCAATTTAGGGGAGATATAGTGCAGTGCACTCTATGTTAAATTCTAAATTTCGGGCATCTCGTTCGATGAAACAAACGTTGAAGCGAAATTCCAATCTACAGAAAACTCTTAACAGTGGCAAGATTCTTGACTGTGCGGTTGTGGAAGCACTGTCAGCAGGAAGATTGAAGACATCTTAACTGAATTGCCGCAGGCGGTCGGGGGTAATGTAGCCCTCCGGTAACTGGCTTCTTTTGAAAGCCCTGCATGGGTTAAGGTCGTTCGATATAGTAATCCTCACAAAATCCTTATACAAGAATCGCGTGGTCATTAATCGTTTCCTCGGGAATATGAACTAAAAAACTTCCAATGGTGAATTGCTCACGCCATCTCGCGTGTTGTATATATTAGAATGTTAGGGTTTCTAATCCAAGTGATTATATACATTTTAAGACCTGGCCAGGAACGACTGCGAAAAATGCAGCACAAGGTCCTCTGGTAGGAAATGAACCTACGGCCCTGCGATTCCGGTGCAGCGCTCTAACCAACTGAGCTACAGAGGCCAGCTGTTGAGCTGTAACCGTAAGTTCATGTATATATAGGTAATCGGGTGTGCGGGTTGTGATAAGGTGGACTTGAATGATGTGGTTTCTTGCACTTCACTTGGTAGAATTAATATTAGAATGTTAGGGTTTGTAATCCAAGTGATTATATACATTTTAAGACCTGACCAGGAACATAGCGTGTTTCATTTCCGTGCTGACGTCATTAAAAAATCAAATTTTTGAAAATCCAAATTTTGCACGCAAAAGTCTTTCGTAATACCAAAAATAAAAAATTTTGTAATGCAATTTTTTAAGTAAAATAAACCACAAAAATATTAGGGATCACCGTGCTTCTTTCTTAACTACTTGAAGCAATAAGCTATATTAATAATAATAATAATCTTTATTTAAACTGTGAGATATTATACCATTAGAGTAAATTTCATATGCGTGTGTTGCCATAGCAGCGAACTACAGTATGTGTTACCAAAACTAGCATAATTTGAAAGAAGAAACATTTAAATATTTGAACATCCCGATATTTGATCCACAAAACCCAAACATACGAAGTTTAAAAATGTAAAACACCTTAAACTGTATCACTCATCTTAAACTACTCCACTACTTCAGTCTTCAGCTTCCAAACCACTCTCCTCTGCAGATTACGTAATACGTAAATTACGTAATACTACTGGGGAAACAAATTACATAATGTCCTCTACTATCCCTACGTTACCAATACAATATATTTTAAATCATAATAAATAGTTTTAGACTCTGTGGGGGAGAGAGTGCTTCCAAATGAAGGCTCTTGAAACGTTGAAATTTTCTTATCTTCTCAGCTAGTTTCGTATCGTTTCGAGTGCCAGATTAACCTAATGAGTAAGTGGCATATGCCACAGGCCCTGCAGTTTTGGGGTCCCCACGCTTACTCTTTTCAAATTTTTTGTTCCCGTTTCGGCGCAGGGCCAAACCAACATAATGCACTGGTACATACTTTTAGGTTAATACTTGTTTTAAAATTTAAGTATTGCAATGTATTATATAATACAATATGTAGCTGTCATATGATATTATTGCTGATACTCATTGCATCACTTATTGATACAATTATTGATACAATTTCTGAATTAAATTAGTGTTTAATTTTAAAATGCCGTTGGGGAGTGGGGGTCAAGGTGCCCCACGCTGATAATATGCCACGGACCCTGCAAAATGTTAACCTGGCTCTGATCGATTCAGGTATATAATAATTGCACCAGGTTATCTAGCTAGAGGCCAATAGGAATGTTCGGTATGAGAAATTTCTGGTATCGGTATACCAAAAAAATTATACCGATATTATCGGTATACCGGTTTTCCTTTGATAATTGTAAAGGAAAATTCTTTAATACAAGTTTGAAGGAAATTTTGAGTAATTCTAAAAGGGAAAACGATAATTTCGAAGCTGTTTCGAACATGTTTCGAATGACATGCACGTATTCAGTGTAAAATCTCACTGAAGTGGAAATCCTAAATCATTGCAGTAGAAAGTTGTTTGAATTGCTATTCAGTAGTAAAATAAAGGTTATGGTTTCGCCATATAGTTGGTAAATTTAACACGATATACCGAAAAATTCCGGTATATCGAAAATTTTGGTATATCGGTATGGTTGAATATCCGGTATCGATATACCGATATTGATTTAATACCGATATTTTCGGTATATTGGTATACCGAACAGTCCTAGAGGCCAACCCAACTTCTTAGTAGGGGCCAACCATTATTTCCCTGTACTAATAGAGAATTCTAACTAAGGTAATTGCGATGGTTAAACGTTACTGTAATAAGAAACACCAAATATCTGTTTACCAGTAAATGTAACAAGGCTAATACAGAAATAATTAAGCACATTAGTCTCATTTTAACATAACAAGAATGATATTGTAATAATGAATGGTATGAGAAACAGAGAGAGGAATGCTAAGTTAAGAGGTTGCTAATTTCAGATTCCATAAACTTGAGATAAATGAATCAAAAGAATTAACTCAGCTTAGATATTTTAAAGTTTAAACAAACTCACCTGCTACCAAACACCAGTGCCAGTTGATCAATAGCATGGTAAAAATCATCAGGAATTTTATTGTCAACATAATTGAGATTTCGCACTTTACTAATGAGATTGCCAGCGGCTGCAAGAATCTCGCTGGACCTTAATGATGGATAACGGTTGATCACTTCTTTCAAGTTAGATAACACCTTTCCCAGACATTCATGAGCTTTCACATGCATTTCTTCAACTGCATTACCACCGTCTGTATTTTCTGAACAAATGACAATTGTACATATGTTCAATTATGTTGAATAAACAATGGGGGTAATAGACTAATTTCAGTCCAGAATGACTACAAGTAGCTCCAGTTCAGTGGACATCAAGGACATTTTATTTTAAACAAAAGAATCTCATTAGAATCTCATTGTTTGACCTCCATCTGCTTTGGTGTTTATGTCTTGTGGGATTGCTTGAAACCCACCTATACCAGGCTCAAATATAATAATATTTCAATTACTTTGGGCAATGAGCAGACTGTGCCCCTAGAGGAAGAACTTCACACTAAATACTACATAAATTGATAATTAACCATTTAACCCATTGAGTCGCATTGCACCCCATTCTATTATTTTGTACTCTGTCTAAACACCAGACGATATTACTCATCAAGGGGAGAGTGCTGGCACTCATGCTGATTATTGTAAGGCATCAGTCCCCTATGGATGGTTGTGCATTAGGTTAAATAAATTTATTCACATTTTTTCCTGCATACAATAGGTAACAGAAAAACAGAAAAGTAATTTAGAATAAACTGGTATTCACATTAATACAAATGGGCAGCCAGCACTTGCCCAACACTTTCACCTTGAAGAGTAAAATCATCTGATGTTATACAGAGTAGTTTTGACAATAATTTAACTGCTTGAAATCAAGAATGGCAGTCAATGCAGTTTGACATGTGTGATTTCAGACAAGAACGGCTGTCAGTAATGCCGCTAATCAAAAACATCTCTTGCTTAAGCTCTCTAAAAAAATTAGGCCATAATGGGGAACATGCACGGTGGGCATAAAAGACAGCGAATTTGGCCAAGTACATATAACTTTCTCTCGTTAGTTTGGAATATCACGAAACTCCCTCACAGGATAGAACTTAACATTCCTAAAAATCGTATGTTTTTTGTTTTTCAATTTTGTTACATTTTGGCGGGAAAATGACGTGCCAACTTTGGCGCCAAAAAATTAAACACGAGCTAAGGACATGCTAGTAATTTTTTCGAAAAGATTGTCCTATAAGGATCTCAAAACTGTAAAAACATTAAAAATACAACAAGGCAGTGCGAAGATATGGCGATTCAAATTTCTATTTTTACTGAAAAATCAGCCATTTTGTTACTAAAAATAGATTTTTTTCGAACTTTGAATCGCCATATCTTCGCACTGCCTTGTTGTATTTTTAATGTTTTTACAATTTTTTCCAAACTAACGAGAGAAAGTTATATGTACTTGGCCAAATTCCCTGTATTTTATGCCCACTGTATATATATATATATATTATATATATATATATATATATATATGGTGGCATAAATATAATGGGTTAATAATAGACATGGGAGCCAGTCTGTTAACCCATTACTTAAGTTGTATTGCACCCTAATGCATCCTAGTTTAATTATTATTTTCTTCAGTCTAATGCCAATTTTACTTGTCAAGGGGACAGCGCTGGCACTCCATGGGTTAATCAGACTATCTGCCCACAATGCAACCTGATGGGTTAACTAGTCACATGCCCAAATATGACCTACTTTACTATTTTATACTGTCAAATACCAGACAACTTTACTACTCAAGGGACACTGGTTCTCAATGAGTTAACCAATTAATGTGTGACACTTTCTCCTTGAAGAGAAAAATCCTCTGTTACTATACAGAGTAAAATAAAAAGTAGCCACATTAGGGAACATTGTGATATGATACTGGATTAATGAAAGACATAAACAGTCTGGTCAACTAATTAATCCCATCACTTCCCATTTGAAGAGTGAAATCGTCTGGCATTATACAGAATAACATAACAAACTGAACATTTCTCAACAACAATTTGTAATGCAAATGATGTTCCAGAAACTTTGATTGGCTTGGCAATGAGTTGCTTTAGGAATCATCAGTATAACGTCACCTTTGGGGAGTGTTGCATTGGGTTAATAAAAGTAATGGGTAGCCAGTCTGGTTAAAGAATCAATGTCCAACACTTTCGCCTTGAAGAGTAAAACCCTTTTGTGTTGTTATAAAGAGTAAAGTTAGTAAGACCCACTGTTGCGCATTGCGGCTTAATGGGTTAATGTGTGCCAACTATGTCCAGTTAGCCAAAAGAATTTTTCAATGTCCATATATATCAAAATTATATTGGTCCTTATAGTATCTTCTTTCAAGGGTTAAAAACAACAAAATCACAAAGATCTTTTCAACAAAGAAATACAGAATTTGTTTCTTGTGAAAAATTATCCTGACGTAGTAAAACATTAAGAAAAACATTGTTGCAAATTACTAATCAAATACATTCTGACAACAAGCAAAATTACATCACTATATATCGCGACTGTAGCCCACTTGCCTATTTAATATATTATAAACACAATTCCAAATTAAGATGAGCCTGTCTGAATTGTTCAGTGACCGTTCAGTATCAACATTCCGTACGTTTGAAAGTAAAATCCAATCACAAAAATGATATACATTTCATGAAACACGGCGGGATTTTATACTGCTAAATTAAAATCAACAAAGCAAAATGTAGTTTGGAGTTCATTTTTAATAATGACTCTTCTAAGTTATGAAGTGTTTATCGGTTTATTACTCGCTTTTTATGGTTTCATATTAAAACAATAAAGATGACACATTGGGGGTATCGAAGACAGGTCAAATAGCAATCAAATTACACTTACAATTCAAAAGCTATCGAGCAATTAGAATTGTTATGAATACAAAACCGACAATTTACACAGCTATGCCGAAACGTCTACATAAATAGTCACGAAGGCCACGCAAAGTATACTTGAATTCGACTATATTAAATAAGTATTAGATAATAGAAAGTATATTATTTCATAATCCTACCGTCTGAATCTGTGTCTGATCCATTGCCTGGGAAAGCAATTCTCAATTTACTCAAAGCATCTGAGAAATGTCGTACATGAGCGGTCAAAGTGAGTATATCTTCCTGGTCGACCATTTGGCTGTCAACAGTGTCTGTACCATACGATGAAGACAGGCTATTTAGTGAGAAACTTCTCTCAGATAAATTATTTGAACGAAGTGAACTTTTAGACGACGATCCGTGAAGAAGTTTCGATACATCGCCTGAGCTATGTCGCTTGTGGTGGCCATTATGATGATATTCAGTATTTTCAAGGGCTTTTACATTCTCACTTTGTCTTTGCACATCAAGGGCCTCATTATCAGACAAAAAGTTAATATCATCCAAACTTCTACGTTTATGCAATAACGTCACTTGTCCACTCTCAGGAGCCCAGGAGTATCGTGATGAATGCAGATTTTCCGACAAAAAATCCCGTCGACGTTCAACAACCTAAAAGGAAATCGGAGTATATTAACAGATTTCGAGTGGATTAGTTCGGTTAAATATTAACTTAAAGAGTCCTTACTGGCTCTCCAAGCGGAAGTGTCCTTGGCATCCTTTCAGTTGATGTTGCACCAGTATCACAGAGAGATTCATCCACCAAATTCGATGTCATTTCTTCGGGTGGTAATGGCGCTAGATAGTTTTCTTCGGGTGGTAATGGCGCTCGTCTTTTCTTAACGCCATTTGCTTTACTAACAGACATTTTTATGGTCCGTTTTCTCCCAAATTTTTATCAGGCCATTTAAAATTATCATCCATAAAAGAAATAGTTACAAACTTTTTAATTTTATGCTGGTAAAATAGCAAATAAAACTTGACATCCATACATGTTATTATACAAAACCTGTATGGAACATACTCAATGGAATTGTAAAAACACGTGATTTGAATTACGGTATTTCATTGGTCAATTGTGCTGGGATATCGTGGGATGGAATTTTAATTGTGAAATGGCAGTCATCCCAAAAATTTGAAACAATATTAAACTTTCTTTATTATATTTAATATTATAGCAAAGTTTGTTTTCGATTTTCCTTTGACCAAATAAAAAAATTATATCGGAACAAAATTCAGAATACCGACAATACCATGACAAGTGCCAGGAATGAGGATCCACTTTTTTCAAATTGACTCGACAAGGTACCTGGAAGCACGGACGTTAAATACCTTATAGTCCAGTCAATCTGTGACCAGAGGTCAAAGAAATTGCAATAGAATTTTTTTCAGTGGTAAAATGTGAGGGAAGGTATCCCGATTAACATACTAAAAGTCCCAAAAAATCCTTTCGGTGGAACATGGTGAAAATCGAGTTTCTCTATAGAAAATCATTGTGGACAGAATGTTCAAATTTTGAAATCATTTTTAGGCAAATATAACCTACATTATTGGAAAGCATAAACAAAACTATACTGAAAGGTCAATTAAACCGTTATATTCAATTTACTAGCCAGTTTGTCGTTATTCTAGCTCAAAGTTGGAAAAATAGCACAAAATTTGCACAAAATACAAATTTATGGCATTTTAAATCTTGTATAACTTCGGCTGGATAGGCAAAAGCAAAGTAACCGTTTAATGATCTATATTTAGTTTTGTTTAAGCTTTCCAATGATGTAGGTTATATTTGCAAAAAACTAATTTCAAAATTTCAACATTTTGTCCGCAATGGTATTCTGTTGGCAGAAGTAAGAAAAACTCGTAAAAAAATTTTTACCATGTTCCACTGAAGGATTTATTTTTAATATGTTAATCAGAACACCTTTTCTCACACTTTACCACTGAAAAAAAATCTATTGCGATTACTTTGATCAGGACCATGTACTTATAGTGATTTGACTGGACCCAGTCAACATGGTTTTACTAGTTGCCGCTCTACTACATCGGCTCTGATATCCATCACACAGCCATGGTTTAATGCTACTGACAATACCTGCCGTGACAAAGCAGGCATCCATGCCCTCTTTATCGACTTTAAAAAAGCCTTTGATCTAGTTGATCATGCATGGGATCCTGTTGAATAAACTTGCATTGATGAATGTTAATAAAAGCTTCTGGTTGTGGGTCAAAAGCTTCTTATCTGGTAGAACTCAGCAGGTCAAGATAAATCAAACACTTTCATCGATCGAGGGTTGCCCAGCTGGAGTACCGCAAGGATCTGCTCTTTCGCTGACTCAATTTAATATCCACATTGACGACTTAGATACGAGTGTTCCTGAAGATCTTGAGGTGAGCACATACAAATATGCCGATGACTGCACACAAAGCGAATGCATCATGAAGGGAGAGTGTAGCAATATGCAGAAAGTCTTAGACTCCGTTCAGAACTGGTCAAACGCTAATAGAATGAAGTTGAACGCAAAGAAAACGAAAGATATGTGGATTTGCTTTGGGAAATCTATCCCACAGCCTCCCAATCTTTATACCGGGGATGTTATGATCGAAAGAGTCAATTCATTCAAGTTACTTGGTGTTAGCTGTCAAAATAACATGAAATGGAATTCTCACATCAAAGAAATTACTCGTAAGGGAAACAGGAGACTGTGTCATCTAAGGCAGTGCAGGAAGGCTCACCTTCCTACTGAAGTAGGATTGGCAACTTATTGCACCAAAATTAGTCCACTGCTTGAATATGCCGCACCAGTTTGGGGTGGCCTACCTCACTATTTAGTGAACGACCTTGAGCGTATTCAAAGGAGAAGCTTACGTATTATTGGTTTACCGGTCGATACACTACTTCCGCTCAATGAGGGAAGAGATAAGCTAACTCTTCGAGAAATGGAGGCAATTACTCAGGACGTAAACCATCCCTGTTACCACCTTGTCCCTATCGCACAGAAGCATGACTATTCCACTAGAACTAAACTCGGAAAGAGGTTCTAATGTAGGTCGCATTATTTCCAGAACCGAAAGACATAAATCATCGTTTATGCCTCGTGCAGTTAAACTTTTTAATTAATAAACTTTAAATTACTACTATAATAGACGGTTCTGTAATTTTAGGCTGAATGTAGGTCGCATTATTCTCTGAACTGAAGGACATAATCGTCGTCTGTGCCTTTGGCAACTGAACCTTTAAAAATACAAATTTTTATTGTAATATAGATGGTTTTATAATGGATTATTATTAAAGCTTTACATCATCATAGTCATAGAGCACAAATCCCTCGGTCAAACAAAAATGACAGCCGTTGATGAGAGTCTTAGCAGTCTCGCTCACACTCACAGTCAACTCTCATTAACTTTGAACTGCTGCAAATATTCCTATTTTGATGAAAGTTAGAGTTTTTACTCGTTTAACCGGCGATAGGCCGTATTAAATATCCAGTCAACTCTCATGCAACATTCGTTCTCATTTACCGTGACATTAGAAAACTCTCACGTGAAACTCACGCTTGCCAAACTCTCATGAACTCTCATCCTCGTTCAACCCGAGCTTCATTTAACTAATAGCGAGGTTCAATACGCACGAACGTCACTTGAAAATTGGTATATTACTAATTTTGACGGCATTTTGGATCAAAGCGTTCGTGTAAGGGACCGTTCATTATTTATACCCGGGGTTGGTACCGAAGAGATATGGGTTGGGTAATCAAGTTTTTGACTACCTCATGGGTTGGGTAAAAATATTTATGGCTGTCTGTCCATAAAGTCCATAAAATAAAACCAAAATTACCATGCATTAGAAAATATGAAGAAAAATGTGTACAATAGTCAATACATTCTGTACCAAAATAGACCATCGGTAATTGAGGAAGGACTCATCATTGGTCAGCAGGAACGTGATTGCCTTGGCACACTCAGTGAGTTTGAGTGTGAATGCATGAGCTTTGAGAATTTATAGACAACTTGATTTCTGTCACCATAATCTTGTGTGTTAAGTTATTATGAAGTACAGTAACACATGGGTTAGGTAAACATTATTTTGACCAATGTTGAGGTTGGGTAAATAAAAAATTTACACTGTTTTTCGTTTCTCTTCGGTACCAACTTTTGAGGTTTGTTTGAGGTTTTTCGGAAAACAGTTATATTTAAAATTGTAGTCACGTTGCATTTATGTGTAGTACGCCAAAAAGGAAGTAGCTACATCTAAAATATGCATTGTGATTGAGGACCTTTATTGTGAATTGTAAAAATAGAATGTAAATGTGGCTACTTTATTACTGAGCCTTGACCGTATTTTATGTAATTAAAATTTTTAAAATATTGCCAAATATAGAGATATAAAAAAGTGAAACAAAAAGATTTAACAAACATGTGGTACGCCAAAAACATTTTAGGAATTGGTTTTTGATTATTGGCTTCCTGGAACTGATAGTTAACTCATGGATATGTGGAATTATATGAAGATTATTTCGAGTTCTGAATTAACAAGATAGTATTAAAGATGGTCCAATTGGCTTCCGATTGTCACGTATGACCTTCAGATTGGCTATAATATAATCCTACTATCTCTTCTTTTGCATTCATAACTCCAGCATTACCTATATATAGGATGGTAAATCAGCAAATTCAATACACCTGTAAGTAAAGGGTTAAAAGAGAAAAAGATAATTAAGTTTATATAGATCATTCTATGTTTAGATGTAGGATTTAGTGCTATAGCTATCATGAAAGATCTTGGAACTCTCTTCAGACTATATATATATATATATATAATATAAAAAAAAATTAAGATAAGAAAAAGAATTAACTTTTTAGTCTTCTATATTTAAGCCGAGTAAACAGCAATGTTAATATTATATCCAAATTAATCAGAGTCACTATCTCTCTTCATCATTTTTCGATTTGTCAGGAGGTAAATGGTATCAGCTCCAAAGAAAGTTCATGTGTAGACAACATGAAACATTGAACTGCGGAAAATTGCACAAGCAGTTATCAAATTCAAGTCACAGAAGTAACAAAGGACACTGTTGTTGCGTTCAACTCCTCAAGAAAGAAAGATGTTAAGAAAGGTTATGAATTAAGTTTGTAGAAGACTTTAGAAGATAGAGGGCAAAAGAACAATCTCTCTTCTAGTAAAGAACTTCATTTAAACAGCATCAGCATGTTGACAGTTGCCAACTGCTCTTGGTTTGAATTTGTCAATTATTACAATCTGTAAATCTGAAGACGAATGGTAAATCAAGGCGGCAATATCCACTGGCATGAGTCTGAAAAGAACCGATTTAGAACTGGTTAGCGCACTTGCCTTTCATCTCTAAGTCCGCAGGTTCAAGCCTCAATGAGAACTTTCTCAAGCGACTCAAACCCAGTCCTCATGTGAAAAGAGTAAAAGTCAACGCTCTGCCGAAAGTCATGGGTTTTCTCCGGGTAGTCCAGTTTTCTCCCACAGGGTGGGTTAGGCAAAACCCCACAGGGTGGGTTAGGCAAAAAGAGCCCACAGTAATTGTCATACGCTGTTGTGGTGACCCTGCCCTAGGTGGCAAACCTATAAATAAATAAATAAATAAAAAAACTTGTTAGAGCCAGTTTACATCATATATATAGGTTAGCTTATTAAACTTTCTTAAGTTAAGAAATTCTTTTAGTGATTCTCAATATGGCTTTCGTGAGAAACATTCTACACAACATGCTCTTCTTGATATTATTAATAAAATAGTCCAAAGTTACATGGATAATAAACTTTTCTCTTGTGGAATATTTATCGACTTAAAAAAAGCGTTTGATACTGTCGACCACGACATTCTGTTATGCAAATTAAAGTACTATGGTATAAGAGGTGTTGTCAATGATTGGTTTTTCTCTCGCAAACCACTTTTGTGGAAAATTGTATATCAGATGAAGGAGGAGACCTTATTTGGGGTACCCCAGGGTTCTGTTCTTGGACCTCTTCTTTTTTTAATTTAATTACATAAATGATATTTGTGACTCATCTAAGGTATTTAATTTCTTTCTCTTTGCGGACAACACCAACCTATTATAACCCCCCCCCCCAGTATAAGCCCCCTGTGGGCTTGTGTATAAGCCCATCATATTCACTAACACTCAGGCCATTCCAAATATAATTCCCCCTGAATATAAGACCCTAGACATTTCTAAGCCCATTGGTTAATTAACACAGCGACAGCGATTCCAGCAGCACAGATGAGTGACAATAATTGTCAGAGTACAGTATTGTAAGTAGATTACAATTATACGATTATAATTATACACTGTATGTTTGTATTTCTTTTCGTTCAAGGTATAGTTTACAGGTACAATAAGTATTAATACTACTATACTATTATACTAACATCAAATGTTGTCTGTACATAAGTCCTCCTGTAATTAAGCCCTCCCATGTATAAGTCCGTTGATATTTATTGTATAGTTAGTTGCATCGGTAGGTTTCACTAAAGCTGGGCGCACATACTATGATTTCTTTCAGCCAATAGACACTTTGCTTGCTGGCAATGAAAACTACTTATTTCCAATGGATCACATTGTTTACCTCGATTTAAAGCTATTGTTTTGTGTCAGGAAAATTCAGGAAGTGTGTATTTATGGTTTTTCTGCAGTTAAAACAAGATCCAATCTGTGGTACGATAAGTGGGCTCGTTATGCTCATGTGTTTGCACATAACACCTTTTCACAGTTTGCGATGCCATCTTGCCAAGTTCTACCTACTCTGGCATCCTTTTTGAAATGTTTCAAATGCTTCAGTGAGGAATCTTATCCTAGTTCACAGTTGATGATTCATGACCATTTCTGGATAAGGGAAGGCTTGGGGACCATTCGTAGGTGGGGCTTGGGGACAATTAATTGGTAGGTGAGCCCTGGGTACTGTTAGTAGGTAGGACTTGGGGACCGTTAGTTGGTGGGATTTGGGGACCATTAATTAGTAGATAGGACTTGGGGACCGTTAGTAGGTGGGAGCCGTTGGGGAAAATTAGTAGGTGGGATTTGGGGACCATTAATTAGTAGATGGGACTTGGGGACCATTAGTAGGTGGGACTTGAGGACTGTTAGTAATTGGGACTTGGGGAACATTGGTAGGTGGGACTTGGGGACCATTAGTAGGTGGGACTTGGGGACCGTTAGTAAGTGGGACTTGAGGGACTGTTAGTAGGTGGGACTTTGGAACCGTTAGTGCGTGGGACTTGGGGGACCGTTAGTAGAAAGAACAGCTCCTAGTCCAAGGTCCGAAGCGCCCGTTTGCAATACAAATTCTCGGTCAAAGTCTAGGTAACACAGTACACAGGGTACCCGCCTCAGACTTGGTATGAAAATATCGCTGTATTCACTTAAATTTGACAAGAAATAAAATATCAATGCAATAAATTGACATGAAATAAATAATATCACTATAAAAAATAAATTTGAATTTACATGAAGTGCTGCAAACTTGGAGCTATATTTGTCAGCTTGGAGCGCGGGCGCAACCATAGGGAGAGGAGCGAAAGAACAGAGAATAATATTCATTTCCCTCTTCGCCCAACGTGTCTTCCTATGACGTCATCCTCTTCGGCGCCCGCGTTCCAAGCTCTGCGGTACTTGGTGTAAAGTCAATTATATTGTATTGCTTGTCAAATTTTATTTTTTATACAGCGATATTTTCATACTAAGTCTGAGTTACAGTGATGTTATTTATTTCTTGTCAATTTATTGCAATGATATTTTATTTCTGGGCTAATTTAAGTGAAACAGCGATATTTTCATACCAAGTCTGAGGCGGGCACCCTGTGCACAGTATTGGTGCGGAGCAAACATGGGCGTACCGGAAGGAAAAAATTAGGGGGCGGAAAGGAATTTGCCCGACTTTTCCTGATTTTGCCCGACCAGTAGCGAAAAAATTTTTTCCGGAACAAATTAATTTTGGCGACCTCCCCCCCGTCGCCAAAAAAAATTTCGGTCAGTGTGCCATTTTAGGGGTCCAAAATTTTTTCGAACATACCAAAATTTTTCGGAACATCATATAAATTTTCCAGACATCACAAAATTGACCACAAAATTAACAGAATTTCCCACAAAATTGACAGAATTTGTCCCATTTATTTTTATAATAAGCCAATATTGCCCGACTGTGGAGCGAATATTGCCCGACTGGCTTTGTTTGCCCAACAAACTGGGGGGGGGGGCTGCCGACCCCCCCACCCCCGCCCCCCCGCTCGGTACGCCAATGGGAGCAAAGTAAGTTGTTTATGTTGTTCAAAGGCCGCAGTAAATTCATCAGTTTCAACAAAATTATTGAAGGTTGAACAACAGGTAGCGTAATTAGGTACTCGCCGATGATACCCAGTCAAGCTTAGAAATATAGGCATACTTCGAAACCCGGACCAGACTCGGACTCGAGAAAAACCCGAACCCAGAAAAAAATCCGGACTCGTCCTTGAGAAAACTCGGACTTGTCTTTTGAAAACCCGCACTCGAAATAGAAAAAAACGGATTCGAAAATAGGACTTTGTGTACTAGAATGTAAAGGTTTTTTGCAAAATTTTAATAATGGTTAACATGATAAACGATGATTTCTTTATAACAATAATTTTTCATTCAACTTGAATGTTTATGCCGTTGAATGTCTTCAACTTGGATGGTTATGACGTTGACTGTTTTCGGCCGCATAATAATTCAACTTGGATGGTTATTCCGTTAAATATCTTCAACTTGGATGGTTATTGGGTTGAATATATTTGGCATACACATTCAGCTTAGATGTTTATAGCGTTGAATATGTTCGGCATAAACGTTAAACTTAGATGTTTATGCCGTTGAATTTGTTCGGCATAAACATTGAACTTATATGTTTATGACATTGACTGTCTTCAACTTGGATGGTTATGCTGTCGAATGTCTTCGGCATAGCCATTCAAGTTGGATGATTATGCTGTTGAATATCTTCAACTTGGATGGTTATGATGGCGACTGTTATCGGTATAACCATTGAACTTCGATGGTTATGCCGTTGACTGTCTTCGGCATAACCATTCAACTTGAATGGCTATGCATGCATGCCGTTGAATGTCTTCGGTATAACCATTCAACTTGAATGTTTATGCCGTTGAAAGTCTTCGGCATAACCATTCAACTTGAATGGCTATGCATGCATGCCGTTGAATGTCTTCGGTATAACCATTCAACTTGGATGGTTATGCCGTTGAAAGTCTTCGGCATAACCATTCAACTTGAATGGCTATGCATGCATGCCGTTGAATGTCTTCGGTATAACCATTCAACTTGAATGTTTATGCCGTTGAATGTCTTCAACTTGGACGGTTATGACGTTGACTGTTTTCGGCCGCATAATAATTCAACTTGGATGGTCATGCTGTTGAATGTCTTCGGCAAACCCATTCAACTTGGATGGTTATTATTATTATTATTATTAAAACTTATTTACAAACAATAACCCTTCAGCCTACGCTGCTTTTAAAGGGGTTGTTTACATAAAAGAAAGTACAAAATAAATATTTACAAAATAGTATAAGTATTTACAAAATAGTGTAATTGACTAGGAGTCTTTACAATTGGATATTTTATCAACGTAGGTGATTGTTGAGCTTAGTTTTAAAAGAATATATCGTCAACTGTTCGTGAACGTTTAAGATTTCGTTAGGTAATGAGTTCCAGGCGGAAGCTCCTCGATATGAAAATGACTTTTTCATAAATGATCTATTAGGTTTATCGAGAGTTAGTTTCCGCCCGTTGCTCCGCATGTGGTGACTTCTATTATCACAGTAGGAGAACATATTACAGATGCACTCCGGCGCTATACCTCGGATAGCCTTAAACGTAATTAGAAATTCTCTTTTTTTAAGAATGTTATCTATTGGATGCCAACCTAGACTCTGGAGGATTGTTTTTGATCTTGTTTCATAGTTTAATCCAGTAATTATACGAGCGGCTCGCTTTTGTAATTTATAAAGTTTTTCCAAATTTGTTTTGTTTCCATCGTTCCAAACTGTCGAACAGTATGTAAAGTAAGGAACTACCAAGGAGTGAGTCGTTGTAAGGTACGTGTGGTTTTGCCTTTCTAAGCAGAGCTATTGCACTTGAAAGTTTTTTGCATTGCTCATTAATGTGTTCAGTCCACCTTAGTTCGTTATCAATTGTAATACCTAAGGTTTTTTTTTTGCTTAACTTGTTTAATAATGGATCCGTTTATATGTATACGAATATCAGTGCGAAATTGATTAAGTTTTCTTTTTGAGGCTATTATCATAAATTCTGTTTTGTCTGTGTTCAATGTCAACCTATTTGCTTCTAACCAGTCGTTAACATTGGATAAGTCAGCGTTTAGTTTGTGCTCAATTTCGGCTGGGGTCCTTCCTGTGCATGATAGATTGGTGTCATCAGCAAACATGGATGCTTGTGTGTACTCAAGGCACATTGGTAAATCATTTATGTACAATGAGAATAGCAATGGTCCCAGATTGGAACCCTGTGGTACTCCACATTGAACTGTTTCTTGGCCTGACTTCTTATTATTAATGACACAAACTTGTTTTCTGTTGTTTAAGTAAGATGCTAGTAATTTTAGAGGAGTACCCTTTATACCATATTGGTATAGCTTTTGTAGGAGAATAGAATGATCAACCGTGTCAAACGCTTTTTTAAGATCCAAAAATAGCACTCCATTTGCCATTCCTTTATCCATGTTGAGTAGCCATTGATCTGTGCATTTTAAAAGGGCAGTTTCTGTAGAATGATTTGGTCTAAAGCCAAATTGCTGTTTACAAATGATGTCGTTGTCATTGATATATGAACTTAATTGGTCGTATATAATCTTTTCAAGGATTTTGGCGACAGTAGAAATTACAGATATAGGCCGGTAGTTTCCGCATTCCGCCTTGTCACCTTCTTTATGAATAGGTATTATTTTTGCAAGTTTTAAATCATCTGGGAAAATGCCAGTGCCCAGTACAAGGTTAAAGATATGTAGTAAGGAGTCGTGAATGGCATCTCCTACTAGTTTAATTAGTTTAATTGGTATTTTGTCTAGACCTGGGGCCTTGTTTAAGTTAGTTTTCCCAATTGTTTGAATTAATTCTGTCGTTGTTATTGTTCTTAACTTAAATTCAGATCTACAAGGTTGTATAGGGTCTATGTCTGTAGGAGAAATAATGGAAGCAAGTTTGGGTCCAATTTCTACAAAGTAGTTATTAATTGTATTTGCTATGTTGATATCACCTGTAATATTTTGGTCTCCAAATTTAATGTTATTGATCGTCTGAGTTTTGACCGTTTTGTCCAGACTTGTCTCCAGTCGTCCCTGTCAGCATGTGTGAGTGACGCGTGGCGAGTTGGAAGCAGTTTGTTTATGTGAATCCAGTTTTCTTTGCAATTTTTGCTGTTTTCGAGATTGGTTCTAAAGTAGTGAGTTTTTGCATTGCTAATAAGTTTAGTTACTTTGTTTTTACATTTTTTGTATGAACTATGAAAGGCAGAGGAATTTAACATGACTGCTTTCTTTTTTAAGTAGTCTCTGTGAAAGCTGAGTTTTTTAATTTCATCAGTCATCCACGGTTGTCGGTCACTTCTCACTTTTCTCAATCGTATAGGAGCATTTATATCAGCTATCAGTAGAAAAATTCTGTTCCATTCCTGTAGGGCCGTATTTGGATCTGAATGTTCATTAATATGTAGTAAAGCTTGTTTTAAATCGTTTTGGAATTTCGCATTATTTAGTTTATGGTATTGCCTCGTTTCAATAATTTTGGGTTTTTGTTTACATATTCCGACCTTTCTACAAGTGTAGACTAGGTTGTGGTCGCTTATACCTAGCTCAACAACGTCCGTTGTAGCGGTTTTTGGGTCGTCAGTTTTACAAATTATTAAATCTAAGAGCGTCTTCGTTGATTCTGTTGTTCTAGTAGGCTTTTTAATAAGTTGAGACAATTGATATGTGTTTAGTAATTCTTTAAGTCTTTTTGCCTTACTATTCTCGTTCTCACTGGGCATTAAATCTATATTAAAGTCTCCAGTTATTATAATTTCTTTATTTTCTGTGTCAATGTTTTGAAGAAAGATTTCAAAAGAGTCGAGAATCTCAGAATTGGAGTTTGGTGGTCGGTACCACGTCGAAATGAGTATTGGCTTGGCATTCGGCTTTCTTACTTCGATACATACTGCCTCTACATTTTCAGGGATTATTGTTGACCTCTCCACGTATGGTATGGTATTACGTATGTATATTGCTACACCCCCACCGCGTCTATTTCTGTCACGTCTTGTTAAGTCGTATCCCTGAAGTCCTATTTCTGAGTTCTTAATTTTCTTGTCAATTCTTGTTTCATTAATACATAGTATGTCAAAGTTCATTTCTGTTATGAGAATCCTGAGTTCGTCAATATGTTTAGTCAGACTGGTAATATTTAACTGCGCAATTGAAAAGCCCTTAAGTTTTGGATATAGTTTGCTTTGGTTATCCGTTGATACTGCACCGGAGTTTCTAATAGGTTCTTGCATCATTAGGTTTTGTGAATTAACATTTAGTCAATTTTGATTACTTACATACAGTTTGAAGTTCTTAGCTAGGACCGTCGAACCTCTTGGGTTTAAGTGGAGTCCATAGTTATTTAAATGATCTTTCTTTATATTAGAGTTCTTAATTAACCCCCAATTTCGCTCAGTACAAAGGTTAGCTAGAAGTTCATTATAAATATTTACCTTGTCCGCTAGAGTTTCATCGTCACATCTGGTTATAATCTCTGATAATGTCAGTTTAACATCTTTACTCTCCGTAATCATTTCTCCAAGATTGTCTACCGTTTTAAGTAGGGTACTAGGTGACTTGTATTTCAAGTCATTTGTACCGATATGTACAATGACTTCAGCTGGATTCGAGGCTAGAGTTGGCTTCACGTAATGAGTCATATCTTCTACATGCGCACCCGGGAATGTTTTTACAATGACTTTTTGTTTAAGGCCATGTTGAAGTTTTCTTGAGTTTATACCTTTAATCATTGAATCTCCCAGGATAGCAATCGGTCGTCTGGTCGTCTTTGTTTTTGGTGTGTGATGTGGAAAGTATTTATTTCTACTCCCAGCAGAATTTACTGACGCTTTAGTTTCGTCACTATCAATGACAATTTCTGTGTCATCCTCGACGTGCAGGGCCGAGTATTTGTTGTTGTTGTTGTTTAACTCAAGGTTTATTGGGTGACCTTTCGACTTGCCAGATACTGTAATCCATGGATGCTGTTGGGCTTCATGTTTGTCAGTTAGTGATTGCATATTTCCTTCCGCAGTTTCCAGGTCGGCGTATAAGATCTTCAGCGCAGTTTTGAGGCTTTGTTTCTCGCTTTCTAATTCTTCAATCTTGGAGTTTAGGTCTGCCACAGAATGTGTGATATTGATGTTTTTCTCTCGAAGTAACTTGATTTCATTCTTTAAGGTCCAGTTACACGTGCGATTTTTTTCTCGCGCCGGCAACGCAACGGGTTAAATTTCATTGCGTTACTCGCGCGAGTGATGAAATTGCCCGTGTAACATATCTGGCGCGGTAACGCAATTGCAACCCGATATTCTCGGCAATCGTTGCGGAAAGTTGAAATGCTTGAACTTTCGGCAACGATTGCCGAAAATATCGAATTACCCAGGCATTGTTTGAGCAGGAAACGCATGGGCTATTTTAAGATAGCCAATGAAATTCGCTTCTGTACGGACAGCGTGCTGTAGCGCTGCCAAATATCGAAGCGTTAAACAACACATTTCTGCTGGCTTGGTTGATTCACGCATTATTGTGTCTTTCTTGTAAAGCGTATCAGATAGATTATCAACTATCTTTTTGAAATGATCAAAATCCATTCGCATAATTTTTTCAAATCCTGGTGTGTCGTGGGCAGCCAGATCGGAAAGAAGCTGACCGAAATAACCTTTGTTTTTTTCTCTCTAGAAGCCAGTCCAAATACGTTTCTTTTCTTTAACCTCCTCGTCATCTTCTTCCAGCAAAAGCATTGCAGCTATGACCACAAGTTCTTTCTTTGACGCCATGTTGTTGTCAGTGACGTTTGTGCCCGTTTTTTTCATGCAAATAGTTGCGACGCGGCTAAGCTATCATTGCTCGTGTCACCACTTCACTCGCGCGAGTAACGCAATGAAATTTAACCCGTTGCAAAGGCGTTGCGTTGCCGGCGCGAGGAAAAAATCGCACGTGTAACTGGACCTTTAGGTCTTGGTTTTCATTCGATAACAGGTTGACCAAATCATTGTTGGCAACACTCGCGTCGTTATTTGTTAAAGTACTGTTACTTTTGTTCATTTTAAGTTCGCTGACTTCAGAGACAAGATTACTGATTTTCAGGTTTGTTGTTTCAATAAACTTTTCCACTTTGATTATGAATTCGTTTTGTGGATGGTCTCTTTGTTGAATGGCTGCTTGAGTGAACACTGCGCCCAAGGGGCCATTAGGCTTTGTCTGTACGGTATGTAAATTGTCTTGTTGTTTATCACAGCTTGACTTCGTTCTCACTTCTTCTTTGTTTTGTGCTAATAGCAATAGTTTATTTTTTACTTCCTTGCTCTTTTCTCCCCCAAATGTTAGTGAACCTTTCGATGAATACCACCGTATTATCAGGCCGGAATCTTCACACTTCTTGCAGTCCCCACCAGAGGAAGTCCAGTGTTCAGCCGAGATTTGTTGCATCATAATGAAATTTTTGAGGCCCATATATGATCCATTCCATTTCAGATTTCCCTTGTCTGTTACAATTAAACCGTCTTCATTATTGATCTCGTCGCTGCTTAGGTAATCGTGGGGATCACTGGGATCTTTTGCTAATTCTAGATCTTCTGATTCTAGATTACTTGCTGTAAGATTGCCGATTTCATCATCTGTCGCCATTGTATTGTCGTTCGGCTTTGTTGGCTCGATTTATTCAATTAGTTTCGTTCTTAAGTCTTCAATATGTTCGTTCCTAATCTTAACTAGTTATACTAGTAAATTGGTATATTACTGAGTATTTAGTCGCTAAGTTTAGTGTAGGAAGTTTAAATTTCACGGAGCTCGTAAACACACGTCTCGTTGTGCTAAACACTAAATCAAACAACAACTTCAACTTGGATGGTTATTCCGTTGAATATGTTCGGCATACACATTCAGCTTAGATGTTTATACCGTTGAATATGGATCGCTATGCCGTTGACTGTCTTCGGCACAACCATTCAACTTGGGTGAGTAGTATGCCGTTAAATATCTTCATCTTGGATGGTTATTCCGTTGAATATGTTCGGGATAAACATTTAACTGAGATGTTTATGCCGTTGAATATGTTCGGCATAAACATTCAGCTTATATGTTTATCACAATGAGTGTCTTCAACTTGGATGGTTACGCGTTGAATGTTCTCAAATTGGATAGTTATGACGTCGACTGTTTTCGGCATAACCATTGAACTTCGATGGTTATGCCATTGACTGTCTTCGGCATAACCATTCAACTTGAATGTTTATGCCGTTGAATGTCTTCAACTTGGATGGTTACGCCATTTACTGTCTTCGGCATAACCATTCAACTTGGGTGGTCATGCTGTTAAATGACTTCGGAATAACTATTCAACTTGGGTGGCTATGCCGATGACAGTCTTCGGCATAACCATTCGACTTGGATGGTTATGCCGTTGAATGTCTTCGGCATAACCATTCAACTTGAATAGTTAACTTAGATGTTTATGCCGTTGAATATGTTCGTCATAAACATTCAGCTTATATGTTTATGCCGTCGAAAGTTTTCAACTTGGATGGTTATGACGTTGACTGTTTTCGACATAGCCATTCAACTTGGCCGGATGGTTATGCCGTTGAATATGTTCGGCATAAACATTCAGCTTATATGTTTATGCCGTTGAATGTTTTCAACTTGGATATTTATGCCGTTGACTGTTTTCGGCATAACCATTCAACTTGGATGGTTATTCCGTTGACTGTCTTCGGCATAACCATTCAACTTGGATGATTGTTCCGTTGACTGTCTTCGGCATAACCATTCAACTTTGTTGGTTATGCCGTTGAATGTCTTCGGCATAACCATTTAACTTGAATGATTATGCCGTTGAATATCTTCAACTTGGATGGTTATTCCGTTGAATATGTTCGGCATAAACATTCAGCTTAAATGTTTATGCCGTTGAACATGTTCGGCATAAACATTCAGCTTATATGTTTATGACATTGATTGTCTTAAACTTGGGTGGTTTTGTCGTTGAATCGAATGTCTTCGGCATAACCATTCAACTTGAATGTTTATGCCGTTGAATGTCTTCAACTTGGATGGTTATGACGTCGACTGTTTTCGGCAAAACCATTCAACTTGGATGGTTATGCCGTTGACTGTCTTCGGCATAACCATTCAGCTTGAATGGTCATGCTGTTGAATGTCTTCGGCATAGCCATTCAACTTGGATGCTTATGGCGTTGAATATCTTCTACTTGGATGGTTATGCCATTGACAGTCTTCGGCATAACCATCCGACTTAGATGTTTATGCCGTTGGATATGTTCGGGATAAATAGTTAAATTAGATGTTTATGTCGTTGAATATGTTCGTCATAAACATTCAGCTTATATGTTTATGCCGTTGAATGTTTTCAACTTGGATGGTTATGATGTTGACTGTTTTCGACATAGCCATTCAACTTGGATGGTTATGCCGTTGAACATGTTGGACATAAACATTTAGCTTATATGTTTATGCCGTTGAATGTTTTCAACTTGAATAGTTATGGCGTTGACTGTTTTCGGCATAACCATTCAACTTGGATGGTTATTCCGTTGACTGTCTTCGGCATAACCATTCAACTTGAATGGTTATGCCGTGAATGTCTTCAACTTGGATAGTTATGACGTTGACTGTCTTAGCAAAACCATTCAACTTGGATGCTCATGTGTTGAATGTCTTCGGCACATCCATTCAACTTGGATGGTTATGCCGTTAAATATCTTCAACTTGGATGGTTATTCCGTTGAATATGTTGGGCATAAACATTCAGCTTCATTCAGCTTAGATGTTTATGCCGTTGAATATGTTTGGTACAAACATTTAACTTAGATGTTTATGCCGTTGAATATCCGTTACTCTACTTCAGTACTTTAGTATTTTTGAGAAGTCAGCATGTAACAAAGTAAACTATTTCTGGAGTACTTTTACTTGGAACGTAGTCGTTTTAAGACGTACGTCAGTTTACTTCGTTATTAGTTCATTTTGTGGCGAAGTATTTCGTTATTTTTTAACTTTTGTTTTAATTTACGTGATTTATTTCTGATTTATTTCAATTTTGCTATAGCTAATAGGATCATGCGTCTGGGATCTCTCGTTTGTGGCTTACTTGTAAGCATTATTTCTTTAATGGATTTCTTATATCTTCGACGGGGTCTGGAAAGTAGACCATGTCGTGAAATATTGTATATCAGTTAGGTGTGTGCACGCATATAATGCGTGTACTGTTTTGTGTCTTTTGTATGTCAATCCATTGGAGAAGCCCCCCCCCCCCCCACACGCTACAGACCATAGTACTTTTTACTTCAAGTATTTTTTAAGAATACTTTGTACTTTTCACTTAAGTATTTCACCTCCAGTATTTTTTGCTCTTACTCAAGTCGTTTTATTGCTAATTACTTCTACTTAGTTTACTCGAGTACAAATTCAGAGTAATTTAGGCGGCCACGGGTATGTATTAATTTTTTTCGCAAACGAACTCTATATGAATGAATGAATGTAAGAAAGAATCCAGATATCTCTAAATGAAGATAAGCGATATTTTTTCACAGAGGATCTTTGAGGATTTGACGGGAACTACCTGAAAAGAATTGACTGATCATGTGAACTGAGGCCCTTGGTTAGGAAGCTGGCTACAACCTTCCAGATGAAGGCCCTTCTCACTCAAAGCGTCAAAATTTTCAAGCTTTTTGGGTAGTTTCGATCAAAGACTGGACGTTATGTTTAACTTATAACGTTATGTTATACTGCAGTTTAGAATACATTATCAACTTTACATCAATGAGAACGTTTAGGATTTTGAACATTCCACATTTACCGTACTTTGCATTTTCAGCACTTCTTCATTTCCGCATCCCGTAGTTACAATCCTTCACATTTGACACTTCAGATGCAAAATTCGCGCAAAATTTTAACATTTCCTCAGTTATACCCCCAACAAGAGTGAGGAAATGAAAACACATGCAGTATTTTGTTAGAATGACAAAACGCTGTTTTGTGTGTGTTTTGTTTGGTGACGGCGGCCATGTTGGAGGACAACATTTTTTAATCTCCGTATTTAGGTCCTACCCTATATGGAGTGTGTAAAAGCACTTTTAAGTGTTGTAAGCTATAAATTTTATTAATTGTAATATGTAAATTATTTTAATATGTGTAAATTATTATATGGCAAGCATCACTTCTGGTGAAATGGCGGACTGTGATTGGCCGAGAAGCACTTTCAGCGGTCCATTATTTTCCCGTAATAGACCAGCGGTCCATTACGTAAAAACAAACGCATGTATTTTAATTTGGCCTTGTACAATTTCAGCTTGCTCAATATTACATACAGATCCGCGGCATCCGCCGCTCGAGATACTACTGCACTTGTGGCTGTGAAGAAATGGATTCGCTTGATCGGTTGAACATGGAGCTTTGATATCAGGTCTTCACATTGATACCAGTTCTTCTGAACTGACGTAACTACCCTGATGAAATAAGGTTGATTTGATTTGATGTTTTAGTTTAAACAGCTTTATTAGTAACAGTAACAGCTAGTTCCCAAACGGGAAAGTAACGGAACCCTTGTGGGTCTAGCTTAAAATGACCATTAAAACACTTAAATGGCCATAAAACCTTAGGGAATCCATATTTTGCTAATGATTCCGTTTTTGTTCATTTTAAACATCTTAGTGTCTTAGCTTTACGTTTCTAACTTCTGATCATGGATGCCATTTGTATTTAAAATCCAAAAATCAATAATACCTTGAGGTATTCCAACTCTTAAGGGTATTATTGACTTTGGGATTTTAATAACAAATCTGATCCATGATCAGAAGTTAGAAACGTAAAGTTAAGACATTAAGGTGTTTACTGATTAACAAAAGCGGAATCCTTTATTACGATTTTCCGAGTCCGCAACGCCGTTGAAAATAGGTCACGATATTTTCCTTTAAATCGCCAAAAAATTCCCGTGACATGTTACCATGGAAACCCTAAATGTTTAAGTGTCAAGCTCTTACCACTGTGGTCAAGCACTGTTAATTTCCCCACAAAATACGGATTCCCTAAAGTTTGATGGCCATTTAAGTTTTTTAATGGTAATTTTAAGCTAGACCCAGGCATTAATATACTTGAGATATAAGAATGAGACCGAGAAAATGACATTAAGGGTATGCAAGGACTTTTATAACCTCCTCCATCTATATATGGTCCCGCTATATATCCACTTATATGATAAACGTATTGATAACGCGTTGCATGTCAATTTCTGACGTCATTAGAAATGCCATTTTTAAAAAAACAATGCCCTATATATCATTAATTTGTATTTTGCACACAGTGTTGTACTTGTACTATTGTTTGGGACTGCTCGCATGCTGTGGCACCCGTCGTTCCTGCTTGAAATCAAGAACGGCAATCTACGCATGCATTTTCATGCCTATGATTTGAAGCACTGAAAAACGGCTGTCGTCATCTTTAACGGCTCCTTTTCGTACCCGTGCCATTTTTAGGTGGCATCTAATTCTTGTTAACCAATGCAGACAATTAAAACAATGTAAAAAGCAATTTTTCAAAATAAACTAACCATTTACAAAGCAAATTTGCCATCATTTGTCCAAAAAATTATAAAAAGTCTTATGTACATGACTTAACTCGTTGTTATGTACATGAAAAGCCATCCAAAAATGGCGGCGTGGGAAAGGCTAATTGGTTAAGCTCTCCGATACTTCTCTCCATCACAAAGGGTTTTTTTGCAAAAGCTAAACATTTTCTCTCGCAAAACTGCGCATTTGAAAGATGAAAACTGTGAACTTAAAGCAAGTAAATTGTATAATATATTCAACTATTCATATTAATAATTAAGTTGGTATACAATCATATCCAAGTATCCAACTGGAAATCTGTATAGTTTTATTTCAGTATAGCGACGTTTTCTTTAGCTTTCTGACCTGGATCTAGATAGAGAGAAAATGAAAATATATTATGCATGAGTAATACGAAGGCCCTGAGAAAAAAGAAAACGGCTTTAATATCTTGAATTATCAGCCATCATGATGGTGGTATGGAAGTGGAAATCAGTGAGACAACGTTGTTTTCTTTAAGTGACAAGTCTCAGTATACGTATTTGTGGCCGCATACCTAATTTTAAGAATTTTTTATCACTGCACATTTTATGCCAAAAATTTCCGAATGACTAAAAAAATTTCCGAATATTCGGAAATTTTTGGCGACCTCCCCCCCCCCCGTCGCCCCCCCCCTTTGGTCAGTGTACCATTTTAAGGGTCAAAAAAATTTTCCGGACATACCAAAAGCCAGATATTAACTAAAAATTGCCTGAATCTCATGATTTTCGTACAAAAAACATATACTATTATTTAATTCAATAATTTGGCAGTCATCATTTCAATTTCAATTAAATCATTCTCTTGTGTTAATTAACAACTTATCAAAGCAAATTTTATCACTGCACATTTTACATTTTATCACTGCACATTTTACTTTTATCACTGCACAAATTGGTTATCACTGCACACTAAAATTAGGTATGTGTGGCCGTGTTGTATATATATAAGTATACAACCAGCAAGTGTAGTTGGTTGGGGTTGAACGAGGCGAGAGCCCGCGATACTTGACATGAGTGGAGTGCGATTGGATAAAAAAGTTGAAAATAAAAGGTTGTGTTGAAAATTAGAAATTATATATCGAAAATGATGCTGCAAATTGAATGTTGTGTTATTGATATTACATATTGTGTAGATAAATGTTGTATTGAAAAAATAAATGGCAAGCATAGGACACCACAAACATCAGCTAAAAAGTTGAACACGGTTCAACCATAGCCTATCGAAGAGAAGATGGCTGTGAAACTTATTAAAATAACAATATAACTCATTATCTATGTTAGTCAACGTTTATTCATGAATCTGGTCCTTCACCGTCATGTGTGTATTGTATTATTGCCGAACTGACCAATAGCAACGTTTTAGGAAAGTTACCTATCCGTGACTCGAACAATAGGGTAAGTTGGAAATTGCTATTGCAAAAATACAATACACACGTGATGGTGAAGGACCATATTTATGAATAAACGTTGGAGTGTAACATAGATAAGTGAGTGCTATTGTTATTCTAATGAGTTTCACAGCCATCTTCCCTGCGATCGGCTGTGGTTCAACACATGCAACCACCAAATATTTATGAAGTGATCGTAAAAACCTGAATCGTATACCCGCACCCATGCAACTTCCATTTTAACCACCTAACGGGTCTTCGTCCTAACTTCCGTTTAGGCGGTTACTCACCACCTGAGCGAAGGTAACTCACTATATATCGGAAGTGAAACGAACGATTATCTACTCATCCATTGACCAATGACTCTTGACCCAATCAGTGTTCACCTTGCGCCATATATATGAGTGAGAATTAGGTGCAGCTCTATATTATGAAAGAAAAACTCGATACTATGCAAGTACTTACTCGGAATCAAAACAATGTGGTTCCACTCAGCACATGGCGATAAACCTGACACAAATTGAACATCAGGTGGTGGCACAGGATAATTCCACGCACTGACGCAATAACCAATGTTAGAGTCCACCAACTTCTGTTCGTTTGAATTGTACATCCATGTTTCCTTGCAGTTATTGGTCAGTATAAGTTGTAGGTCGGTACTGGTTTCTAAACCGACACATTTTCCGGATTCTATTTCTTCGAGAGCATAGTTACTCGTGAAGCAAAAGTAAGATGGGGGTAGGGTTCTTGAAAATTCAAGAAGATCAAGGTTCTCATAAATACCATAACGACGCAAGTAACCATATTGCTCTGAATAGATCGTAAAGTTTGCACTGGCACAACCTGTAGAGAAACAAAATAATATTATGGTAGCTAGGGAAAATGTTTATGCTGACACAGGTTATTTGACCTGCAATGTTGGACAAAACGTTTGAGACCGCTGTGAGATCAAATTTCATTTTCATGAGTGCTTCAAATTTGCAAGGTATCGCCCTCCCCCCCTCCAAATTCAATATTGTTTGGATGAACCACTCTTGGCCACCAATTTCCAAAGGATCACAGGCATTGGGAACAGAAATGAGGAAATCCCAGGAGAGCAACTTTCCGTACATACGAATTCGGCTTAATTAAACTGATTTTACATAAAGACATGATAGACATCCATGCATGTTGCTCGAGAAAATGCATGCCAGGAAGCTGAACTAACAATTGCAACCTTATTCAACGTTATAAATTGGAGTTATAAACCGATAAGGAGGTTTATAACTGATATATTGCCCCCGAGGACGCGCAGCGTCCGAGGGCAATATATCAGTCATAAACCGACTTTCGAGGTTTATAACTCTAACTTATATCTCATTTGTGGAGGTTTTCTAACATATTTTGTCGTTTTCAAAAATTTTTGAAGAAAAATTCTCGCGTTTTGTCGAAAAGTTTGATGTAATTATTTATTCAAGGTATACAGTATTAGCTAGTGATAAACCTCGGACGATCAAAGAAAACCGACACAAATGAGATATAAGAGGCAATATAATTCTCACTACTCGCGGGGTCGGGGGGGGGGGGGTATATTCATATATTCGTGTTCTGCCCGACAGATTTCTTTTGAAATCGATTGTTTTTATGGTATGTGAACATGAATATATATGAATATATACCCCCCCCCCACCCCCCAGTTATCGTGTCTAGCTATGGCCCTTACTACTCGACGGCTAACACACCGAACCAATGAAATTTTGTGTAACATTTGCACTTTAATCAGTCGTCGTTGCGAACCGTTTCATCGCCATGACGGAAACAATCTGAGAACACGTGACACATCTGATCGTCATGAGTATTCTGTTATTGACATTGTATGAATCAATGTATATTGTGAATGTATACTCTCCATACCGGCAGCAAGGAAAACTACCAATATTACAGCTAAGTACTTTTTCCTGACCTAAGATCGAAGTAGATAACTTGATTACTAGATTTATAGGTGTACCTGTAGGCAAGACTGCTGCAGAACAACTGAGAACAAGAATGGTCAGCGTTAATAGACTTTTGAACAACATCTTGCAAAGCAGCTTCAGACAATTTGTTCAGTTATATATACTTCACTGGCCTCTGACTTTCTGAAAAATGTCAAAGTGAGATTTAACCCTTTAGTCAAATGCCATTAATACATGGTGGGACGTTTTTCAATGCATCTATAAAATTCAGTGCCGTAGG